ATACTTCCCCTCGAAAACATTTGCTTTCATCGTCAATCTTTTCTTTTCCCACTCCTCTCATTCCCACCCCCTCGAGCGGTCCTTCTTTCGTGATCCCCGTCCGCCACCCAGGCTCTGACGAAACCAAGCCCTTCCATTCGGAATCCCCCTCCCCCATCGGAGACCATCGTCAGGAAATCCGAGGGTCCTCTCTACAATCGCGTCTGGGTGTCCTCATGTCTTGGGAATAATTTCCTGCGGTCGCGAGGGTTTTTCTCTCTGATCACATTCCCGTCGGAGTCATCCCGTCTGGTTAGGGGCGACTGAAGAAGTCCATCTCTCCCCCCGTCTTGGGTGCCATCCAAGGTTCCCCGACCTTGCTTCCTTGAACATTTCGCTTCTGGATGTGCTGTTTCATCTTATCACTTTATTCGTTTTCCTCTTCTCACCAATTTCCCTCCACTTTTGTTGTTCATCATGAGGGAGGTCAACTTCAGTATCCCTAATGTGAACAAGGCCTCGGTCCATATCACCACCACGCTATACGACCGTCGTGCCCTGGATTGTACATCGACTCTACCGCTCATCAACTCCCTGAACCACCTTGCATACCTCACCACCTCGTCGGCCCGGATTCGGGAAATCCTCACTGTCGATGGCGGCATTGAAAGACTGGTGTGCATCCTCAAGGAGGGCCGGAGTAAGGACTTGATGGAAATGTGGAAATGGAGTCTTGCATTCCAATGTGTGGTCAATATCGGCGTGCGTGGCTCCGAAGGCGTAAGGACTAGAGTCGTGGAAGCCGACATGGTCCCCGTCATCGCCACCATCCTCCGCAATTACCTGAAAGTGGTGGAGAAGGTCAGGTCACAATCCGATGCCGAGTCCTCGAAACATCCGTCATCTTCGTCCTCCCGACATGCCAAGCACAGTACGGCCACCCGAGATGCTTCGGGTCCACCCGCAAACTCGGAGTCGAGTTCCCACGAATCCCGCCACTCTCGTCGACAGGCCCCTCCGAGTATCGAAATCCCGCAGCCTCTCTATCAGGATACTCAACCCACCGATTCCGATGCGATGGACGTCACCTCTCCCCCCCGGATGCCGATGACATCTCCGCCCGAACGAAGTACCTTTGGTGACGAAGCCACCAACCATCGATCTCACGAAGGACGCTATCCGCGTCCCAGCCATCGCCTTCGGGCGATGCAGCCTCTGGCAACTGCGGTGCCTTCTATGGATACTGCCGATGGTTTTGGGCTGCGGCCTGTGCGTGACACCGAACGACTTCCTAGCATGCTTCCTGGCTTGCAGACCGGGATCATCTCTCAGCCCGACTCTCCAACTACCCCAAGTGGCCCTCTTCAGCCACAAACAAGGGGCGTCCCACAAACTACCGCTGCCAGGCAACGCCCTGCACTACAGCAGCAGCAGTCGGCGTCGGGCGAGTCGGACGATGCCAATGGCGAGGATTCGGCAATGGGAGAGGACAGTGTGCTGGGGCAGACGACCGAACCCCTTGTCAACCTGCCGGATCGTATGGACATCGAGGAGGTTCATGAACACCAGACAACAATGCTGGATGGGGTGTCCACTAATCACGACCTCACGGTGACCGACCCGTCCGAAGAGGGTCAGGAGGCGGAAACCTTCAACATCACTCATCGCTCTACCGTCGATGGCAGCATCATTAATAACAACGGCACCACCCAACCCAATGGTGGATTGGGTCTCTCCCCCACGCAAGCCCCCAACAACCCTAACTCTCCCACCCTCGCTCCCAGTCCCTACGCTTTGTACCTCCGTGATCGCAACGCCCCGGCGGCTCAGAATGTCTTGACTACCATGCCTCGTGATGAGGATGTCTTGATGTCTCTGCAACTCTTGGCTTACGTCTCCAAGTACTGCAACCTTCGGTCATACTTCCAGTACTCTCATCTCGTCCCCAGGCTCAAGATTGATCGTGAACTTCACCTTTTGGATGAAAATGCGGATCCTTCTACACCTATCGAACTGCCTGAGGAAGAGGAGAATGAGTATCTGCTGCCGGACGACGTCAACATCTTTCCACTGGTTGAGAAGTTTACTGTCCGGCACCACTCGAAGGACATGCAATACTGGGCGTGTGTAGTCATGCGAAACCTCTGCCGCAAGGATGAGTCGCGCGGCGGGATCCGCCAGTGCGCTTTCTGGAAGTGCGGCAAGTGGGAGGAGTTTCAGCGCCAGTTCGCCAAGTGTCGCCGCTGCCGGCGCACCAAATACTGCAGCAAAGAATGCCAGAAGGCTGCGTGGGTTTACCACCGCCACTGGTGTCACACGACCCCTTGATACGACCCGACGACTACCCCCTCGACAGGAGTTTCATTTCTGATTTCCATCATGCATACCGGCTCGCATAGCGTCATATCCCGTCACGCGTCTTACCCATCCATCTTCTATTGCAAGGACTCACTTCTACTCACGCATGGCATTTTGAAAATCTGGCGGCGTTTCAATTCGACTCCCGAAGATACCTCTCCACATGTCGTCTGGTTTTTATCCCTTTTTTAAATACCTCGAACAGGGTTCCTACTACGACGCCCGGCCCTTCTCTTGCACCGCTCCCATTCTTCACTGCTTATATTTTGAATTACCAGTCGTCATGATTGTACATCTTGTTATCTTGTCTCATTTCGTTATTCCTTTGTTGTCTTCTGAATCATCTTTCCCATCCATTCTCCTCCTTTAATTGTGCTATCACGAGTTTCCTATGTCAGTAGATGGAGAGCATGGCCCACATCGACTGCGTCGCAGTCACTTTGCACTTTCGTTTTGCCATCCATCTACACCTGCTGGTTGATCTCTGGAGGCTCTCTCCTACGTACCTGCACTGGGTCAAATGACACCGGCGTTCCACACTCCTCATATCTATTTCATTGGGTTCATACGAATCTATCTTTTCATCGAAGTAACTCCTTCCTTCAGCTTCTCTCCATAGCACGTGTAGAACCGTACATATTTCCTCTTTCGTATCGTCCCCATTACCACACATACTAGGTACTATTCCTTCTTGAAGCCATATGTAGCGGCCAACCGCGACTCGAGATGCTCCTGCGCCGTCAACGGCCTCTTCCCAGGCTCCAAGTTACCAGCACCACCACCAAACCCAACCTTCCCATCATCCCGCGCATTAATCCCCCCGGTCTGCTCTCGATGAGCCTTGACCACCTCACTAGGAACAGGAACGAGCTCCGTCGTATCAACCGGATGACAGAAATACACAAGCGTATATCGATCCTGCGGATTCGGACTCCGTTGCTCAGCCAGCGGGAAAACCACCCGGTGAACGGTGGACTTGAGCAACCCGTCCGTCCAATAGCTGAGCAGGTCTCCGATATTCACCAGAATCGGGGGGAATGGGTACGCATCGGCCTGGTCGCCCGGTACGATAGGGACAGGCGCCCAGGTTCTTTCGGGAGTCAGGATCTCCAGTCCCGGCTGGCCGGGTCGCTGGAAGAGCAGCGTAATGCTGCCGTAGTCGGAGTGTGCGCCGGCTCGCACGTCTTTGTCGTGCTTGTACGCTGCCGTAGTCGGGGAGAAGATTGATGGGTAGTACAGATAGCGCAGGATGCTGCCTGTTGGGCCACCGCTGGGGTCATGGCGCGATGTGAAGAAGTCTTCTTGCATCTGGATTGGCGAGGGATGTTAGTGGAATGAATGTATGATCTATATGAGGTGGTTTCAACGAACCTCCAGGCCCAGAGCCAGCAGGTTCAGGATCCGGTTACAAGTCTTGTTGCAGAGCGCGGCGAAGCCATTGATTTCTGCTTCGTGCGGCACCAGGCTCGGGGGCAGAGGTTGTTGGGCTTTGCCATCTTTGAAGTCGCCGAAGTTCATAGCTCTGTCCAGCGGTGGTGAGTGCGGTTCGATGATTATCAGTAGGCACACGACTCACTCTTTGAAGTCGCCGGTCTGGTAGCATTATTGCTTGTCAGCCATACATCCAGATCGATATGATCAACTGGCTACATACCCGCTGATGCTCCGGATCCAGCGTCTCCGTATGCATACCGGACCAACCGCGGTTCTGGCGGACAAGTTAGTCAACTGAATCTTCCGTTAATCGAGCCACCACGAACATTCGGCGTAATCCGGCAGGTCTCCTTCTCCAATGCTGGCGATGCAAAGAATTTCTGGGACTATCCACCCCACCCTGTCAGAGAGAAAAATACTATGAAACTTTATCTAGGACATGTCCTACCAGTCCAAATGCGTGGTCCACATCCTCCGTCGTGAAATCGGTGCCCTTGCTGTTCACATACAGGAAGCCATACTTGGCCGCGGCATCCAACATCTGTTTCCCCACAGACGGATCGTGGGGGTTGGAGATGTCGATGACGGGCAGTTCGATTGGGGACGCGGTGTCTGCCATTTTGGGGGGTGGAAGGGTGTGGATAGGCAGAGTGGGATGTGTCGGGGGACACTGCAATATATAGTCCGACTCTCCGTCGGCAGCATCCGTAGGCGATACCCCAGCACACAACATAATAGATCATTGATACTGTGAACCTAGGATATTGTGATAGGAATATGTCATATTCAGTATGGTAGCAGGATACTAAGCTGTATAGATCACGGTGCAGTATATTTCTGCACGGTTGGCTTCCCACCTCGTCAGTCAGTCCGTATCATGTCATGGTTCCGCCGGGCTCTCAGCGCACTAGAACAAATCGAGTCGCGGAAGTTGTAATTATTGGTGTAGAACAGGGATAGTTAGTTCGTACCTAAGTAATGTTGTCGGGGCACGTCGTGTCCAAAAGCAAAAGCACCCTGGCTCCCGCCCTCCTTCCTCACCTCAACCGCGACAATCCTCCACCTCCAGCTCCTTCACACCCTTTCTTCCTCTGTTCCTTCCCCCAACCACAACCACAACCACCATTAACACCCAGCTCCCTGAATATCAATTCCCTACCACCAGCTCCATCCTTTTTGGGCTTCCATGCCCGGCACTGGCCGTGCTTTCCAGCCCGTGACACTTCACCATGCCAAGTACGGGAGACCCTGGCCTCAGACCCCAGACACTTGACCCCTCTGACCGCGTCCTTCCTTTCATAGTCCGTCCCTTCGATGAATGGGCCGTGGGTCGCACCCAGTCCCTCCCTCTTTCCGCCCTCAAAGGCGCCGTTGTCGGAATCGATGCGTCGCACTACATCTCCCAGCACCTCGTCAACCAGTCTACCCGGGAAGCGCTGCTGAGCGCGCTCGGTGGATTCCCCTTCGCCCTGAGGAGCAACATCGAGAAAGAGCTCCAGACCTTCAAAAACCTCGGTATCGGCAGCGTCTTCGTCTTCAATGGCCTCGAATTTGGCAAAAAGGATCAGCGCCCTGCCGCCCAACCCACTTCGACGCGCCCATTCGAACAAGCATGGGAACTCTACGATCAACAGCAGGCAGACCAAGTGGTGGACGCCTTCAGCAACGCTGGTATGATCACCTATAGCCCGTCTACCACCATCAGCCCATCCACACCCTTCACGGCCATTGACCCCCCGGTTTTTGTTCCGTACTCCTGGGCCCCCCCGAAACTCCCAAAGCTCCCAAAGCTCCCCAATCCTGGCTGACCGGAATGAAACCGCAGGCACCCCGCCCCCGGAAACCCTTTACAAATTCCTGCAACGGATCCTTCACCAGAACGGCGTTCCCTTCCTCGTGGCCCCCTACAGTGCGGCGGCTCAGGTGAGTATGCCCCAGAAGAAGAAACGGCAGTACCTAACATAATCCTTCCTCACAGCTCTCCTACCTCACTCGCGGCCCCAATCCTGTGGTGGATGCAGTCTACGGACCGTCAGAGATCCTTCTGTTCGACCTTGACAAGCTGGTCACCAAAATTGAGACCGAGCCCGCACAGTTCTTTTGGGTTACGAAGCAGACTTGCCAGGAAGAACTCGGGCGACTGTCGAATGAACAATTCCTCGATTTCTTGCTGCTGCTAGGCTCCCCTTTCTTGCGCTCTTTCCCGGTGTTCGAGAACCCCGCCTTCACTGGAAAGGGACCAAATGTTCGGGATGCTCTACCCATGTTCAACGCGGCTGGGCGAAGCGCCCTGACGCTCTGCGCCCAGTTCGAAGACGACCGTCGCATGCAAGAACTCCAGTACACGGACCGCTACAAACGGGCGTACATGGTCGTGAAGCACCATGTGTACATGGATGTGGATGGCCGAGTCGGCCCCATGAATGCGGAGAATACCTCATCTGACATGCATGAGCTCATCGGCCAGCGTCTCCCCGAGGAGCTATATTTCTACCTCTCCAAGGGTGTTATGGGGGCTGACGTCCCGAACTTTTTGACATCGGGCGAAGTGCGCATCCAGCTACCCCTTGGTGCAGAAGATACAGAGGTTTACCGTCAACTTGTGGGAGACAAACTCACTCCGGTCCGCACGCAGTCTATTTGCTTGTTGGCAAACTCGCTTCACCGCTTCTACCAGACTAAAGTGATCCATGTGCGCCCGTGGTTTGACGAAAACTCAGAGAGGTCTATCAACCTCAAGGGAATCCCGTCGGTCAAGGAGACCATCCAGCCCTGGAAGGTCCATGGAGACCAGTTCCCAGAGAGTGTTAAGAAACTGCAAGCGGCTCGCGGGTCCTTCAAGTTTGCCATTCAGAGCTTGAAGGAGTCGGACTTTGTGTCCAAATCGTTCGCTGCGAAGGACACCCCCATTCTATCGTCACAACAGGATATCTTGTCGAATGTGATGTGGCGATTCCTACAACTGCGTGGTTATGTTAATGAGAAACACGAGCTTACCGGGTGGGGCAAGTGCCTGGGGCAAGCGCTATCGGCGATGGACTCTACAGACAATCTCGAGGAAGCGGTGTTCCTGGCCATTGAGATGCTTCGGCTGGAACTCTTGAACACCGAGCACTGGTTCTCACATGTGTCTGGTGGCCCGATGCGAGGATCAGGTAGGTACTTTCTGATATGGTGTGTGAACATCAACTGACGCTGCTACAGAGGAGGATAAGAAGTTCAACATGCTTGTTTCGCGAGTAGCATGTATCGCGAAGCTCCAACACAAGAGCATTGGATACTCCGGCCCTCTGAGCCGTCAGCTCCTCTGCTACCGCTCGCTGATCGCCGAGGTGCGCTCTACGTTGAGGAACCTGATTGAGGTGGTGATGGCTGGCCTGTTCTTGAGCGGAGAGGCCGACCGGGATCGGAATGACTGGACCGAGATGAGCTTGAAGTATGTGCACCTCTACACTGTCCTGAAGACTTGCTCTGACCCTCATCTTCCAGACTTCCTTTCATCGATGATAATGACTGCGGTCTTGGAATTGCTGTTCGCACCTATCTGGATGACCTTCCTCTACAAGCGGACCCTACCTCGCCCGATGCTCGGGCGGAGGTCAAGGCAAAGGGCAAGGAATGGTTCCAGCATAGCGAAAGCTTCACCGGCAACTTGGACCGGGCGTTTAAGCTTTGGGATGCGGTAAGTCTGCTCCGAAGGGACCTCCAGCGCCGGCCGGCTAATATCCACTCTAGGTCTACCATGGCACCCAGAATGCAGGCGACGAGTTCAAGGATGCCAAGCTCTGGAGTAACGCGAACAAGTGGCTGTCGGAGCGCCGGTGAGAGACATATCGACACATCATCGAGGGGATTTCGGGCTTATAACCAAATGTGCCGGACTGCAAGGGAATTGGATGCGGGGAGTTTTTTTTCCCACACGATGTATTACTATTTAGTAAGAATCCAAGATGACCCTTGTCGAATGGTGCAATAGTTAGTAGTAGGAGTAGGATTTAGCCTAGTATGATCCACCCGAGGCACCAAGTGGCCTCTTCCCTTAGTTTGTCATCATCAGCTCCAACTCTCTGACTTTCTTTCTGATTGACCTTGACATTATTCCAATCTTCACCGATTATTATTATTATTGGAATTCAATAATCACCCCCACCTAATACATCCACAATGGCTCGTTTGAGCACCCTGCTCGTGAGCACTCTCACCCTCCTGGGCGGCTTCGCCAGCGCTGGCTCCGCCGTCAAAGACCTGCTCCCCGAGAACTTCGACAAGATCGTCCTGCAATCCGGCAAGCCCGCCCTGGTCGAATTTTTTGCCCCATGGTGCGGCCACTGCAAGACTCTGGCCCCCGTGTACGAGGAGCTGGGTGCCGCCTTCGCCTCCGCCGAGGACAAGGTCACCATTGCCAAGGTTGACGCCGATGATCATCGTGATCTGGGCAAGCGTTTTGGCGTCCAGGGATTCCCCACCCTGAAGTGGTTCGATGGCAAGAGTGACACCCCCGTGGACTACACTGGTTCCCGTGATCTGGAGTCTCTTTCCGCTTGGATCACGGACAAGACTGGCATTAAGCCGCGCGGCGCGAAGAAGGAGCCCAGCAGCGTGGAGATGCTGGATGATGCTTCTTTCAAGGCGACAGTTGGCTCCGATAAGAATGTCCTGGTGGCCTTTACTGCCCCGTGGTGTGGACGTGAGTACCATTCCCTTCCCCCTACTGGTACTGTTGTTGTTGTTGTTGTTGTTGTTGTTGTTGTTGTTGTTGTTGTTGTTGTTGTTGTTGTTGTTGTTGTTGCTTTTTACTGACTGAATTGCCTCGATCAATAGACTGCAAGACCCTTGCCCCAATCTGGGAAACCCTCGCCACCGACTTCGCCCTCGAACCCTCCGTCGTGATTGCCAAGGTCGACGCCGAAGCCGTGAACTCCAAGGCCGTGACCAAGGAGCAGGGCGTGACGGGCTACCCGACCATCAAGTTCTTCCCCGCGGGCTCGACCGAGCCGGAGGCGTACTCGGGTGCGCGCAAGGAGGAGGCCTTCGTCGAGTTCCTGAACAGCAAGGCCGGCACCCACCGCGCCGTAGGCGGCGGCCTGGATGACAAGGCTGGCACTGTCGTGAACCTGGACAAGCTGATTGAGGAGTACGTGCCTACGCAGAAGTTCGAGAAGCTTGCGTCCGAGCTGAAGAGCGCCGCCAAGGACCTGAAGGACCAGTATGCGGCGTACTATGTCAAGGTTGCGGATAAGCTGGCCAAGAACGAGGACTATGCGTCCAAGGAGCTGGAGCGTCTGCAGAAGATCCTGTCCAAGGGTGGTTCCGCGCCTGAGAAGCTCGACGACCTGGTCTCCCGCAGCAATATCCTGCGCCGCTTTGCCGGGCAGGACCAGGAGACTAGTCCCCATGGTGATGAGCTGTAAGCGGGTTGCTCTTTTCCTCTGGTTATCTTACGCCCTTCCAGCCCTGTTTATGTATGAGGAGATGCAGTTCTCCTTGGGTTTTTGTTGGGCGGTTTGGAAATACTAACTCGATCTTGAACCTGTACGAAATGAACCAATGAAAAATCGCTGGGTATTCTGTACAATGCTCATCCGTATGAAGAGTGTAAACCAATAACTGGAACCATTACTTTTGGGTAAAGATCTCACTGTATGAACTGTTTGGATTGTTGGGGTATCTTTATTATAGCAGTATTCGATAAACAAGTGCCGAGCCCGACACACACTCACACCGGACGAAAGTATGTAAACCGGCACGACAGACATGCAGAAGAGGAATTCATTTCGTCGGCGTCGCTGAGGCCGAGTCATTGGAAGTCGCGGTCAAGGAGGCCTCCAGTTCGTCGAGGCGGCGGGTCATATCGTCCACTGGATTGAGCCTAGTCAGCCGGGGGTGTTTAGTCTTGCAGCGAGGCAGGAAGAGAGACGCACGCTTCCCAAACATTTCCTTCGAGACATTGTCGAACTTAGACTGGAGCTGGTCGAGGAGCTCGTCGACTGCGGCGGCGAGTTGGCCCTGTGCATCGGAGTTCTGGGATGGACCGTCAGATCAGACGTGTGGTTCATGGGGGTGGCGAAGGAGCACGCACTGGATTCGACAGGAGCGACTCGCCCTCCGTGGGGGTGTCGTATTTCTCGGAGGGCGACTGGGCTTCCTTGGATTCCTCAGCCATTGTGTTGATTCAAACAGAACAGTGGACAGTCAAGAGTCGGGACAGAGACACGCCTCGATAAGAGACTATGACTAAGCACACCCTAGTACACAAACGGTTAGTGGGTTCTTATCGATCACGCTAGACCGGATGGGGACTGGCGCCAGGCAAAAAAATCCCGTGCTGTCTGAATGCTGGTTCTCTGCTTGCTTGCACTTCTCCCCCGGTTACTATTTCTCTTCGGCTCCAGGTTGTCGCAATGGTCAAGCGAAGCAAGCTCATCCAGGCACTTGACGCCCACAAGGGCCGTGACTATGAAGCCGAGAAGCAGAAGAAGATGGTGAAGGCTGCAGAGAAGAAGAAGTCGGCGAAGAAGGCTGCAGCCGGTGAAGAGGACGACGGCAAGGTTGAGGAGGTTGAGGAGGTGGATGAGGATGAGGAGGAAGAGGCCGCAGACGACAATGAGGACGAGGAAGTCGAAGACGATGAGGATGAAGAAGAGGAAGAAGACATCCCGCTGTCCGACCTGGAAGAAGACGAGCGCGAGGATGTCGTCCCCCACCAACGCCTGACCATCAACAACTCCGCCGCCATCACCTCCTCCCTCAAGCGCATCTCCTTCATCACGTCCCAGACCCCGTTCTCCGAGCACAACTCTCTCGTCTCGCAAGAGCCCATTGAAGTCCCCGACCCCAATGACGACCTCAGCCGTGAGCTGGCATTCTACAAGGTCTGCCAGGCAGGCGTGCTCAGTGCTCGCGGGCTGCTCAAGAAGGAGGGCATTCCCTTCACCCGACCGGGCGACTACTTCGCCGAGATGGTCAAGAACGACGAGCACATGGGCAAGATCAAGAAGAAGCTCTACGACGAGGCGGCTGGGAAGAAGGCTGCCGCCGAGGCCCGGCGCCAGCGTGACCTGAAGAAGTTTGGAAAACAGGTCCAGGTTGCCAAGTTGCAGCAGCGCGCGAAGGAGAAGCGGGATACCCTGGAGAAGATCAATTCCTTGAAGAAGAGTATGTTTTTTCGAACCTCTTTCGGGGGAATATTGCTAACCAATTCTCCTACAGAACGCAAGGCCGACTCCTCTGCCCCCACCGACGACACTGGTGATCTCTTCGACGTCGCCATCGACGATGCCAAGGAGGCCGAGAGCCGCAAGCGCGGCCGCACTGGCGGTGACGGCGCGCCCAATTTCAAGCGCCACAAAAAGGACTCAAAGTTCGGGTTCGGAGGCAAGAAGCGCCATGCTAAGAGCGGTGATGCGCAGTCCAGTGGTGATCTGCGCGGGTACTCTCAGAAGAAGATGAAGGCCGGTGCGTCGAAGCGGCCGGGTAAGGCCCGGAGAGCGGCGGCGAAGGGCCGTTCTTGATCTCTTTGACGTCTTTTGCTGGAACTTGCATTTTCACTGTGCATCTGTAATTATTGTCTGGGGTCTGTCTGGGTTACTCAAAATGGTTTCTTGTTCTCTGTTCTCTTTTTTTAGGGCACGCGGACTATACTATATAGAAGGCTTGTTATACCTTTCCCTACATAGTCAAGATATGCTCTTCTTCTTTTATATTTTGTCCCCCGCTTCCTTAGTTACATGTCGCAGAGTAGTAGATATCTTCTAAGAGAACGAGTATTTTGGGAGGTCATATGTATATTGTAATCGATATCGTACACATCCACAGATAGGTCAGCTTATTTCTCGGCCTCCAACTTGTCCAACCGATTCCGGTTCCACTTCTCCAGGAACCCTTGCACTTTTGGGCCCCAAACCTCCTCGCCGGCCTCGAAATCCTTGTATTCCAGTGTCTTCTCGGGTGCCAGCTCGTAGTCGCCCTGGCGCGTCCGCACAAGCTCGCTCATCAGGGCGCAGCTGCCCACCGCTTTGCCCAGGTCATGAGCCAGGGAGCGGACATAGAAGCCCGAGGTGACGGTCATGGAGATCTTGACCGCTGCAGGCTGCGGCCGGGACTGCTCGGACTGCGCAGAAGTCGTCTCACCGGTTGCAGGCTCGGGATCCTTGGGTGCGTCTGCTGCTTCGGTCTCTGACACTTTCACCTTTTTGGCGTCGGTAGACTCCTCGTTGGGAGGCGATGACTTTCGTTTCGTGGCCGACGCATCGGAAGTCGTCTCACCCTCTGCTGTCGCGGGCAACGCATCAACCCGGTCAATGAGCTGCTCTGCCGCAGCCCTCTCCTTCCCGACCATCTCCTCCTCAGGCCACTTGTAATCATGCGTCCCAGGCTCATACCACTCCATGATCTTAATATCCAGCGTCTCCACCGGGCGCGCTTTGATCTCCACATCCGGCACCTTGCCCTCGCGCGCATACTCGTAGAGCTTCTTGCCATCTATCCTCAGCGCCGAGAAAATCGGCGGCTTCTGCATAATCTTCCCGCGGAATTGATCGAGTGCCTTCTCCACCGCTTCGCGTGTGACGTGCTCGTATGGCGCACGGCGGGTGATCTTGCCCAGCCGGTCGTAGGTATCGGTCTCCGCGCCGAAGAGAATCGTCGCCTCGTAGGCCTTGGTGCAGCCGAGGAAATCACCCAAGGACTTGGTCCCCTTGCCCACGCCAATGACGAGCACACCTGTCGCGAGCGGGTCGAGTGTGCCGCCATGCCCGACCTTGATTTCCAGGCGTTTGTTGCGGCGCCGTTTTTGCTGGAAATTGGACTCGCGGTCTCGTCGGGCCTTCTCGGAGTCGAGCCATGGCTTGAAAGTCTTCGAGGGCTGGAAGTGCTGCTGTACCTTGCGGACGACGTCGGCGGAGGTGACGCCTTGCGGCTTGTGGGTGGCTGAATGGGAAATGTCAATGCATATTGTAATGATTACAGAAGAATAACTGACCAAAGATGCCCTCGAAGATCTTTTCGCCAGACATGGTGGTGCGAAAGAGTCGATAGAGTGGCATGCCTGGCTGATGCGAAAGAGAGGAAGGAACGAATTCCGGCAGGACCACGGGATTTGTCCGATTTGCCCAGCTCATCAATGACTGACCGCGTCCACCACTGACTCCCGTCAACACCATTACCGCCACTCCCTCTCTCACTTCGAATGACTCTCCTTGCTCAGCAGCCATGTAGCGCACACCATGACTGCCCGCGAAGATACCGTCCTGGCTCCCACCGATCCCTCCGTCACCGATGAGAACGATTGGTGGGAGTTCAGCTTGACCGACGTCAAGGTGCTGCGGCCCGGCAAGATGCTGTACGCGAACCTACTCGATGCCTCCGACGACAATCCCCTACAGGTTATCGGCTGTTTGGAGCAGGTCCGGGAGGATGAGGAGCATTTGGGTATGTCGGATAGCCCTTTTCATTTGATGTATTGATGAACTAACCCTATACCTCCAGTGCTCAACCCCGACTACCTTTCCAAACGCATTGTTATCGACGACGTGACACACTACGCGTATGGACAAACAGAGGATAAGACGATCGAGATATGGGTTGCTGGCAAGGCTGGCTGGTACGACATCTCGCCAGCCAAGGGATACCTGCCTACCTTCAACCGCATGGTCCAGTCGATTGACCTGCTGTATTTCCTGGTGGACCGACACAAGCAGGGTCGCAGACAGCTGAAACCCACTGTCCGGGAGCTATGTGAACAAGTTAGTCGCGTGTTTGTTTGTTGCCTGGCCCGTCCACTGACACCCTCCCAGTACATCTACCACACTCACGGCGTGTGCGAGGACAGAGCACAGTCCGCCGAAGTCTTCAAGGACCACGGTCCTTTCTTACTTCGCTGCATGATCCGGGACGAGGAAGAGGTGCAGTGGAAGAAAACCAACATCTTCAACCACCTGCGCCGCCAGTGTCGCGTACGTTTTGTTTTTCTTTCCCAACCAAAACGTACCCATGCTTACATGACTGCTATATAGGAGGCTTACGACCAGATCATGGAGGAGGTCTCGTCAAGCTCCGCCGATGAGGCTCAAGATGAGCCTGAAGTTTCGACTCCTCGACATGATCCAGCTGCGATTGCGAAATCGCAGACTTATGCCATCTACCAGCTCCTCAAAGAGCTACGAGACGAGGGCCAGCTGGCCAAACGCCGACTTCACATCGATCTCTTGCAGGAACGCCTAGCCAGTCGATATTCCTTGACCGACAAGGATGGCGCACAGAAGATCATCGCTGCCCGAGCAACCGCCGTGCTGGAGTTGATGGATGCCGAGGAAGGTTTTCGATGGCATCGCTACGTGATCCACCGGGAGCTCAAGCAAGCTGCCTCGAAACATACCCCCCTGCCACCAGCGCTTCTCACACCCCTGCTCGCCTTGGAACCCTCCAGTGACGAAGATAGCGGTCGAGTCCGCAAATCCGTGCTCCGACCCAAGGCCACCTCGAAGAAGTTGATGGGCAAGCGAAACAAAGATGCCGCTGCCAATCAAGAAGCCAAAGAGTCCGACGCCGACGACGACGAGGAAGACGCCCCGGACGAGATGAACACACCCAGCAAGACCCGAGGCCATGAGCTAATCCGCGACCCATTCTCTTCTGCAAAGCCGCGGACCCGCTCCATCCTGTCCGACACGGGACCTGCCGCTTCTCTTATGAAGCGACTGCTCCAGGACACCGTCCAGACACCCACAACCCCGATCCTCTCAGACACAAATAACGGCACATCAGACTTAAGCTCCCTACCTACCACCGGCGACTCTGAGCTCGAGTCCGACGATGTCTGGACCTGCCATATGCCCGAATGCACCAAGACCATTGTCATGAAGGCCGGGGACGAGCGCAAGAAGCTGGTCGAAGCACATGCCACCGAACACGACTGGAAGACTCAGATGAGGGTCGAGCTTGTGGAATCTGAGAGGCGCTTGCACTCGGCTTTCCCCGTTACCAATCTCATGCAGTACCTCGTCAACCAGCACTACCAGCAGATGCGCACTGCATTTCCGGAGCTTTATGAGGGGGATAACCAAAGGAACGGAAATGGAACCATCGAGCACGCGCTGAGCCCTAGCGATAATGGTGATGCGGAGACAACGCCTAAAAGCCAGCGCTCCTCTGCAAAGAAACAGAAACTGACGCCCGCTGATGTGAATGGCCATACCTGAGATGTCTCTTCACGCATACAAATCGATGATCATGATTTATCGACTTTTGGAGCAACGCGAAGAGAATGGAGACCACACTTGCTTGGCTATTCCCTCTGGTAAGCCTCGCTGTCCGTCTGCCTGATTTCAATCCATGGTCGAACTGGATCCTGGAGGCAGACACACCTCATCCTCTCATCCGCATGATACCAAGTCTCACTCCAACTGCCATCTACACACATCCTGAGGAATATTCCTCTCTTGGAGTAAGAACTAAACAAAACGACGTCCGGGTCAGCGTCTGCTCACCAAAATCTTCTTCCTCTCGAGGCCAGTTTGTCTGAATTCGGCCTTCTCGGCACCTTCGGTTCCTATCAAGCGTGAAAGGGGTAGCAGTGTTGCCCCGACCATGGGAATCTTTTCGAGCTTACGCGGGAGTTGCTTTGCATTTGTAGATGTACTACTGGACAGAGGTTGGGCGGGTGATTTTCTCTCATGGATCTATCTACCTACTATGTGTTTGCTTCGTTTTGCTCTGTGCTTTTTTGCTGAGATCCACCCAATCTGTCTATAGTAGAGAACACAAGTGCATGTCCAGCACATATTCAAGAACAAATTCAACTGGAAAGTAGCTCAAGACAACTGGGTTTTGTAAGACGCTCTATGTATGTAGGAACAGGTACAAGGTATCTTGCTATTTATGACTAAACTCCAGCAACACTCTAAACTGCTATTTCCAAAACTCGCCGTGCTTTTGATTTGCTCGCCATCCATGCACCTGGCCGCAGTAGACTGTACACCGTTTTTGCTCGGAAGTTGAAATGGGGATGAAGGAAGAGGATGAGAGCTAACGTAGGTGAAGAAGACAACATTAGTTTAGTTGCGCTGGACTCGCGAAGATTCAAGAGGGAAAGAAAAAGAGCTGTGAGGTACAGATGTGTTTTGAGGATGATAGGAGACATGGTAATGGAGAGACAGGGAGAGAAGTGGAAGATCACGAGATGTAACTACAAGGAGTGCAAGGTATGTAAAGGCAAAGAAAGAATATGTAGGTGCAATGACAAGGTAGAAGAAGAGTGAAGGTATGTTCATGTATCGAGAAAAGAAAGATCTAGCTCCAGGCCAGGCCGAGAGGAAGGAGGGTTCATTGCTGGTGGGTGTTGTAGGCATCGACGAGGGCTAAAAGATATCAGTTATCTATCAAGCGAGGTTAATTAAAGTAAGGGGAGAGGGAAGCTTACTCTGCAGAGTAGACGCCTGGCCCTGACGTGATTCACAAGCACACTGGAGGGTGCTCCCATCCAAGAAATCTAAGAGGATACTATTCGGCAGTTCCTGACAGTCCTCATCGGGTAGACAGGGAGTGCGGAATTCTGACAGGTGGTACCGCTTAACCATGTTACGGGCAGTGGAGTCCGTGGTTCCTGGCGCGAGAACTAGGAATCCATTCTCGTCGACGCGCATGAAGCGGCGCTTCCAGAGAAGCGTGTCGGGGAACTGGACGTTGACCTCGCCGATGTCGATAGGGTTGAAGGCTGGCTTGTGGGCGACGGAGTGGTTATCCATAGCTGCAAATGTAGTATCTTCTTCCTTTACGGGCGAGGTCAAGGCACCGATGACGCTGCGGCGGGAACTGGACGTAATAGATGACATGCGACGCATGAGGCGCGAGGCGCGTGAGCCCTTCTTTTCATCGGATGTGGGAGAGGTCGATTGGAGTGTGTCGTCGGTTTTGGTGCGCGAGGCAAAGGAGAGGCGGCTGCCGGGTCGGGACGTCGCCCTGGAGCCGGCAGATGAGACGGACGGCCTTCGGTCCTCGGACTGATTGGTTGTGGTTTCGAAAAGAGGCCCCTCGGCTCTCTCATGCTCGACTGTCAACGGACTCGCATGCAGATTAAGTACATCAGACTCCAAGGGCTCGGGCGACATGGCCGAATCTCGGACGATGCGAGCCGTAACGGAGATCGAGTTTGTGCGGCGTGTGTCATGGCCAGCAGCCGGGTGAGTATGATGATTCAAGCTTGGAGCTCGAGAGAAATCAGGGGGCTGAGTACCACTGGGCAGCGAGACCGACGCGCGCTTCCGCAGGCTTTCAAAGGAGGACGAGGCGGAGGGTCCAGTGACGGTCTGGCCTGAGATGGAAGGCGTTCCTTCGCGACTGGACAACTTTTCCAGGGCCTTGATGCGATTCGAAATGCCGGAAGACACGTTGATCTTCTTGGCCATAAGCACCGGAGTCGGCGGCCCGTTGTCAGGGTAATTGCTGGAAGCCGACCTGCCCACTGCCCGTGCCTGCATGTTGGCTGGTGATCCCGGGGTGTCGGGGCTCGAGACAGAGCGCGAGCTAACGTTGGGCGATGACACCGCCACGGGTCTAGCCTCTTGAACGGTCGCCGACTTCAATTCCTCCATGAACGAGTCGTCTGAAAGGAGGTTGTCATCATCCGAATACTCTGCGGTGGGAACGTGAATTGGCTCTAGATTGATCTTGCGCCTCTGGTCCAAAGAGGCGCGTTTGGGGTTTGACAGGTGCGTATCCAAGGATGCGGCCTCAGGCGCAGGCTCGTCCAATGAACCGGGATCAATTGAAACCACTATAGGGGGATCGACTGAAGAGATTGTCGATGGCGATGCAGGGACAGCAACGGATTCAGAGGCCTCGGCTGGGCTGTTTTCTACAGGCTCATCAGTAGCAGATGAAATCCTCGGCTGACGTGAAGAGAGATCTTCAGCCTCTGAGGCTGCGGGTGACCCTTTTTCGGGTGGGACCTGGGCGTTGGCGCTAGGCGGGACGGCGTCATCCTTAGTCTCGCTCAGACCAAGGATTGCGGAGTGCCCGTGCTCGGCACGCGTTTCATCGTCAGGGAGCGTCTGCGGCGTCTCGGGTTGAACAGTTTCAGAGACCGTATCAACAGGTTCCATAGAATTGGCAGTGTCAGCGCTTGGTGATCCGCCCTCAGAACCGGACACCGTTAAATCCGCTGTCGGTGCGGGTTTCGCGACTTCGACAGGTGCTTCGACAGGTGCGGAAGCGTCCTCCTTTTTGGACTCAATGGCAGGGTGGGGGTCAGAAACTGGTTCGGATGTTGGAGGTAACGGTTGTGGAGGTGCCTCGAACCCTTCGCAATGTGCCGACTGCGGCTCAAAGCTCTCCGACGTAGGCTGCTCCGGTTCGACTCTCTTAGGTCCGAACTTCACCTGTTCAAGCATCTCTGGTCCGGGATTCTCAGGCTCAGGCCGCGGTTCAAGCATCGCCGACTCGACATTCTCTGGCTCAAGCTCCTCCGGCTCCTTTTTCTCTCGTTGAACGTTCTCTGGTTTAGGCTGCGGTTCAACCTTCTCCGACTTAGGTTGCTCTGCCTCGAGCTTCTCAGGCTCGTACTTCACCGGCCTGAACTTCACCGGTTGAAGCATTACTGGCTCGATCTTCTCCGGCACACGCTGTGATTCAACCTTTTCGGGCTCGACCTTGATTGGTTCAGGTTTCTTCAGCCCAGCTTTCTCCGACAGGGGAGCCTTATTCTCCTTATTCTCCGAAGAAACCTTGCTCGCAGTCGGCTCCTCCTCCGCAATACTCTGTTTTCGGTTCGCTTGTTCCGCACGCTTCGCCTGCGCCTTTTTTCTCTGTTGCAACGCCTTCATCAACCGCTCTTTCTCCGGCGTCATTCCCGAAGAAGTCGAAAGCGCGCCGAGTGATTTAGCACCGGGAGACAGCTGCGGCCGTGAAATAGGTATTGATGGTGGAGGCACCAGAAGTGGAGGAACAGGGGGCATCTTGAACTTGCTGGGTCTAGACGCGAACTGGCTGCCTTGGGACCGCGGTCGCGGCGTGTCCATGTCCGCGGCCGGTGGTTTCCGTAATGATGAGGAGCGGATACCCGCTGGAAGTGAGGCGACGGGGCGCTGTTCTGTATTTCGGGAAGATCCTGAGGTGCGTGGGCGGCCGCTGCTGTCCACGGAGGGTCGAGGCCCTAGCTTTACTTTCTGGGTATATGATCCCGTTCGTTCTAGATCTCGTAGCGAAGGTCGCGAAGACTGAGTAGACATTCGGATATCGTCAGATGGGCGCGGGAACTCGTCCAGGATACTCCTTGGTTTTTGCCGTTCTGAGAAGGTACTCGGGGACATGGGCGGCGACATAGGGGACAAGGCGCTTGATTGCAGTTCATGGGGACTGGTCTTGAGAGGCGGCGCCGTTCTCGCACTGTCGCGCGACGGCGGTGGCCTGAGGTCCGGCGAGGTTGTCTCTGTCGACGGCGATGGCGCAGTGGACGGCGGCACGACGGTGGCTTCTGATCTCTGACTTCCTGATCTTTGCCGAGTTTGGAGTTCAGGTTTGGGAGGTTGCGCTTCATCTTTGGCGCCGTTCTCCTCGGCATCTTCCGTGATCTCCATCAACCGACGGCGACGGAGAGAGCTCGACGAGGATGTGATAGAGGTGGACGCGGTATGGAGCAGACAGGCGGAGGACAGCGCGCTCTCAGTGAGCTCGGCAGCCCGGGCGAGGGGCAGGACTGTGTCATTGGGGGTGAACTTGTCGAGGAAGGATCCGAATTGGACATTGCTCCGAGCTGCCACAGGAATTAGTATTGGGAGAACAGCCAAGCCGGACAAGCATACCCTGGATGAGGCGCGACAAGCCCTCGGGCATATATCGGATCACCACCTTCCTGCGGCGGTATTGCAGGAAGCCATACAGCGGCGAGATTTCGGAGTAGTTGGCGATGGCATTGCGGATCTCGGAGACACCGCCGGTGCCTCGATCAAGCAGGGTTACTTCGTCGCGGGAGACATAGTGCAGCAGGAACCTAGGGGCGAATTAGATTATTGGGGGGAGAATGCAAAAAGGGGAAGTGCGGGAGACGCACCATCCGCCGGCGTCTGCGAGGGCCCCTTGGTAGGCATCGAAGACGGCGGGATTGTCTAGCCCATTGAGAGACATGGCGCGACGCGCATGGTAAGAGAGAGGAAAAGAGAAGGTGGGAAAGGGAAAGAAAAAGAGGAAGCTGGGGAAAGAAACCAGCCGATCGATCGGATCTGGTGAAAGAAAGGTTGGTTCAGGGGATTTGATGGACTCCACCGGGCTTAGTGAGTTCGTCTTAGTGAGATTCTGAAACGCTGGCGAACCGCGGTATACACTCTATTATCTCGAGATGCCGTGAACTATACATTATTGATGGATTGAATCATTATTCATGAATCGACCTAATTTAATAGCCAGATCGAAATCATCCCTCGGCCATAGATCTAGGAACATTTCCGTTTGGGGGGCGGCCGCCGACTGAGCGGGCCGTAAAGCGGCCGAACGGACTCGGGGAGAACTAGCCTTGTATTAATCACTCCCGCAGGTTCCTTTTGAGCCTAGCACCCTCCTTCGTAGATTTCACTCGTTATACCAAGCTTTCCGAACCCACACATACGAACGCCGAACAAGTTCCCAATAATAGAATATAAATTCGATATTGTTATGTTATCATATAGAAAAGAAACTTCAAACAAAAGATCTTGCCGATGGCTCATAACCGCAATAGGGAAGCTAGAGAAGAAAAGAGAAGGTATCACCCAATATTTGATATATCTCGCATATTACCTAGATTAACAGAGTTCTGTTGGCATTACTCACCGACTTCACGATCAGCATCCCAATGACCATACTTCTCCATGACTCGCCACTTCCACGTGTTGTGACGAATTGGCTTGCCCCAGACATAGAAAATCACAACTAGAGCCATAAACACACCAGAGATACAGGCCATTTCCCCAAATGCTTTAGTATAACCTTCCAGGTCAATCCAAGGGTTGGTATAAAAAGACAACAGAAACCCAAAGGCCGCTGACACGCGTAGATATCGTCAGTTTGCGAACGGCAGATTTGCTTCATCCCACAAGACTTTGGAGACATACCTTTGAATGCTAAGATAGATACTGTGACCTCGCCGACAGCGGGTCTGTAGCAGTCAATCACATAAACCATCGCCACATTAGTAGCCTGGACAATGGCAAAATTCAACAATCCAAGGCCTAGGGTCGGAACCATCCAATGAAGATGGTTATTCACGCCAACCCCATACAGGATCAAAGACAACGGCGCACATATTCCTCCGATGGCCAGAGACGGTAGACGCATCTCCGGTTCTCGAATGCCACCGTTTCGTTGTGTAAACCAGTCAGCGGTCCAATCGGAGATATGCCCACCAAATACGATTCCGATGAGAGAGCCCACCATGCTGGACACAAAGCACAGGCCAGATTGCCATGAAGTGAAATGATATACCTCTGAAAAGGCAGTAGCAAAGTTGGATGTAATCGCCACAAGGAATCCGATGGTCACTGAAAAGACCAGTGATGTCCATAGGACAGGGGGCAAGATGATAAGAACAATTGGGCGCAGAAAAATTCGAAATAGCGACTCGGATGTGTACGATCCATTGAACAAGCGTAAGGAACTAATATAGCTTTCCTTGGTTGGAGTTTCGTTGAGCGCAGCAGACTCATGGTGTTCCGAAGCAGATGACTTTTGCGAGCCCGCTTTCACTTCTACTTCTTCGCTGAGTACCGTATCCTCTTGCTGCTCAACCTGGCGATCAAATGTTGTCTCGGGAAATGTGAAAATAACCAAGACGGTCACGGCACCAATGAGTGCAGAGGCAACCCAATAGATGTACTGCCAGCTGTGAGTGATTGTAATGAGGCCGTCGATGATGATACCACCGGCGACTCCCATTGACAAAGCCGCGGTATATGTTGCCATGACGGCACCACGTTCGTGGAGGAAGAATATATCAGCAATAGTCAAGGGTCCCAGGCACTCTCCAGCGCCCGCAGCAAATCCCATAATGATTCGTCCGGCAAGTTCAACTCCATATGTTTTGGCAAACCCAGCCCACAGACCCGTGGCGAAGTAGATGACGAAGGAGATCACGTAGATCGGTCTACGGCCGTACTTGATGATCAATGGCATCCAAAAAAGCATTCCGACTCCCTGACAGAGAGCGGTGGAACTATAGAAGAACGCCACTTTTGAGATGTGGGCATTGAAATCCGGTCCCATTGGACCCATGAAGTCGATGGTCGTCTCGACGATCGCCACCGTGGGCCCTGCCGCAAGGAAGTTGCAGAAAAAGACAGCCAGGCATACAACAATCGCAAGATAATATCGGAAGGCCCGCGACCTGAGTTAATCATACGGTTACGGTCACCTTCTTGGAGGCTAGTAGATAACCGAAACTCACCAGTTCAAGGGATCATTGGGGTCCTTCGATGGGGTCGGCACCAGGATGATTTCATTTGTTTCCTGGTGTCGTAGCCTTAGGCTACCCAGGGTGTTGGTCTGGACGCCATCTGGCCGAAGAGTGGTGGTCTTGGATGGCATTGGAGCTTCCAGAGGGGATACAAAAGTGGATCAAGAAAAGATCGACCAAGCGGTGATCCTCTGCTCTTAAGGAGAGGAATTCGATGGACTCATCCGGCTAGTATCTCTGAATGGACATTCTGCCCCCTTTGTCATCGGCTGTTCTGCACGGATCAGTTCGGGATGTGGGCACTGACTAGTTGAATCATGAATTACCCCACGGGGAAAGGAGGCCCAAACATCCGTTTGGCCAATCTCCAATTTTTCAACCCCAGCGGGGCCCGAGTCGTGCTGTTCCGAGCCGAATTTTGACGAACCCAGGCACTTTAAGATAGGCGGCGGTGCGACATTCTGGTAATGACCTTGTCGTCAACACCGGTTGCCCTTTGCCTCTGAATCCATTTTGGCTTAATCCGAGAAGACCGACTCTCAACCCACGCAGCATGCAAATCGTTTGGCGAAACTCTATCGACGACGGTGCCTATGAAGATGCTCGTGTTGGGCGCGTCTTTAACTATCGTCGGCCGCAGCGGTTTCCATTAGCCGTCGTGAAAGCCACATGTCAAGATGACATTGTTGATGCGGTCAAACTGGCAGCAGAGAAAAATTGTCGAGTCGCTGTTCGATCTGGTGGACACTCATGGGCGGCGTGGAGTGTCCGGGATAATTCAATCTTGATTGACCTGGGGAACTACAAGGTCCTGGAAGTCGATGAGCATAATCAGCGGGCAGTCGCTTCACCAAGCACAACTGGGAGAGAACTCAACTCTGTTTTGACTCAACAATATGGGTTGATGTTTCCTGGGGGTCATTGCCCCGACGTGGGTCTAGGCGGGTTTTTGCTTCAAGGAGGCATGGGGTGGAACTGCCGTGTATGTGCTGAGGCATTCGATCCACCTATTGCTTTCTGACTCGTTGTACAGACCTGGGGATGGGCCTGTGAGCGGGTGGAAGCTGTTGATGTAGTAACAGCGGAGGGTGAATTGCTCCATTGTAATTCTCAACAGAACCAAGAGCTTTATTGGGCTGCGCGAGGTGCTGGACCAGGTGAGCCCTATGACGATTGCTATCTACTCACAGCTTACAAGATCGGAACCAGGGTTTCCCGGAGTGGTTACAAAGTTTCACCTCAATCTCCTTCCATATCCTGAGAAGGGGTTCCGCTCATCTGGCTATATTTATCCTATTCGCCTGTATCGAGAAGCGTTCCAGTGGATTCTGTCCATCACGCCTACGTTCGACCAGGATACCGAAATAGCAGCTGTAGCCCACTATCCAGAGAACAGTGAGGAAATTTGCCTCTTCATTCTCTTTGTTGTAATGAAGCACGACCCTACCGAAGCGGAGAGAGCACTTCGCCCAGCCCACCAGACACGTCCCGCTGGAGCTCTCACAGAATGGTTTTGCGAGGAAGATAGTCTACAGAACCAGTACAGCAAGCAGGCAAATGCTAACCCCGAGAAGCATCGATACTGCGCGGACAATGCATATCTATTCAATGATGCTGACGTCCCCGCTGTTTTAGAGGAGGCTTTCACAACTCTTCCTCACAAGAAAGCGTTCTCGTTGTGGTACGCGATGAATCCCTGCAGTCGGCGAGAATTGCCGGATATGGCTCTCAGTATGCAATCCGACCATTACTTTGCCTTGTATACGGTTTGGGAAGACGAGGTTGATGATACCCGATGTCTGGAGTGGGTTCGAGGTGTCATGAAAAACGTCGAACGACATTCAGTGGGAGCATACTTAGGCGATTCAGATTTTCAAGTCCGGAAAAGCAAATACTGGTCTGACCAAAATGCTGCCCGCCTGATGGAAATTCGGAAGAAGTGGGATCCGGAGGGGAGGATCTGTGGGTATTTGGACAAGGGAGATCTGTCCGGCGCCGAGGGACTTGACAACGCTAACCAGTGGGAAATATGATGCAACTTTTGCTGAACTCGTACTGTATTCCCGTTTGTTTTTACCGTCTAACCTTAAATAGTTGTTCCATAAATGTTTATCAGAACCTTGTTACTTTCGGTTTATATATCTAGGGCAGAGCTGGCTAAAGCCAAGTCTCATGCAAGTCGAGTCCAGCGACTAACATATGGCAATGAGAGATATGTTCATATGATACTGAATAATACACATGGTTTCTCTCCCTACTACTTAGACTTATACAGATGCAAGTGGAGAACCATTCCGCACCGTTTCTCGGGATGTGGGGAGAGGTTGTTACTATGTATCTGGCATTGATCCGCAACTATTGGAACATGTGGGGTAACTCGGCACTGCTGGGGGATTGGGACGACGCCTATTTCCTACGGGTTGAACGGTCCACCTTTTTTCCGAAGCTTGTCCCTGGGTCCAAAAGAAACTTAGGAATACCCTTGCCATTCCAACCACAGCCCCTCAAAAAAGGCACCGCTCATCACACTATTTCGGATGGAGGTTCAAACGCTTCTTGGTAAAGTAGCCATTGTCAGCGGCTCCTCTTCGGGCATAGGGGCGGCCATCGTTAGAGAGCTATCTTCACGGGGAGCCAACACGGTCGTTAACTATCCATCCCCACAATTTCAACTCGAAGCCGATGTACTGGTCAAATCTCTCCCATGCCCATCGATCGCCGTGGAAGCTGACATGTCGACCACTACTGCTCCACAACAACTTGTGGATGCCGCAGTAGCACAATGGAACCGAATAGACATCGTCGTCAATTGTGTGGCGCTGGCAGTCAACAAGCCATTAGAAGAACAAACGCTTGAAGACTGGGATCAACTCGTGAATATCAACGGCCGGGGCACCTTCCTGCTGACCCAAAAGAGTCTGTCGCATCTGACCAAAGGTAGCGGGCGCATTGTGAATATTGCCAGCATCTCTGGCCGCGGTCCGCCGCCGAACCAGACCATCTACGCGGGAACAAAAGGCATGGTAGACTCGTTTACAAAGTGCTGGTGAGCTCTCCGATCGGCTTTAGACAATGAAAATCCTGACATGAAAGCCAGGGCGAAGGAGTTGCCTCCGAAATATGGATGCACCGTTAATGCGGTCAGCCCCGGACCGACCAAGACTGAGGGCTTTGCAGCAGCTGGTGACGAACAGATGAAAATCCTCCAACCTATTATTGATCAAACACCCGTGGGATCAAGAATGGCCGAACCTGAGGAGATCGCGTTCGCGGTTGCATTTCTATGCGAGGAAAGGGCGCGCTGGGTCAATGGCGCGCATCTTATCGCGTCGGGCGGACTATTCATTGACTAGAACTATCATTGATATAATTGTTTTTCGCGGAGCAAAATATGTCTTATATGATTTAGGCGACTACTGTTGAGAGACACTTCATCTTTCGGAGTTGGAAATTGTCCGAATAGTAAGCCGGGTCTCCGTCGACTTTCCGTGATATCCATGATAGGATTCCTAGAAGGAATAATAGTACTCTAAAGTACACCCTGGCAAAAAGGCGAGTGACGTAAAGGTACAATCGTCGTTCATTGTATTAACTACCTGATAGATATGTTACCGTTAAGTGAAAGTAACCTTGTTGTTTCTTTCTGATTAGTTGAAGGGCAAAATGCGTATAGTAAATGAGGTTCTCATCATAGTGGAATAACCAAGCTACTATCCGATTTCGTATGATTCTGTTGATTATATACTGCTCTTGTTCGTTAGAATGCGGCCGAAAGCACACCCAATGCCGGTACAATATGTATTTAGTTTCCCTCACTTGCAAGGGAGATCCTGGAAGACGAATTTGAAAACCTCAAAAATTGGACGGACATCCTAACCGTACAAGTATTCGAATTTGAATATACGGAACTATGCGGAAACCAGGTCAACATCGCCGTATCTGTCCATTTCCAGGCTCCGATTCCTGTTTCAGCCATTGCTCGCCCAATAATAGCCGGAGCACCTTTTACTGTTTCAGCACATACTTGAGTAGGTTTTCAGAAAAAATAAATCGTTACATCAGAGACAGAGAGAGAGACCTGACTCGCTAGAGAAGAGCAACTATTCGTTTTCACCCTCTGAAGACGACGAATAGTCGTCTGGGTGATTAACGATATCCCAGTCATACCACGGAACAACATCTTTTGCCGGAAGCTTCTTCCAGCCATCAAAACACTGAGCTCTTAGATCCAAGCCACCACCCTCGGAGTTCAGCAACCCCTCCGGGAGAGCGGTTTGAATAAAGTCTTCGAGTTTATGAATCTCAGCAATTCGGACTGTTTTTTCTGGATCATATCCTAGATCTGTGATATAATTTTCAATGGCCTCTTCATCGTCCCAGAGAAAATTGCCACAGTCATCGTATTTGGGAATCCATATCTTTGGTACTTTGGCCCATTTATCAATACGGGCCTCAATAATACAGAACCTATTGATGGGATACAATTAGTTTACCCATGTTTCCTTAGTTAGGGCCTATGAACGAAGATGATACATACCATGGATAATAAGGCCAGTCGCGTGGGCCAGTCGAAAGGTATACCACGTCGCCTAGCTGAAAAGAGCTTGCCGGGAACCAGACCAATGTCCCAGCCTCATTATAGGCATGTGCTTTATACTAGAAGAGAAATCATTGAAGTCAGGTTACGAATTTTGAAACAAAACAGTTGAGCAAGCTTCCATACATCCACAACATTTCGGTACCCAATAACTACATGAGTGCGACTAGGCGTGGCGAGCACAAAGCCGAACAGGCTCAGTAAGGGCAATATGTTCAAGAAGATAGGCAACATGTTGGAGAGAAGGTGAGAGAACGCTTTCGAATGAAAAGTCGGAAAGGATAAAGAGACGGAAGCGGATAAGGTACTCTGAAAATTGTCTCGAGCGGAAACTCCTCTAAAAAGGCCTCTAAATAGTTAGTCCTTCAGGTATGAATCCTTTAGGTACGAATAGCCATGATAAACGTTAATGTCTCTCTAATTGGTTAGTCTCTAGCGCAAAGAGGGCAGGCCGTGTTAGCGCGGCCCCCGAAGCGCTTGTAGAGAATCATATGTCGAAAATGAGGTTACCATACCAGATTTTGCCCACTAATTCCTAGCCTGCTTTGGGTTATGTAATTTCTTTGTGTATTTTAATTGTCTGACATTTAAGTCCTTTACAGAATTAGAGAAGAAGGGATTTGTTCACTCGTGGTTTGAATGTCCATGTTGAGACGTCGTACATGCTGCATTTGACATCATTCTTAAAAATACGCAAGATAACTCTTATTCTTGCCGAGCCCGCACTACTATGGAATGGAGTAAATTATAGATGTTCTTGTATTGTAAAAGGGGCGAGTATTTCTGTTCAGACCTCACGTCAGGGTTAAGTAGGGGCCAAGAAATTCCACTCCAGGGGGCCCACCATCAGCCCCTTACCAAGGAACTTATACCTAGTTAGTCTTAGGATAAGTCCCAGAAAAGAGGCCAAAAGGGGGCCAGAAAAATGATCATTAGGGGATTAGCTTTTCTTCCTATCGTTTGGAGATTTGTGTTTTTTCTATCAGAAACAGCGCACGCAATGGAAACAGCCTTGCGGTGTCTTCTTTGTCGCGAAAAGTGGTACTGGGATTCAAACCAAGAAAGCTATGTAAAATTCGATGAAGATGGGACAGGACAGGTAAGCCAGTAATGCGGCGCATACCTAGGTTATTATTTCGTTATTCCCCTAACTTTGTTCCAGCTAGTCGCTCGCCGAGAACTACAGATCTTTATTGCGGCGTACTTTACCTGGAAGCCCCAGTCGGACAGCCAACGCAGACTCAATAATACAGTCGGTCTCAGCTCCGAGACTCAATCTAATGCACAGCTATTGCATACAATAGCCATCGAGATACAGCTTTCTAAGCGTCGGGTTCAAGATGCAGCCATAATCGATATCGACCGGTATCAAATCAACGAGGATCTACTTTCAGAGACTGCCTTTTCATCCAACACCTATACTGTGCGGATTGAGAGAGGAAAATTTATGGGCGTTGAAGATGCGAGACTTATCTCTAAGCTACCGTATCTTTGTTATTATTCATATCGGCTTCTGTTTGACTCTTCGCCTTTCCCCCACGACATTTATGGAAGGGCAAGGAGATGGATCGTGCACTAGAAAATTACAGGTTTTGGGAGTGGAAGCAGTTTCTATCTGGAAGACTACCGGTGGAGAAAAATGGATCTTTAGATCGAGGACGATGAGAATGAACAGCATGATGTACTGTGCTTTGTTTTATCTTCTAGGATGGGCTCAACTGTTCTATGAATTGTTAGGAGAGAGTTTAAACCCCGCCCCCCCCAAAAAATCTCTCTTTCACCCACCGAGGAACACTGTGTACTGTTCGGTGGTGGCTAGATCCATATCTTAACATGACCCCGACTCGAATCGGGTTCCATACTGCGACCACACAAAATCGCCATACAACAGAAACGCAGTGGTGAACAATTACGAACGACTTATCACAGACGACACTGTTGCCTTACTTTCGGAGTTTGAATCGAATTCTGATTTTCTAGCCCGAGACCTACCGTCTCGCTTTACGTCAAACTTGAATAGTGTTCGCAAAGAACTCCAATGTGCTTTCTCTGGGGCCTCACCTTTCGTTCTTGACCATGAAGACTTAAGGAGGTGAATGTCCTGATAAACACGGATACCGGAAACGTCAGAGGGCTATTGACTGGGCGGAAGCGAAGACCCTTCCATTTGGCTTTTCGTTGTATGGCTCTGAGAGTATCTATGGATTTAGGAGTTCAGACGGGTGGCACTACTACGAAAACCGTCGTGAAATCCAGAGTCTCTTTTGCCAAACCTTTCGGAAGAAGTGGCGGATGTCTGGATGCTAATTTGCATTTGGTGGCCGGCTTATGCTACTGTGTTGGACTCGAAAGATGTCGTGGGCCGGTCCCGCTCTTCCTTCAAATGTTTCGATGCTTTTTGTAAGCTGATGACTGAGCTCCTATATCATGAGCCAGTTTACGATGCGTTAGTAATTGATCGAGATATCACGCGCAGATGCCGAGATCTATATTGTCGGAATAACAATGGTAACTATAAATCAGTAATTGGTCAATTTGGGTAGCGCAACTATATAAGCTGAGACACCGGCAGTGACCGGGCCAATCTCATTTAGAGTGTTATGATACCATCTCTCCATGTAAAAGATATTTAGGCATGGGTGAATATAGTGAATCAAAAATTAGTCTAGATCTGATTGTGGTTGCCCACTTCTCCACTAGGTTACAACGTTCCCACGCTCTCCTCCGCTCGGAACTCCCCGACGACGCGCGCGGTATAAGAACAAGACCATCACCCACCATGTTCTTCTCCCCCCAACCATGTCCGACCTCCCACCCCCCTCGACCCTGTCGACCCTCCCCCACGATGCGCAACTGCGGGTGCTGGATACCCTCTTCGAGCCGTCGCCCGAGCTGCACCAGCTGATGCAGCCCGTGCTGGCTGGCCAGTCCTTCACCTCCTACTCTGCGCTTATCGACGCCGTGGGCGGGCGCATGTCTGCGCTGTCCGCAGATAACTCACCCACCGACCGCAAAGTACTCGTCGGCATCCTCGGCTCACATCCGCGACTGGGCCGGGCGCCGGCCAACCCGGAACACCTAAGCGAGCTGAGCAAGAAAGAACAGGCGCAATTGAACACCGGGGCCGAGGAACAGGCGGAAAAGCTACGCGCATTGAATGCAGAATACGAGGAGAAATTCCCAGGGCTGCGATTTGTGTAGGTCGACCCGTTTGTGTTATCCCCCAGGCGATACTGATGACGGTAGGTCCTTTGTCAACGGCCGCAGCCGCGACGTGATCATGGCCGAAATGCGCCAGCGCATCGACCGGGGCGACGGCGAGCGCGAAATCGCCGAAACCATTCAGGCCATGTGCGATATCGCCAAAGACCGCGCGGGAAAGCTGCAGGCGAGGATGTAGGCTCGGTAAAAAGAGCCATGGGGAGGGTCCAGGCTTATCGATCGCTTTGATGTCATGATTGATTCCGGCTGGTGCCGTGTAAGATTAGAGGGTCAACGCCACCCAGAATCCCATTTATTTTCCCGTTCTCTTTCTTTCTCTTGTAAATAAACCATTTCTGCCATCCTCCATGCGAGGCAGGCCATGGAGAGCCCGAGCGTGGACAATGCCGAGCCCAAGCCCGCCAGGGCCGCCACATCCCCCGGTATGTATGCCCGTCGGGTAGTCGGGTTCCCAATCCCTCACTGAACACCGCAGGCGCAATCGCTTCCGACGAGGCATCGGGCTCGAGCAGCAGCCAACATGATAGCCAGAGGAATTCTCGTCGCCTGCCGGCCATTGGAGGGCCGCTAGCCCGCAACTCGACTGCGCAGACGCTACAGGAGAACCGAACGGAGTCGAGCGCCATCGATCCGCTGTCGCAGGTGTGTCCGAACCCTAACTAACTAATGGGTTTATTGGCATAACTAACACAACGCACCGTAGCACATCATCCGGCGCACCAACACGCAAAAGTCAATCCCTCTGAAGTTGCTGGGAAAGGCGTCCTACGAGGCGGAAGCGGGAGGCTCGGAGCAGAGCTTGTCCGAGCTGGGACCAGCCCGGAGGGATGCGCCGGCATCTAAATCACCCAGAGAAAAGAAGTAAGGATCGAGATTGACGGCTGTTGTGTTCCCATCCAGCATAACTAACCCCACGCCCTCTAGAAAAGGCGTCTCGTTCCTGAGCCGCATCATCGGGACCAAGAAAAAGGACTCCACGTCAGAAGTGGAAGATGAGAACTCGGAATACGACACCAGCCGGGTGTCCGTCGACACTTCGCAGCCCATTGGTTTCATCCCGCGACATCCGGCGCCCTCTCGCTATGTGAAAGTCCGCGCACACTACACGAAAGACAAGGCCTTTAACCGGGTCTTCCTGGCACAAGAGCTGGAGGGCACAGATGCACTGGTCACCGAAGGGCAAACTTCCACAGCACATATTGGTGAACAGACCGAGAGAGCTGTCTGGGCGCTGGAGTTTTCCCAAGATGGCAGGTACCTTGCGGCGGCAGGCCAGGACCGAAAGGTCCGGGTGTGGGCTGTCATTGCAACTCCAGACGAACGAGAGGACGCAGATCGAGAAGGGGAAAAACCGAGCATTGACGAACAGGACCGGCCTCGACTGAAAGCACGGGTGTTTCAGCCCAAGCCGGCTCAGGTGTATGAGGGCCACACGGGGAGTATCCTGGATGTGAGCTGGAGCAAGAACAGTTTCATTCTTTCCTCATCCATGGACAAAACAGTCCGGCTGTGGCATACAAGTCGACCTGAGTGTCTTTGTTGCTTTCAGCACAGTGACTTCGTCACCTCGATCCAATTCCACCCCAAGGACGACCGTTTTTTCCTTGCGGGATCCCTGGACACCAAACTGCGCCTGTGGAGTATCCCAGACAAGAGTGTGGCATTTGTGATTGCTGTACCCGACATGATCACTGCGGTGGCATTTACACCAGATGGGAAACACGCTATTGCAGGGTGTTTGAATGGTTTGCTCAACATCTACGAGACTGAGGGCCTGAAGTTTATCGCACAGATCCACGTTCGATCCGCACGAGGACGAAACGCAAAAGGAAGCAAGATCACCGGGATCGACGCGATGCAGATCCCAGCCGATGACCCCAACGGGGATATCAAATTATTGGTTACCAGCAACGACTCTCGAATCCGTATGTATGATTTCCGAGAGCGGACCCTTGAGGCCAAGTTCCGCGGCAACGAAAACACCTGCAGTCAGATTCGCGCATCATTTACGAGCGACGGCACACATATCATCTGTGGCAGCGAAGATCGGCGAGCCTATGTCTGGCCGATTGGGCAGGTGGAACGGGATGCAGACAAGCGCGCTGTAGAGGTGTTTGAGACGCAGTCGGCCATCGTGACGGCCGCCATCACTGCGCCGGTCAGGACGAAACAGTTGCTGGGGCTGTCAGAAGACCCGATATATGATATCTGCAATCCGCCCCCAGTTGCCCTGATGACCCCGGAGGAATATCCGAAACAGGGAAGTCCGTCGAAGGAAAATGGGAACGGTCATAGTCGCACAGCGTCAGCGCCACGCTTATCAGTCGTCAGCAAGATGGCGCAAGAGTCGCCGTCGTATCTGATGCGGTCAACACACCCAGACGGTAACATCATCGTAATTGCGGACTACTCCGGAAAGATCAAGATTCTGCGACAGGACTGCGCATTTCAGAAGCGCCGGTATGAAAACTGGGACAGCAATTCGGTCTCCAGACGCCTGTTAGGACGCTCGAATTCTGCGCGACGCAGCATAGCATCGTCCACTGGCAAAGAATCTGTACACAAGACACCCTCCGAAAGGATAATATCCTGGCGCAATTCGGTCCACCGCCATGGCCGTACCAGCACCGAGGGTTCTCGCTCTGGGATCCGCTCGCGCAGCACATCTCCGCAGCAACAGCAGCGACAACGGTATCCCACGCTGCGCTTCTCCACCTCAAGACCGTCGAGTCTCGGTCCGAACGAATCCCTCGCCAGCTTCTCATCCACCCCACCGCAATCACCACGCCGTCCACTCTTCGACAGCATACGATCAAGCGAGGACGCAGAAGCATCGAATATCAAATCCTATTACAACCGGTCGCCCGGTCCAACCGAACCGCCCGACCTCCCTGCCTCCTCAGCTGACTTGGTGGCTAGCGGCAAAGGCAAAGATAACCCGCTCTGGCTACAAGGTGATCAAAGCTATGCCTACTGGAACAAAATAACGCACGACGCTCTCGCCGCGCGCTCACGGCAATCCAACAATTTTCTCAGTCCAAACCGCGTTCCGTCGCGGGAGCGCAAGACTAGCACAGCTGGCAGCGTGTTGAGTAGTGACTATGGCTCTTCGACGAATGCCGAGGGAGAGGATGATGGGAGGGATGTGCTCAAGTGCGATAATTGTCGCAGCACGAATTTCCGGTCTGTGAAGGGAAGACATGGGAAGCAAAAGTTGATTTGTGCAGTGTGCCATCGGCCGGTTACTTGACTTTGTACATGATTTGATATATTTTTTTTTGGTGTATGATGGAGTGATTACCTAGTTATACTAGGACATCGTGTATATTAGTATGTCGGAGGGAGTCTATGGGGTAGTTAGTTTTTGTCATTCTGTGTATAACTATGCACTTGCACCCTCGACCCTCAAGGACGCCAGGACCGGGGCCAAAGGAAGCTTGTAATTATTCGCCCCCGATAATACATAACTACATGTAACCGTAGGATGCATTTCAATTCTCCTGTATACTGTGCAGTTCGGCTGCGACCTTCCTAGAATGTGCTGCATGCTTACTGGAATAAGCTGCAAGACACAACCCCAACTCTGCATGCATTTGAACCAACTGGCCGATACCTGGTGGTATTATTTTGCAGTAGAGTACTTTTGTTTCTATGTCACCTTCTATTTTATTTGGACTTTTAAATTCCATCTAAACACAATGGTTATGCGTATATTAGGCGTCGGTCCTGTCCTCCATTCATTCGTCGAACTCGCCGGCTTTTACGGGTAGATGTGGCCAAAACCTACGATGACCAACGTTATCTCTCTTGTCAAGTATTGACTAACTGCAATCTTGTTTCTTGTCGTCTGTAAGCATTATGGGCTTCGAGGGGCATATTACATGGAGTATGTGGAAAGCCCTTTAATAATTTGCGCCTGATTCTTGGCCAGACGCCTACCAAAACCGCCCTAGAACTACACGTTTACGTAAAAGGAAAGAGAAGTTGTCCTGACCTTCAACGCGTTGATATCGTCGTCACAAAACCCGTTGTTACGTACCAATGATGGGCCTATTCAGCGGGAATCTGAGATACCAAGAATCGCGATAAAATTGGAGATGAAGAAGCTAAAACCTGAATAGAGAAGTAGATAGGTCCGAATGTACTGGCGGCTGCATTGATTGCACAGTCGCTTAGAGTTGAAAATTGCACCTGGGTTGATAGTCAGGCTCAGTGAGTGTTCTTCAAAAGATTCTTGGGCTTTTAAAACATGATAAGAGGAAGCGTAGAACGGAGCAACCTCACTGCGCACTTAACGCCATAACATTCCACCCGGGAAGCAGTTTAGAGCCCACATTACTCACATGCTTCACCCTTGCTTCCCCTATCCTGAGGGTCTATTCGACTTTAGAAATAAGGTTGTATCCGATCAGTGCGATCTAAAGTATGAGGGACAATGGTGGCTATCCTATGAGCTTTCAGGGCCCCACAAAGTCTGAAATTGACGCCTTGCATTATTGGTAAAAGACTTTTTTCGACCCAGCTGAGTGGATCGGCAATTGGCTAAAGCTTGGGCTTGCTATTAAGTCCTAATAAATCCAGTGGCAGAAAAGTATTCCCAATTATCTACACTACTTGGATGAACCCGAGGTCAACCGAGGTCGGAATATCTGACGTAGACCGACGTGAGCTTTTTAAGGTCTCTAAAAATTCCTCCTCCTGACCAATCATGACTCTTGCGACCCCCGGTTAACGTTGATGCACCGAAGCGACAAGAATGCAAGCTCTTTCATAGATTGTTCTAGATATCATGGCCTGTTCTCATTCCGGCCTGTTTCAATTCTGATACTTTTATGGCCCCAGCGGACTTGAATATATGGGCGTTAGAACATCTAGCCGCTGCGTCTCTTGACTTCATGAGACCGGAAATAGACACCTTTTAGTCTTGTCATCACCATCTGGAAAATACCGGAAAAAAATTAGACCCAAGCTTCCCGTTGGATTGTAGCGGGCCTGAAAATGGGTCTTGCAATACAAGGGGAGGAGAAGAATACCTTGGGGGTATGACTGTTATTAAAGATAGTAACGGTAAAATATTCATAGCAATTCCGACATAACTGTAACAATAGCCATACATAGTTGTCATTAAGTACGTATATTGATCCTGGCCCTATCTAGGATCACCGTGTTAATATCCAGGTCCACTGACATTCGAGCTCCATGCTTGGGGATGAAACCACTATAGGGTAAAGTGGTAACTCTATTTCTTAAGCGCTTCTGTTGCCCATATATTACCCTTGTTGACTCATTTTTCGCAGGACGCGATTGGAAATCGTGTGGCAGAGAGTCTAGATCCTTTGAAGATCGAACCACCTAGGCCCACATACTCGAACCTTGCGTCCGCGGAATATAAATCTCCGTCTCTGATAACAGGTTCAGTCATGTGTGCATACTAACGTTAGTTATTGGACCTTAATTACTGAATTGACTACACCCAAGATGCGTAGTAACATGCGAATATATTAACCCCTTCACAAGGGACGATAATGGAACTTGACAGAAGTGAGAGCATACCACACTGGCATTCCCTACAACAGAATCAGCACAACATAGCGCTTCACTTCTGATTGGGTGTTATCATAGTCAGAGAGAGTAATTTGCAATGACCTCTCACGAGTTTCTACTGCCCTTATATAGAACTGTATGTCCTAAGCTTTAACACTTACAAATCGCGAATCGCGAGAACCAAACGGGAGAGCTAGCATGGCTGTTCCCCCACAGATAAACTTCCTCACCCTTCATTATGCCTATTTTATCGTCACGTGTGTGACCAGCAGTGTCATATTCTACCTGATTACGACGCCTGCCCACAGTCTCACCTACATTGACTCGTTGTTCATGTGCATTAGTGCCATGACTGGAACTGGGTTAAACGTGGTAACTATTCCTTGACCTAAAATCATTAGAGACTCGGGGCTAATAATTGATACGATTCGTAGATGGACCTATCCACACTCAATACTTCCCAACAGGGCACCCTATTTGGGCTTCTGCTTCTGGGCCACGCTATTCCTATTTCCAGCGCTGTTCTCATGGTTCGCAAACGGGCGCTCGGGGCTAAACTGGACGACATGACGAATAAAAGTAAGCAGGAAAAGTATTCTCAATGCCCAACAGCCCTTGAGATACGGATAGGCCACCAAAATAATTACTCCGAGGGCACAGAGAATCCTATAACCGGCAAAGATCCTGACGGTCACGACTGCAAAAATTCGGCTCCAAAAGCCTCCGTGAGAGTGAAAGAAATCACTATGATATCTTCTATTGAAACGAGATCTGAGCTCGATCAGCTTCCGCCAGATGACAAGAATCACTCCCGCAATGCGATACAACTTTTTTCTCACATGATACCCAAATTGAAAAGTATGATTCGGGACACCCGCAAATATCTTACTTCGAGAAGGCCAGTCCATGGCGATGAGCTAGGTGGAGTAGAGTACAAGGCACTTTCATTTTTATCAGTGATTGTACCACTCTATTTCATCATGTTTCTTATTCTCGGTATACTGAGTATCGGAAGTTGGTTGAGTTTGAATCGCCCAGATATTCCACGCAAAAATGGAGTCTTCCCTTTCTGGGCCGGTGCTTTCCTCGCTACATCTGCATTTGCGAACAGTGGCATGTCTCTTGTGGATGCTAGTATGATTCCTTTTCAATTAGAGTGCGTGAGCTAATATACCCAGACACCAACAAGTGCTTTATCTTGCTAACCACTATCTGGACAGGGCTTTCCCGCTTCTTTCTCTCGGGATATTTATTCTTGCCGGGAACACGTTTTATCCTTGTCTGTTACGGTATATAATCTGGGCTATAAAAAAAGTGCTGCAAAATCAGCCGGCGTGGCAGGCGTGGCGGCAGGCACTTGATTATATTCTCGCTCATCCTCAAAGGGTAAGTTGCTCTCTGGCTTGCTTATAGAACGCTTATACAGACGAATTCGTAAGATATATACGAATTTGTTCCCTGCTCGCCACACGTGGTTTCTGCTCGGTTCGATTGTTATCCTGAATGGTATCAACTGGGGAGCTTTCGAAATATTGTCTATTGGACAGAAGGTTGTCAAGGATCTCCCAGCCAATTATCGAATGCTCGACGGGTTGTTCCAGGCATTATGTTTGTTGGCCCTAAAATATTTGTTTGAATTGGATTCAGCTGATTCCATCATAAAGCGGTGCGTGCTGGTGGATTCTGCGTTGTTGCAATTGATAAACTGCCACAAGGTTTGCTTGTTCTATACAGTGAGTGATCTCTTTGGAATGGGTTCAAAAACCTTTGCGTAGGTAGTCCACTAATGGAGCTTTGTCTAGTCCTCATGATGGTGAGACCTCACATATACGTACACAGCAAGACGAGTGATTAACCAGACTCTTGTTAGTACATTTCTGCTTTTCCGTTGCCGGACACCATTCGGTATGTCGGTTGCCAATACCTGTTTCAAAAGCTCCTCTCTGACGCCTAGTAGCGACACAAACATGGACGAAGAGCAATCGCTAGGAATATACCGCCAGGATGGTGACATGTTTATCCCCCAATCTTCGACTGGCCGGCCATATCTCGCCAAATTCTTCCGCTGCTCCTATGTATACCGACAAGTCTGCTCGCGTTTGAGCCACGATCTCTGGTGGCCTTCTCTCGCAGTGCTCTTCGTAACGATCATCGAATCTGGTCATTACCAGTCCCAGCCAGTGGCATTTTCCACTTTCAATATCATTTTCGAGGTTGCGTCAGCATATAGTTGTGTCGGCGTGAGCGTCGGGTATCCCGGCAAGAACTATTCCTTCTGCGGTGAATGGCACGCAATCAGTAAGTTAATATTGGGGGCAGTCGCATTAAGGGGGCGTCATCGAGGTCTGCCTGTTACCATTGACAAGATAATACTGCCCCTTGAATTGTGGAATTAGGCTGAGAAAGACGCTGTGTTCTCTGAATTGATGTTCGACTTGCTGGCGAAGCGAGTGGAGTCTTGGAGCCCGAGGAGTCACCAAACTGTGAGGAGAAAAGCGGAAATGTCACAAGCACCAGCATTTCGCACCTGCAGCGCTAGATAGAAAGTAGCAATTAGGCTAGAATAGGCCTTGACGCATCTTAAGTCCCTTTCAGAAAGTGACATATTCGAGCATTCTGTGAGTAAGCGAGCTATTGAAAGGTCTAACTAGGAAAATACTACGTAAATAAATGACACTATAAGGCTATCTGCTCTTCCTGTACCAAGGAGATGTGGTGTTTTAACCAACCCCCGCACGTCTCCCATATCTGCGATGGCGGTGGCCTATCGTGTGGTCGCAGCGCGCTCGGATCCTAGCGATCTCATTCAAGAGCTAGCTAATTCCTAACGCCGTCGAGAGCATTTAGAGTAGATGATGATCGCTACTGTCTATGCTTCGATTATCCGCGGCTCGGCCAGCCTCGGCTTGCCGGGCGGCCCGGGACCACAGCCCTAAGCCCTGGTTTCCGTCCTCATTGGGTGATGCTTTAAGCTGTTGCTTGGCTTTTCGTAGGAGTACGCTAATCCGGCCATCGTGGATACCTGCCAAGAGATGAGAGACCGCCGATGCAGGGGAATATTCCAGGCGCTCAAATATAAATTGGGCAGACGTGGGCCATGCTTACAGTGTACATAGTACGGACATGCAGTCCCTACTATAGGTATGCGCGGCACCGATTTACATACATGTCGGTTTTACTATAGACTTAGCCGCGAGGGCAGGACATCATAATGTGTAAGTAGCAGCAGCAGTACGCCGTGGTAGTAGTAATAATAATAATGATAATAACAATAATAATAATACCAATATAAAGTCAGTCTCGGGAAGTGCCCAAGTATATTAGTAACCTGTGCCGATTCCGGAAGGAACAAGGCCAACCACCGACTTGGAGCTTTCTCATCGTGATATACTCCGATCAGCATCAACGCCACGCAGAAATGTCTCTGCTAGTCTAGCGAGCTAACCCTGCCAGCGCACAATTATCACAGTATACCCTCTTAGCGGCCGACAAGCCCCGCGTTTCTGGCCACAATCTCCCCGCACCTTTGGCTGCGTTCATCAATGTATCAGTGCCCAACCGGCTCATTCCTGGGTTTCACATCTACAATTCTGTGCCGATCGATCCTAACAGCAATGTGAATCGAATTTCACGCATGAGGCCGCGTTCTTTTTGACTGCGCGAATACTTAAAAATGGCGCCCTCAGCGACTTTGGCTCCCTCACTGTGACTCTTTTGCAACCTACCCATTATTATCTCCCCCATCCACCCGAGTGTCCTCCTTGCCTGCGGCCGGTAGGCACTTTTAACTGGCACAGGCAGGTAACGGAAGGACTAGACGAGCTTTATCGGCGCCTGCAGCGGGCTTCGTCCCGAATCTCAGAGGGGTTGGCAGCGATTGGGGACTCCCGCTATGGCTGAATCTCTGGCTCCCGGGCACATGGAAAGTCCCGGCCCGGAGGGCTATCGGACACCAACCATCGAAGATGCCGAACGCATACAGTCCATGATGGAGCAGGGAGACAGTCCTGGCAGCAGGGTGCACGATGTCCGCACCTCCGCCCATGACGCCGCGATGAAGAGAAGCTCCTCTCGAACAGCCGAGGAACCGAGCCATGGGAGTAAGGAGTCTCATGTCCCGGAATACGATGGCTCAATTCTTTCTCGAAGGAGAACCGACCCGTCCAAATTGAGTTGGAAGAAACGATTTCGGCACGTTACGTGGGCATACTTCACCTTGACCATGGCCACAGGCGGCTTGGCCAATGTTTTATATGCAGGTAAACCTCCCAGGCTAGAAATGTACGGCTGGCTTGAACTAATGTGGAAGCACAGTCCCCTACCGGTTCCGGGGCTTAGAAATAATTGGGGACGTTGTTTTCCTAACCGATATTGTGCTCTATCTCATAGTCTGGGGTCTTTTGGGTTTGAGATTCTATCTTTACCCGTTTACCTTCAAGGCATCTTTACTCCACCCGACAGAGTCCTTGTTTGTTCCAGCCTCGGTGGTGTCCTTTGGAACGATATTGATCAATATATCCCAGTATGGCGACGGAAATACGGGTCAATGGCTACAGCGAGCAGTAGGAATTCTGTTCTGGATTCACGCTACCCTCGCTGTGATTTTCTCGGCGGGCATCTACCTCCTAATGTATGACTCAATCCCTTCTTCTTTTTTTGGTTTACTTACAATACTCATCATTGTAGATGGTCGACCCAGACCTACACAATAGCACAGATGACTCCGATTTGGATATTTCCTGCTTATCCTATGCTTATCACCGGACCGTATGCTGGGGTTTTATCCGGGAAGCTAGAACCGTCGCGCGCGCTGCCCATCATCGTCGGGGCCACTACTATCCAGGGAATTGGATTCTTGATCTCGCTCATGGTCTACTCGGCCTTTATCTATCGGCTAATGACGCAGAAACTCCCAAAGGAGAATATGCGCCCCGGTCTGTTTGTCTCCGTGGGTCCTAGCGCATTTACCGTCGCGGGGCTCGTCAGTATGGCCGCGGAGGCGAAACGGTGCTTCCCATCTGATTTCATGGGCAACGGCGAGTTAGCTGCCGATATAATCCGGGTGACGGCTGATTTTGCGATGTTGTGGTTGTGGGGGTAGGTGTCATTAATTTCTTACTAGGGGTTTTTTTTTCCAGTAACTAACTAAGCGGGCAAGGTTAGCAATATTTTTCTTCATCATCGCTAGCGCAGCGAACCGATCGGCTATTAGACCGTGGCGCACAGACTTCTCGATGACTTGGTTCTCGTTTGTGTTTCCTAACACTGCCCTGATCACCGCCACCTTTGCTATCGGCAACGCATTTTCTTGCAAGGCCATCAACATTGTTGGCTGTGTCGCCGTCTTCCCCCTGCTGTTGGTGTACTTTTTCGTTTGCTATATGATGATCCGGGCCATTATTCAGCACCAGATCTTGTGGCCTCAAAGAGGAGAGGACCGCGACGAAGGTGGATTTGAGATCCATCATTTCAACCCTAATGCCGAAGTTGACGAGGAGGATCATACAGCTGCCTAGTAATGTTGTCATGGGGAACAAAAGTTTTGTACATCATATGCTTCGATACCCTGTTGCATAATTTGTATCAAATAGTCAGTTATAAGCAAAGAAACTACCAGTAAAAGATCCGCGGTTCTCGTCAGTCCTAAGACATGGCGTGTCAAGTTTATATACTAGCATCGTTCAAACATTCCGTCAATTGCAAAAGTCTCTACAAAAATCCTCAGGTATATCTGTCGTCATACGGAGAAGACTTTTGGTTGAAGATTGCTAGACTTCTGCTAATATGGAATGTGAAACTCGCTTAAGAATTGTTGATTGTGCATACCCGATCACAACCGACTTGCTGAATAGCATGCCAAGTAATGACCCATTCAGGAACCTGTAGCATCGAGGCCTTTTCCGAGGGACAAATTGCTGATTACCATGATAAGCAACAAAGCTTAGCCCTTCCTCTCCGAAGAATGGGGAAATGTTCTCCGGAATATGGGTCTAGGGTTGCAGCCGCTCACAGCATCCACTTTAGATAAAGAATGTGGTACTATGAGGCATTTGAGAGGCATGCAAAGGGAAACACAATTTATACCTCAGCAAGTCATGCAGGGTTAAAAAGACTTTGGTTATCTTGATGGTTTCGCCCCAGGATGATGAAATCCAAAGTCCTTCGACGGATAAATTACTCACGGGAAAACAATGAGGAAGGAACTACACGGGCCGGGCAACCCGAAATCATTCCCCCATTTCTTTCGCCTTCATGTATGAGCTGCAAAAAGGTGCTAGCCCTCATGCATGGACTAGGAAGCCGATATTCACCTCATCTCTGACTCGCGACACAGACCGATCACGTTTTCTGTTCTAAGTGACTACTTCGGTTTAATGGTTAGTATAGGAGAATTGTACAGCAATTATGCTGAAGTAAAAACGAACTCTGTTTTGTTTTTCCAGTTGTGTTCTGGCGCTTCTTCAAAATAGTCCACCGACAGTATTTCCGGCTGAGGCGCACCAGATCGTATCTATGACCTTTACTGTAAGGACGGAGACGGAAGGTAGTTGCACCGTATCCTGCCCTTTGCAGATCATGAAGTTAACTAATCAATAGAAGATTAACTAACTAGTTATCTGTAATGAGAATGCCCTATTAGAAGACCCTACCTGAGTTGTGGTAGCCTAACGTGATAAGGGTAGGGCATGCAGAGGTCCACGAAGCGCCTTGGACTCGACCTGTAGACCCTGCCTAGAAGGGATCTAAAGTCGTTCCTCGGCTAGAAATATACACATAACTGTATCCCATCTCGTTTGGATATCTATCTTCTTTAAGACCAAGTCATATAGTTCTCCGTGCCCCTTTTTCCTATTGCTCTTTCTCTACTGTATCTATGTCCAGCCATACTGTTATGCACATGCGGGCCAAAAAGGAATAGTAAATTAATTGAACACACAAGTACATTGTGTATCGCATTTGTTCATCTACGGTGTCCATGTGTGTTGAAAGGAAGATATAGATGATAGTTGGACATATCATATTGCACAGTCGCGAATGCCAAGACCAAAAAGCACCAATCCGCTCCGCCCCAGACTTCAACCTCTCACGTTCCCACTCCACCCACTCTGTCCTCCCCGATTCTTCTCCTCGAAACACAGCCTAGAAAAACGAAAGAAAAAGAAGCCGATACCCCCCATTGACCCCATCACACCCTTCCAGACCGTCACCTGCCAATTCTCCACCCCCACTTGCGGCGCACAATCCACCCACCGAGTACGCCGAACCGACTAGAAAATCAAGACGCCTGGGAAATCAGCCACCAAAGAGCGCAGGAAAGACATACACATCCCAAAAATTGGAAGTGAACGACAAAATGCCATATCTCCCCACCTCCCAGGCTTTCCTAGAGCAATCTGCGCTGTTGCTGGAGGCGTATCCTGAGACGGTACGCTGAACCCCAAACCCACCATCACCACTCTCACTTCCACAACCACAATATTACTCTACAGCCTGAACGAATAATTCAGAAATACACCATTGAACCGGACCCAACTATCTGACACTTCCTTCCTTGATCTAGACCCGCATCACGACAAAATACAGCTTCCCCACCGAAACACCAGGCCAACTGCACAAGCGGCGCAAATCGCAGAGGACCCCCACAGACACCACCAGCACACCCTCTTCAAACACACAAACAACCACAGAGAAAATACCAGTGGCATGCCTCACCCTCAAAACCTTCAACCCCGGCACGGGGATCACGCTCAAGTACCGCACGAACAAAGGCGCGGAGGTGAGCCGGTTGATGATGGGGTTGGGAAAGCTGGCTGCGGGTGCGGATGTTGCTAGTCTTGGGGTATCGGGTGCTGGGCCTACTGGTACGGCTGGGGATATTGAGATGGGCGAGGCTCCGGCGGTTGATGAGGGCGTTGTTGCTTCTTCTCCTGCGCTGCAAGCAGCGGGGACGCCAAGTCAGACTACTGGAAAAGCTGCTGGAGGGAAGGGGAAGAAGAAGAGTGGGAAGGGGAAGCGGTGATCGATCTAGAGTATCTACACAGCCAGTACAGTGTACGACTTGCGTTATGAATCAATACGAAAGGCAACCAGTATACAAGAACCAAGTGATTTCAACATTGTAAGTTAGGTATACAGATCCGCCTTGCATCCCGGATCAAACATCGAGGAAGATTGTCTAGGACAGACCGCGAGGGAGAGTACACCCTCGAGAGAATGAAAGAAAAAAAAAACGCCATGCCCATGCGTAAAGTAAGCCTTCGAACCAGATTTCCCGTCAATCAATCAATAACGCAGACAAAAGAAAAGACACAAAAAAGCATGATATCATATGAAAGATGCGGTGAGACAACAGGGCACCGAGAGGGTATAAAACAGGGAGGGGGAGTGGAGTGGTGTTGAGACTGCACTTAAAAGTCCTCGTTGAAGTTGAGGCCGCTGTCATTACCACTGTCGGACTGATCGCCGTCGGCGTTGGCAGCCTCCTTCTTCTGGGTGCTGGCCATGACACCGGCTTTCTGGTAGTCACCGACGCGCTTCTCGAAGAAGTTGGTCTTGCCAGCCAGGGAAATGGACTCCATGAAGTCGAAGGGGTTGGCCGAGTTGTAGTACTTCTTGTTGCCGAGGGCCACCAGGAGGCGATCCGCGACGAACTCGATGTACTGGCACATCAGCGCGGAGTTCATACCAAGCAGGCCGCAGGGCAGGGCATCCGTCAGGAACTCCTGTTCAATGCCCACGGCCTCAACGATGATGTCCTCGACCATCTTCTTGCTGGGGCGGTTGTTCAAGTGAGAGAACAGCAAGCAGGCAAAGTCAGTGTGGAGACCCTCGTCACGAGAGATCAGCTCGTTGGAGAAGGTCAGACCGGGCATCAGGCCACGCTTCTTCAGCCAGAAGATAGAGGCAAAGGAACCGGAGAAAAAGATACCCTCGACGGCAGCGAAGGCGACCAGGCGCTGAGCGAAGGTCGACTCTCGGTCCTGGATCCAGTGCATGGCCCACTGGGCCTTCTTGGCGATGCAGGGAACTGGGACACCATTAGCTCACATCTTGTAATCAGAAGAGAATGAACGCACTGGTATCAATCGCGTCAAACAGGTAGGTGCGCTGCTTGGGCTCCTTGATATAGGTGTCAATCAAGAGCGAGTAGGTCTCGGAGTGAATGTTCTCCATCATGATCTGGAAGCCATAGAAGCAGCGAGCCTCTGGGACCTGAACCTCTCCGCTAAAGCGTTCGACCAGGTTCTCGTTGACAATACCGTCGGAGGCGGCGAAGAACGCGAGAACGTGCGAGATGAAGTACCGCTCGTCATCGTTCAGGCGGTTGTGCCAATCGTGCAGATCCTTGGACAGATCGATCTCCTCGGCGGTCCAGAAGGAAGCCTCAGCCTTCTTGTACATCTGCCAGATCTGTTTGGCGTGACGGTCAGTCAATGTGTTTGCATATGGGCGGGGCAGCATCACGTCCAGTGCACTTTACGCGCCGTGGACGCGTCGACGACGACACATACCTCGTGGTACTTGATGGGGAAGAGGACGAAACGGTGAGGGTTCTCCTGGAGCAGAGGCTCGTGGGCCTCGGTGCTCTTGATACCCGGAGCCACCTTGGGGGCCTCGACGGCCTTCTCGACGGGCTTGACGGGCGACGCGTCGACAGGCTTGAGAGACGCGGGCGCGTTCTCCTTGCCCGCAAAGTCGAGCTTCTTGACGGGCGAGTCACTCATCTTGAGGTTCTCGAGGGAGGAAGCAGCCTGTCCAGCGAAGCGAGTTAGCACAAGTGCGGAGGGCGACGCGTCTGGCGCGAGAGGCAATGTCGTGACATCAACGAACCTGCTTCGAGGGAGTGACTTGGGTGGCCATTGGGAGTGTGCTGGGGTATTGGAAATGTACGGAATGAAGCGTAAGAACACAGACACGAGCACAAGACCAGGTTCCAAGGGTATGGGGATGGGATGGGAAGAGGAAAGGGAGAATCGGGAGGAGGAAGAATCGATTTTAAGAGGGAGCAGTCGCGCCAGAGCCAAGTCGCGCTCCACGTGACCGCGCGCCGCTGAGTCATCCATTCATGCCACTGGCCGCCAGCAACATCCGATCCGTTGTTGATCCATGTCTGGTGCAAGTCTTTAGGGAACTCCTGGAATCTGCCAGAGAATGCATCTTATCTGATCGTGTCTGTCACTGAATGTACTGTACTTGTACCTGACGGTCCTATCTTCTGTCTATACATCGTCCATGCCAGCAGACACCCTCATCACTACACCTGGCCGACACGCGAAAGGACGGCCAGGATTCAGCTGTCGACGTAAGAGGATCCACTAGTCGGGATGAACACGATCAGATAAGCCGGTTCTGCGACGCGACGAGCAAAACAAACCGGAAATACGGATGTGATTGGCGTCCAGACCGCGCCTGTCCGTGCTCCGCCAGACTATGGATACAGCTCCTGGCGTGCCCTCAATAGTCCCGTCCATTTGGACCGCCCTTGTATTTTGGTCCCAGACCCGTCGAGTGTCCGGTCTGCTCCAGCACACCGGTAAAAGAATCTGTACCAACCAGTATTTAAGCCCCGGTCGGAATGTACCTAGGTTCCATGTAGGCAGGCGTGTACACGCGTCGGCGGATCGGTTCAGCTGGATCGGATCCTGGCCCTAACTTCGTCCATTCCGTAGCGCGTCCAGAATCCACCAGCAGCTCGATCGCCCCCACATAATTGATGCTGTCCTTGCGTCTGATCCACGTGCTTTCGCGTTCCTGTCGTGTTTCCGATCTCCTCCCAGGCGATGGAGGTATGGAATTGAAGGATCAAAGAAACGAGGAATATGTATGAGTTCGGTATTTACAGACTCTAATTATCACAAAAACGCCGGATTCTATAACCCAAAAAGACGAAGGGACCGACACCCATGGTCTACTCCATGCAGAAAATAGATCAAATCTTCTCGCGGAAGGAGTCTGGCAGCACCCGATCCTCTACGCGGCGCATCAGCTTGTTCGTTTGCTCCGCCAAGCTGAGGGTCAAGATCGTGTGGGGCAGGATACGCGCCAAGTGCGCGAAGAAGCCCTTGTAGATGGCCAGCACTCCCTCGGTGCGGATGGTCTTGAACAGGCAGTCGAACACGCCCTGGTATAGGTTTCCAGTCTGGTTATACATGCGCGCCATGATGGTGTCTGGAGGATGCATGAAGCAGCACACGACAAAGCCCGACGCCGTGCTACTGGCCAGATGCAGCGCGGGACCCTCTTCCATGCCCAGGTGCCGCGTCAAGCGGCGCTTAGCGAAGAAGTATGTGGGAAGCTGGACGGCACTGCCGAAACTCGTGCGGATCATGGCAGCGCCGACGCCACGGTACACACCCTTGACACCCTCAGACCGGTAGATCTTGCTGAGTCCATCGTACGAGTTCTTGTAGTTGTGCTGGGTGCCCACCGGCAGGAAAGGCGAGTAGGATTGGAGGCGGGTCTTGACTAGGAAGAACGGCGATCCGGCAGCGGCACCGATGACACCCGACGCAGCTCCGGCAAAGACATTGGCACCGAGGGATTGCACTTTGGGGTCATTGTAGATGGTGTTTGTGATGTTCGCGCGAATGGGCTCGTAGAATCCGAGACGGCAGCCGTTTAGCAGGACCTGGTAGACATACTAACCCCCCGAAATGTCAGTGCAAACGTCAACTTCCCAAGAGCAGAGACACATACGGCCGATCCAATTCCCCGGAAGAGGCCGCGCGGTCCTTCATTCTGCAGAATCACCTTGACGGCATGCAAGACACCCCGGTACTGCTTTGGCGCATCCTTCTTGGCTTGTAATTCACCCTGCAATTGTAACCTTCCCATCAATTGTTAGTGCCCGAACCAATGAACCGAGCCTCGGAAGACTTACCGAATCTTGACGGTCTCGAAACTGTGGGTGACGGTGACTGCACCGCAAGCCGCGATGCCACCAGCAATGAATGCTCTGTCAGACAACGGTCAGCATAGGCTCCGCCGCTTGCTTCGTTCGATTTTGAGATTGCACCATACCCTAACGTGGTCGACATCGTGCGCCAGAGGGGGCCGGTCGGCGGATGAGTGGGAAGGAGAGAAGGAGGAAAGGGGGAGGTTGGAGGAGGGGGAAAAAGAGACGAGGGCGTGTCTGTCTAATATAATGTACAAGTGTGTTGAGTGAATGAGGAGAACAATTACCGTAGCGCAAAAAGTCGGAACCAGACCGGAGTTGCGCTTGGAGGCTGATTGGGCGGGTGCCCGGATTTACATAATGCCGAGGCAAGCAGAAAAGGAAAGCGCGACTGGACCAGCTGCATTATTTAGGAAGCTGCCGTTGTTGTTGTTGTTGTTGTTGTTCTTTCTCTCTCTCGCAACTCCCCGCCATGGCAGAAGGTCAACAACCAACCCAGCAGCCACAGCCGGCCTCGGCTCCTCAACAGCCTCAGAAAGTGTGCGATATCATTCGCGGATTTCGTCCGGTCAAGGTAAGCTTGCTGCTGCTGCTTCAATGGCCCAGTCTCTGACTATTTCTGGGCTCCAGTCCTACAAAACTGCCAAGCAAGACTCCTCCCACTTTGTGACTTCCTTAGATTTCGACGACCAAGGCGACTACGTGGTTGCGGCCGGCGACGACGAAACCATCCAGATCTTCGATGTCAAGGAGGGCAAGTCCACCAAGTCGGTTCCCAGCAAAAAGTACGGGGTTCATCTGGCGAGATTCACACACCACTCTCGCCAGGTCCTTCACGCGAGCACCAAAGTGGACCGTATGTCTGTGAAGACCCAGCGCAAGGGTCCCCAAGCTGACTCCCTTCACAGATTCCCTCCGGTTGCTCGATCTGCACAATGAAGGCTACGTGCGTTACTTTTCGGGCCACACGGACAAAGTAACCTGTCTTGCGCTGTCTCCGGGCAACGACTCGTTCATCTCCTGCTCCAAGGACGACACTGTCGCGCTGTGGGACCTGGGCTCTAGGAACCCCCAGGGCAGGCTGAAGCTCGCCACGCCCTACTTGGTTGCATTCGACCCCTCGGCCACTGTTATCGCCATCGCCTCGCAGACGACCTCGTCCGTTCTCCTTTATGACTTCCGCAATTACGACAAGCCTCCCTTCTCCACTTTTGATCTTGCGCCTTACGAGGAGACATACACACCGTCGACCCGTGGACGCGCTTGGACACGCCTGGAGTTCTCCAATGATGGGAAGCATCTGATTGTCGGCACCGACTACCACGGACATTTTGTATTAGATGCCTTTGAGGGTACCGTCAAGGCGTTCCTAGTAGGAAAGAACGGATCATCTGGACGAGCGGCCCCAGTCTCTACCACCGGAAAACCTCTTGGACAAGGTGATGTGTGTTTCAGCCCGGACGGACGATATGTTTTTGGTGGTGCTGGCGACCAGCCCGACATGCTGGTGTGGGACTTGCAGCAGGATAAGGAGGCGAATCTAACCTTGCAGCCCATGGCCCGGCTGCCACACCGAAGTCGGACGGCTATGGTTGAATACAACCCTCGCTATAACATGATCGCTAGTGCCGACAAAGACATTGTGTTCTGGCTTCCGGACGAAACACCGAAATCATCGGATAAGTAACTGCCGTCTCTTTTGTGACCACCCGCGGAGGTACTGGTCTTGATATTCATGAGATGGAGTTTATTTACTTCCCCTCCCAGGATGTTTATGGTTTCCGATTTTTATCTTTACCTACCAAACTCCTTGCCGTCTCACATATCCAGACAGATGGGCCTTCAAGATCGTCGTCACCCCCTCGGTTCTTCTCAATGGTGGCCTCGATCTGTTTGTCGATCGTACGATTACTGGAAATAGTCGTCAAGCCGGTGACCCATCCATACATAAACACGCTATGGTTGATATCGGACAAGCCCTTGACAACCTCATCTGCCACTCGAGGCAACTGTCCTTTCCCGGAGTCGATTACCGATTGCGCATCGGCAACCTTGATAGGGAGCTTCCACAAGGCAGGGACGCGGTAGTCGGACAACTTCTGGAACTGGTGGATAAGGGCTTCGCGCATTGAATGGTCATAGGGAGGGTCGCCCAGCACAATCCGAGCGCGCATCTTCTCCGTGTCCGTGCCAATGGTGTCTACAATCTCCCGCATCCGTGCTGCAGCCTCCTCGGTGCATATCAAGCTCTGTGCACCCATTGCCGGCCAGAGTTCAGTGGGAAGCAAAGGCTGCTCCTTCTCGACCTCGAGTTGTCGGACGATGGCTTTGTGCATGCCAGTCTGTGGTTTCATATTCTGGACGTGGGAAAGGTCCGACACCATGGCAAGAAGCAGCGTGCAGTCGACATTCAGCGTATCCGTGAACTTTTTGAATGGTTGCGGGAGGAGATGCGCCAGATCCTGCTGCGCAGCGGCGGCATCGGATATCTTCCCCTGGCACTCAACCTGGATATCATATTTGCGGATCTCCTCGAGCAGATCATTAATTTCAGGAACATTTCCTTCCTCGACTTTCGGTAGTACCACCCGTATCCGAGGATGTCTATACCTCACCCGCGTAGCATCAGCCGCCTTGCGTAGATCCCTCGCCAGCTTGATCAGCTCCAGGTCATCCTCATCGTCATCACTGCCATCCGACTGTTCATCGCCGTCGAAATTCCGTAACACCGTTCTCCGCGGCGGCCTAGATCTTGACCCATCGTCCTCCGACCCCGACCAGACATCATCCTCCTCCTCCGAATCCCTCTCCCACCCCTTCTTCGCCATCTCAAACAGCAATCGGCTCTCCGAAACAGTCGATACCTTCACCCACTCCTCGCCATCATCTGCAACAATATCCACAAAGACACTCTTGCGCTTATCCTTGTTCGGCTGCTTCTCGCCTTTGAGATCCCTAGGCTCCTGCGAATCCCAGTAAAAGCGTTTCCCCAGCGCAAGCAGACCCGTACACGAGCCCTTGGCTATATTCCACACAGCCTGGTAAAAGGGTAGATTCGACGACCGCAGAGCGTGGAAGAGTCTCATCTCCACCTCAGGATCAAGCTGTCCGTCACCAGCCCCATTTCGCGTCTTGTCGACGGACCGTTGAGAATCCAACACCTGCGCCTCGAGCTTCGTGAGCATCTTCAGCTCGGAGTTTACATTCGAGCGCAGCTGCCGCACCTCCACAAGCTGCGGATTGCGGAGCGTGCGCGCGAGGAGAGTCTGGAGCATGTCGATCTCCGCGATTATGGTCCGGCATTGTTGGACGAGGTTTGCTGCTAGGGCGGGACTGGTTTCCGGTTGGGTTGCGTGGTCTCTGGGTGTTGTCCGAGTGCTGGAGCTTGAGCGAGAGCGCGAGTGCGCGCTGGTCATGCTTGCGTCAGGGGGCGCGGGGTAGGTCTGAAGGAGAGGGAATTGTCGAGGATCAGGAGTTAGTTGATGCAATGCGTATATATAATTCATGTGGGAGAGTCCAGAGCAGAGAAGGAGAAGGTCGCTGGGACAGGAAAGAAAAAAGTGGTGGTTGGTTGTTTTGTGGAGGCTCTGCGGGAGGCGGGGTGACTATAACTCAGGGCAAAGGTCGACCCTCGATCGGTTCTAGTTTCTTCTGGATGGACATCAAAGTTGCATTTACTTGTTATCATACGAAACATGCCATTGCCGTGCAGGAAACCCGTGGCTATTCACAAAGGAAGATTGCCCAAGCAATTTACAGACCCAAGACAAGAGAGTCCATCCAACACGAGAGTAAAGAAACCAACGCCATGACATGCTGATAATCCTCGAATTTGATAGACACTGGGAATAACGACCAGTGGTGTTTGGGACAACCGATTAAAACTAGTCCTTGCCCGTGAGCCGTTCTCGCTCGCCTGAGCTGCGAGGGGATACGTCATCCTCGTCAGACCATCGGTCTGCATCTTCGTCACCCACGGCAAAGATCGTTTCCTCGTCGAGCGGACGCGTGGCCGAGGAGACAGGTTTAGGGGGCACGGGCGATAGTCCGCGCCGGCGGCCAGCAGCTTCCGAAGTACCCGGATACTCCGGAGGCGCCTCACCTTCGAGAGGATCTTCCTCATCCAAACCGCTGCCGAACGAGCGAATCTCGAACCCGTCGTCATCTTGGGCGAGCTGCAGATCTTAGTCAGTAGGGTCGGGCCAGAAGGAAGAAAGGGCACAAACCTCTTCACTCATGGCAAAGCGACGGTTGTTGGCCGTGGGTCGCCACAGATAAGCGACAAAGGTGATGTCGAACAAGTAAACAATGTTGAGCCAGCCATCGAGCACGAACCATCGCGACTTCCAGTGATCCGGTACGAAGTTCTCATCGTTGCGTCCGGCGAAGGCGAACGAGTTCAGGAAAAAGAAGCCGAAGATGACAATGATACTGCCGAGAATGCACCACCACAGCTTCTTGTACATCAATGCCTTGGTCTTCTGTCTTCGGTCGATGAGGTCCTTCATGGTGGCGTTTAGGGAGTTCAATGTCCACACGTAGAAAGCTGTCAAGGTTCCGGCAAGCGGAAGAACAATCAGGAGCACAAGGGGACCAGCGCTATCCGGGGTGATAGATAGACTGGTGATGGAGTAGACCACGGCGAAGACGAAGTGAGCGATGGCTAAAATCCGGACATAGACCATCGTCCGACCCAGGGATGGCTTGACCACGCCGTAGCCCATGCAAACGATGAGAAGGAGGAAGAACGAGAAAGCATTGCGGCCTGCATTAAGCACCGCGACAACAATCATGAGTACCTTTGCCATGACGTTTACTCCGTGAAGGTTCTGGTAATTGTAGAATCCCCATGTCATGAGCTGCTCGACAATCAAGAACACCAGGATGGCAGTGATGTAGTTTTGCACCGGCACTATCCTCCATCAGTATGGTTGCAGGTCAACGAAGAGGAGAACCAAGCTTACAGATGTCGTGGCGGTTTTGGACGTAAAGGAAGGCCCAGAACCTATCTTCCTGTGTGAGAATGGCTCCAAAACAAGCTCTAGGGGAACACTGACAGTCCAATAACGGTATAGACAATTGTCAAGGCTCCGTAGAATGGGAGCTTCGCGATTTGCGCCGCCGGAAGCTCTCCATATGAATTCCGGAAGGTGACCACGGCGGTATACTCGTCTCCGGAGAAAGCATAAGTGCTCACGCAGTAGAATCCGGTTTGCCGTACGGGGTATTTGACGGCGATGGGATCCTTCAAGTTGATAGCCTGGGAGATGATCGCACTTTGGGAGACATCGGTCGCGTTTTTGGAGAGAAGAAAAGAGCCGATTTTATCTGCGGTGCAGAGTCCTGCATCGACGTTCGACGCATCGCATAGGGTCTCGCGCAACTGATGCCTATCAGTCAGTTGCCATCTGTGCCGGGAACCAAAGGAGAAGGACATACATCAGGCTCGTCGGTGCGGTACGCTCCAATCAGTTTTTCATCTTTCCATTCGAACATGACCAAGCTAGCCTTGGCATTCTCCCTTTCTGAGCTGGAGAACTTCACCAGTATAAAGGGGTCGACGTTTCCCCCCAAGCCTTGCGGCTGTACATTCCCGAGCATCGTTGGCGGTGGGCGTCATCTGATTTCTGCAAGACCGTGAGTATCCAACAGCGGGAAAAAAGAGGGCCAGGGCGTGAGAACGTACTAGCTCGACTTCATTGGCAAGCACCGAGCTAGCCAGTAAAGCCGTCAGACAGAGAGTGCGGAGCCAGCCATTCATCACGACCGTGAAGCAGAAGCCAGGAATTCGGCTTCAAGGTTCGGGAAGAAAAAGGGACCTCTCAAGACCAGGGAATATGAATGAAGGAAAGAGAGAAATTAGCAGCAGCGAAGGTGTCCGGATCCAGCGTGAGCAACTTAGCCCCATCTTGCTTAGCTAAGCTCTTTTTTTCTGCTCAAGTTGAACTTGTTGAACTTCTTCACCACCGACACAGCACACGTCCTGTCTTAAAGAATTTCTCAGACATGCCGGGCAAAGACCTTACACATCCCTGCATGGACTGCAAGGATGCCGAGTCCCTGCTCACGGTGCGCAAGCGGCAGCTTTGCAGGTATATTTGTCCCCATTCGACAGCCCACTGGCAGTAACTAACGAGCTTGTGGCAGAGACTGCTTCGTTCGCTTCATCGGAAGCAAAGTCAACCGGCACATGGCGAATTACCCCAGGCCTCAAAACCTAGAGGATCCCCTCCCCAAGCTGCTCCTTCCTCTGTCCTTCGGGGTCTCCTCTTCTTCATTGTTGCGACAGCTGGACGCAGATCTCCAACGCCAATTGAACAAGCCGAGACCCCGGAAACACTACGACCTGCACATCCTGGTTGTCGACCCATTGACCACTCCCTATGATAAGAACTATGAGGCGGTTCAGAAGGCCTTCCCAATGCACACCTACAGCCGGGTGCCGTTCCACAGCGTTTTCGAATATGTCCCAGAAATGCAAGACCTGATGCGGGAATATGCGGGACCACAGTTCGCAGACGATCCGTCACGGCCAGAACAAGACCGTCTGGCGGCTTTTCGTGCGGCTATCACCACGGCCACGTCCCAGGCCGACGTCGATTCTGTGCTGTTGACCCGGCTTGTCGTTGGCTTTGCACAGAAAGCCGGCTGCGAGGCTGTTCTTTGGGGTGACTCGGACAGCCGTCTTGCTGCAAAGACGCTTGCAGAGGTTGCGAAAGGACGTGGAGCCGCGTTGACCTGGCGCGCCTCAGATGGGATGTCGCCTTGGGGGCTGCGATTCGAGTACCCGCTACGCGACTGGTCCAAGGCCGAGCTGCAGCAATACGAACAAGCTTGCCCGGAGCTCGCAGACATTGTCGTTCCTGACGAACCGCCATCGGACAATGTATTGACGAAGAACCTGTCCATTGACGACCTGATGATGCGGTATGTCCTGACGCAGGGCGAAAAATACCCTGGTGTCATGGCCAATGTGTCCAGAACCGCCAATAAATTGCAAGCATATTCATCTGATGGTACTCCCTCGTGCGCTCTGTGTGGGAACATCATCGGCAATGTCAAGGGCAACACCGGGCTGACGGTCTCCAGTCAATCAGGGGAAAAACAGGATACTCAGTTCTGCTACGGGTGCATGCGATCCCGTCCGGATTCGATTTCCTAATTAAACAGCTATAATTTGTGGTAAACTGGGGAAGAAACATGGCAAAAAATCGCCGTGATCGTTCAAAATGATATCCATATCCAAGGGCCTCACGCTCCACCCCTCTCCAAGTCCTCGTCTTGTCGACTGGCCCCGCCAAACCACTTGCCGATTCCTCGGTGCGTTCGGGGCTTCTGTGTCGGCTGCGGCCCCTGTGGAGGCTGGGTATTGGCGGTGTTGTCCGTTTGTCCATCGCCTGCTGAAGGCCCTTGCTCTTCATATGCTGGTGGACCGTCTCGCACAACACCGCTTTCTTGTTTGTCCCATTCGTCTGGGAGGCTGTAATCGATTGCCTGTGGCTGGGATTGCTCGTGCTGTCGAGTTTCCTTGGCCTGATTTTTCAGCGCCTTGGCACCTTTTTCGCGCAGGTGTTTCTCGAGGATGACGGCGTTCCTTGTGTTGCACTTGTACACGGCATCTGCAACGTCACCGATGAAAGGAACTAGCCCCAGGAAGAAGTCGATGACCACGTTGATCAACATCATCATCCGCAGGCGCGAGGGGAGTCCGCCGTCGATCTGTTGACAGTTCCGCACAACCATCATGGCGAGGGCTGCGTCACCTGCATCGCCGATACTACAGCGTTGGTGTGGTTAGCGTTGGGAATTGGCGAACGCAGTGCACTAACTTACAATGGAAAGAGACCAATCACGCTGCCCCAGCCGAACTGAACACCGCACAGATTGAACAAGGAATAGTCCAGCCGGTATGCTCTGCGCTTGACCTGGGTCAGGATTTTCGCATCGTTCTCCGACAAGCCAGGCGGATGGGCCTTGCGCCGTCTACGCGTCTTCTTTCCGAATGCTCGACCGAGGCGGGAGGCGGGTACTTCCTCGAAGTAGGGATCCTACCGTGTTTTGGTTACCTCTGTGTAATTCAATGGAAAGAAAAGTGTACTCACCTCTGTCCCGAAGTGGTTCCTAGCAGACTCGGCCAACACCCGCTTCCCAACCAACGACATGATTGCGCCCGACATCTTTGTTTTCGTCAGGAGCTGTGTTCAAAGGAGGGACTGGGCGGGTAAATAGACGGTGTAGGCGGCGGGTTCTTTCAACTTCCCAGACCAGGCAGGGAGACGAGGAAACGTTTCAGCGTACTACCTGTAAGGGACCAAGAAAATAAAGAAGGCAGCGAGAGTTGGGTACATTAATGTGAAAGGAGAGACGTCATTTAATAAATCTTGCTTGGTGGAACGCGATCCTTGCCGATCCTCAGCCACTGCACGTGCCACACCAGCACCGCCACAGTTGCTGACTCACCGGATCATCATGCTCCTTTCGGCCAGCAGCGCGCTTGCGTCTTCTCTCCGACCTGCAACAACTGGCTGATCGTCGTCTCTGTGCGTGTGCTTTTTGGATGCTCCACGCTACAATTCCCTGAACCAATCTTCCCCTCATCCATCAACCCGCCTCCCCGTACACCCACCCACGGGTCGGCCCAACTACCCTTCCGGGGAGCTGCTTCGTTCCCGCTCCTTGCCGGAGAGCTTGTGCGCTGAGATCACCTGTGGTGCTTGTTTCCCAAGAGGCTGAAATGCTAGCAATTTCCAGTTGCCATGATCGAATCAAAGATGCATTTAGAAGACTGTAAGGCTGCGGTCTGGTGAATGACGGAGTGACGCTAACGGAGGGCCAACGATTAACCAGGGCTGGATGACTTGTGTGTCCGTTTCATTATAAACCTCCCGCGCGAAGAGCTTGAGTCGGTGGAGCGGATATGTTTCCAGGTGGAGGAGGCACAATGGTTCTACGAGGACTTCATTCGACCGCTCGATCCCGCGCTCCCTTCGCTAACCTTGAAAGCGTTTGCGCTGCGCATTTTCCAGCACTGCCCGCTCATGTCACAATGGTCTCATTACCACCACATCACGGCCTTCTCCGAGTTTCTTGCCTACAAGACGCGGGTGCCCGTGCGCGGTGCGATATTGTTAAACCATGACATGGACGAGGTCGTCCTGGTCAAGGGATGGAAGAAAGGTGCCAACTGGAGCTTTCCCAGAGGCAAGATCAATAAAGGCGAAAAGGACCTGGACTGCGCTATTCGTGAGGTCTACGAAGAGACTGGGTTCGACGTGCGGGAGGCCAACCTGGTCAAGGATGAGGACAATGTCAAGTTCATCGAGATCACCATGCGCGAACAGCACATGCGGCTATATGTGTTCCGTGACGTGCCCCGCGAGACGCATTTCGAACCACGCACGCGAAAGGAAATTAGCAGGATCGAATGGTACAAGCTGTCAGAGCTGCCGACGCTGAGGAAGAGCAAGCAGAACGATGAAGGGTCTGCTGTCACCAACGCGAACAAATTCTACATGGTTGCGCCTTTCTTGAATCCGCTGAAGAAGTGGATCGCCCAGCAGAAGAAGGTAGATGCGAAGGCCGGACCGAAACAGTTCCATGTCGAGGACTACACTTCCATGGACGAGACGGGCATCCCGCCGTCCGCAGGATTGGCCATCCCCAGCGATCTTCCCGAAGTTACCTCTCCGCAAGATGTAACCTCTCTCAAGCGTCTTTTGAACATCAGCGGAGTTGCGGCGCCGCAAGCGCAAGTGCAAATGCAAGCTCCAGCACCCGTTCAAACCTCTGCTGTTGACCCATCCAAGTCGAATGCACTGCTGGCTTTGTTGAGGAGTGGTTCACAAGAAGCTGCTCCCCAAGTCAGTCGGAATGATGTTCCACCACCAAATGCCGCTCTTCCCAGAACCGAGCAACCGGCTCACCTGGCGCCAAATTTCTTCCCCGGCTTTCCTCAGCAGCACCAGCACATGGGACCATCAGCCGTTATGCATCAGGCTTCTGTTCCTCCGTACCAGACAGTGTCAGCTCACAATTATCAGCCTCCACGCCATGCATTTCCGCCCATGGCACAGCAGGGACCTCCTGCTAGACAACCTGCGATGCCAGATTTCCCTCAACCATCTGCACCGAACTACAGCAATCAGTTCCAGCAGTCTCCATCTTACAATGTCGCACCCCCGAAGCCTGTACCGGCGCCGTTCCAGCAGACAGGCGACCCTCAATTTTCACAAATGGCTCAGCCGTCTCAGGTTCAGGGCGCCAGAGTTCCTCCGGCGAGCAATTTGCCTCCACCCAAGCTCACAAGTCACTCCTTGGCGCTTCTGAATGTCTTCCAATCATCCAAGCCACCGCAGAGCCCAGCTGCAGCTATGGCGGCACCTCCTGCACAAGTGGCACCTCCTGCACAGGCAGCACCGGGACCTGCTCCGGCCAAATCTCAGCACCACAGCGACCTATTGAATCTCTTCAAGGGACCTCGCTCAGTGCCCGCTTCTGAGCCCTTCGAATTGTCAGCCCATCAATCTGTCCCACCCACTGGGCATTCAGACAAGCAGATTCTTCAGCGCCCTCGAGACCACACCAGGAAACCTGTGGATGTCAATACAGGCATCAGTCAACCAGCGGCCACCATTTCTGGGCCCATGAATATGCCTCAATTTGAGGCCATCCCGAAATCGACAGTCAAGAAACCAGTCAATGGGTCAAGCCGGAAGAACAATATGAGCCGACAGGCGCAAGGACCGGCGCATCAACAACTGCCGTCTCCTATCACTATCTTGCCTCGGCCGCGGTCGGCAAAGCAAGAGCCTTCGGAGTCACCCAGGCATGTTGCACAGGCAGTATCTCAATCCCCTGCCAGCAAACCCGAAGCTGCCGAACAACAGAAGCCCTTCCAGCCTCAGATCTTGCGTCGGTCTGAGAAGATGGCGGAGAAGCCAGCTTATGAGCAGACGCTGATGTCAAAGCTTGGAAGCCCCGACCAGAAGCCCAGTTTGCCCAACGCACAGCGGCCTCTGGCACCGCCGGTGAACAATTTCGACCGCCGGCCTAGCCAGACTGTTGCGCAGAAAGAAACCTTGCTGTCTCTGTTCAGCAAGCCGCCCACGTCTCCGCCTTTCACATCGGCAGCACAGTCCACCGCGAACCGGCAGCCGGCTGCTACGTCTAGGGTTGTCAGCCCGCTTTCGTCGTTTGCTCAGCCTAGCAGTGGGGATTCTATTTCTCAATACGGTACTCCCTCGGAGGAAGGAATGAGCAACAGACCCACTGCCCATCGCATTGCCTCGCCTACTGACAAGGCGTTCCTGCTTGGGTTCTTGGAAGGTGTTGCGAAGGGCAATAAATGAGTTTGGAAACTCTTGTCCCCTACGTCTTTTTATCATTGAAGCAGGTGCAATTTGGGTGGTGCATGGACAAATTAGTTGCAATCAGACATATTCATTCGTACAGATCATTCTTCATGGTATTCAAGCTCGTACAATGTCTCCTCCCTCTCACTCCCTGTGCATTCTCATAGTTCGCTATTCTGCCACCGCCCACCGCCCCACGTCATCTGCATTTGTCATTTCCAAGCTGGACAAGCTGCTCGTCAACTTCAACAATGATGCGCCCTCGTCTCTCAGCATGCCACCGCTGTCTAGCCCGCAGCAGACTCTTCACAACAACCGCACCAGTCGGGCAACACACCCAAAATGCCCCGCCACCACCTCCCCCAGCAGCCGGATACGCCCGACTCACAAACCGCGGACTCATCTCAATCACAGGCGTCGATAGCTCGACCTTCCTCCAAGGCTTGATCACCCAGAATATGCTGGTAACCAACGACCTAAGCCACAGCGTCCGACGGACAGGTTCCTACACAGCTTTTCTCAATTCCCAAGGCCGCGTCCTGAACGATGCCTTCATCTACCCGTTTTCCGGAACGGAAGAAGAGTCCGGGTGGCTGGTTGAAGTGGACAAGAACGAAATTCCGACTCTGCTGAAGCACCTCAAGAAACACAAGCTGCGCGCGAAGCTGAAGCTCCGCGCCCTCGAGGACGGCGAGCGCTCCGTCTGGTCCTCGTGGAAGGATCACCCCGAATCCCGCTGGGCAGCGTATAACCTCGAGACCGAGGCGTCACCATCGCCTTTCTCCACGTCGACTGTGCTGGGATGCATTGATTCGCGCGCTCCCGGGTTTGGATCGAGACTGGTGACGCCCGGCTCGGAGGACCTGCGTGCATATCTCCCGGATGAGACGCAGATCCCCGGGTCTGAGGTCGAGCTGGCATCGTATACTGTGCGCAGGATGTTGAACGGTGTTGCGGAGGGGCAGACGGAGATTATTCGTGAGTCGGCGCTGCCGATGGAATGCAATATGGATATGGCGCGCGGGATAGACTTCAGAAAGGGTTGCTACGTCGGCCAGGAATTGACAATCCGTACGCACCATACCGGTGTGGTGCGGAAGCGCATTCTGCCTGTTCAGCTTTATAATCAGGGACAGTTTGAGAGCGCAGAGATTTCATATGATCCGTCAGTGCAATTGGCTTTGCCCCCGGGAGGGTCGAATATCTCCAAGAGTGGTGGTCGCCGGGGGCGGAGCGCGGGGAAATTCCTCAATGGCGTTGGAAACATCGGTCTGGCCCTGTGCCGACTGGAGATGATGACCGACATCGCTTTGACTGGTGAAGGCACCCAGTATACTCCCGGACAGGAGTTCAAGGTCTCCTGGACCACCGATTCTGAGCAACCGGTTGAGGTCAAGCTGCAGGCTTTCGTTCCATCGTGGACCAGAGACTTCATTTTCTCCGGCACACACAAGCCCACACAACGGAATACCGAAGTTGATGGCGAACGGGCGAGGGGTATGGTGGAACAGTTGGAGGAAGAGGAGGCGCAGCGACGGACAGAGTAAACCTCATTGCATCCATCTACAACACGGTATATTCCAAAATTAGATTCTTGTATATAACACATATATTCTATAATCACCACTCATAAGCTGGGGGTATCTTAAATCTCTAAAAAATAATGAGCCCGGGATAATGCATATCCCGGAATAGAGGGCAACGTCAAACATTAAGTGGCTTTCGCAGCAGCAGACTCCGCAGCATCCGCTGCCGCGTCCTCTTTGGCCAGTTTCTCGAGAAGAGCCTCGCGCTCCTCTTTCTCGCGCTGTGCGGCCTTCATGCGCATCATTATCTGTTCTTGAAAGCTAGGCGCACCCGGTGTTTTCGCCGCAGGATTGAATGAGGACGCCTTGGGAGGGTTCGCCGGCGCGGAATTGAATGAAGCAAAGGATGGCACTTTGCTAGGATTTGCCGGCACCTTCGTTCCGGGAAAATTGAATGAAGACGTAGTTGTCGATGGGGGTGGTGCGGGAGTGGTATCTTGCTTGGATGGCGAAGGAGACGACTTGTGCTCTGTGCCTGTCCCTAGATCGGGCTGCGTGCCGGATGCCCAGAAAACGGAGTCGATGACAGCCCATTCTCCGGTAGCAGCATGTGGACCAATCTTCTTCTTGCTGTCCAGCACCGCTGAGTGCGCGCTGACAATGGATGCAAACACCAGCATGCCCGTAGCAACAGTTTTCTTCTCGCGCTTATCCCCCACGCGCTGTCGTTTATCCTTGAGCAGGATGGTATGTTCGATCTTGCCGAACGACGCAAAGAGGGCCGCCAATCGATCCTTATCCAAGTCCAACCCAGGCCCTTCTCTGATCCATCGCACCTTGACCGAACGCTCCATCTCCGGGAGGTTCATCCCTCCATCCTGTGAACGGTCAACCCGCTGGCTACTCCGATCCGCAGCCCGGCGAGCCTCCTCCTCTTCCTCCCGTTTCTTCTTCTGCTCCTCACTGGCTTCTTTCTCCAATTTCTCCTGCGCTTCGCGACGCATCCGTCGATTATTCTCAGCAATCCGCTCAATCTCGCGCTGCAACTTCTCCTCCGCGTCGTCATCGCCAGCGCCCATCCAAGTCCTCTTCACGCCCCGCCCAGCAGCACCACCCATCGCCGCAGCCGCGCCAGCTCGTTCCCTTGCCTCGAGATCCTCGCGCATTTGCCGCTTCGCCGAATCCATCAGGTCGCGCTCGCGCTGCTTGCGCTGTCGCGCCTCCCGCGCATTGTCGTAGAGTTGCCGGACAGCTGGATCGGAGAGAACATCGTTGGCGACCTGGAGGAGGTGGAACTTGTCGATGTCTGCTGGTGTTGGGTTCGCGATCTTATCAGGGTGGTACTTTAGTGCTGTGCGTCGGTAAGCGCGTCGAATTTCGGTGTCGGTGGCAGCCGGGGAGAGGTCGAGGAGGGTGTAGAAATCTTCATTGGAGGCGGCATGCGCCTTGAGGTCGTCTGACATTTTGGCGGTTTAATGACAGGGGCGGCTGCACTGGGTTGGTTGTTCAAGTGCCGGGGAGAAGCAGAAGGTTGGTTGCCGTCCCTCTTTGCAGCGTCTGCGGAATCGAGTTGCAGAGCCACTGAAGACTGGAGGTGAGAAGAAAATCTGGCAGGGGTTCTCTCTCCAGTTCAAGTTATGTCATATTCAAAGAGTGAAGCGAGTTCGTTAAGGGAGAGTCGGAGGTTGACGAGGAAAAAGATGGCGTGGGCGGTGGCGGAATCTGGTCGGCCCTATCGATAACAGATAACAACCGATAGAGCTGCAGTATACAACTCTCACCATCCTCTTCTCCCCTCTTCCAGCAGTCATGTCGGATCCTTTTTGTCCCATCCAGCTTCATCTGACTCTGGCTCTGGCGATAGTCAAACACAAGCCCCCAGGCCAGGACATCAATGGCAAGCATCCAGCATCTGGAGTTCTACTCCAGCACTAACAAAGATCCCAGGCTATTTCCTCCAGATTCGACAATCAATCAAAAAAGACAAGGGCTTCCAACTAACCGCTCCCACCAAATTCTTTGACAGTGTTCGCTTCTGGCAACAAGCATCTGAAGGGTCTGAGGCAGAGCAAAGCAAGCTGCGCGACCGAATCTTCGAGCTGGAACAACGGAATGAGGGCCTTACTGCCAAACTGCGTATGGGCGTCCTCACTGATAGCACGAGGAATCAATTGTCAAATGTAGCCGGTAGGAATGTGGTCAGCGGAGAGCCACCCAGGAAACGAGCGCGGACGCTAAAATTTACTCGAGGAGAGTTGCCTCCTGCTCTTGAAGATGAACTTCCAAAACTTGAAACAGAGAGTCAGTTTTTCATTTGCTTTGGATGCAGTAGTCGCTGACTATATCCCAGCTCTGTCCATCCTCAGACAGCTCTACACTCTTCAAAAAGCGATGCACAAAAAGACAGACCCCAATCACCTGGCCACAGCAGCTGTCATGCTCTGCAAGGTAGCTGAACGGGAACTGCTCACAGCAGGACAAAGGGAGGGCAGTGGATCCAAAAACCCCAATCCTCGAGAGACAAAACACTCAGAGCTCCCCGCTATGATCAACGAAGTCAAGCTGTCATTTCAACTTGTGGGGCGTACTCTGGCCAAATTGCCCAGCACAGAGGACGGCAAAAAGGGCCGCGGTCAAGTCACTTATTACCTGGTGTGTTTATTCGAGTCGACCATGACGGCCCTCTCCCAACGCTGCAATCCCATTCAACTCAGCGGTCGAAAACAGAGGCTCAGAACCAGCACCAGGATGAAAGCTCAAGTCAATAAACAGACTCCGGTTGCTCCCACTCCTACAGATGAAACACCCCGGCGGCTCACGGGCTTGCTCTACGCCATGGCCCAGTCACTCGGTTTAGCTTGCTCTCCAGACCGGGAGGTTATGGAGGGGCTTTTATATGTTCTTCTCGAACGTGTGGGCGATATACTAGCTCTGTCTGTCGGTACCAATCAGGGAGCACCGCCGCGTGCAGCATGCGAAGGGGTGGGACATGAGAATTTATCTGCTCAAAACGTGCAAGTTGAAGGGCTGTATCTGGTCTGGCTTTTAGAAAAGATGCTTGCCCTCTTGACTAAATCCCAATCTTCATGTTCTGCTGCACAGGACGTTATTACCAAGGCCAAGGATCGCCTTCAGGGAATTCTACGGCAGGCCGCCCGGGGCTGCGAGAGCTCTCACACCCCGAGCTCATTGATACGTCCGGCAACTCCTCCACCCCAAAAGGTTGATTGCCAAACATTCAACCAGCAAACGTTCTCGGACTGGTTTCAGCAAGAGCTGTGGCGTCTGGCCGGCTATGATATGCTGGCATCTATCCTGGCATCAGACTAGATGATCTAGATGCCACTTCGATCTCTATCACGACCGCTTTAATTTCCAGCACTTATACAACAAATTTCATTCCGTAAGCATTGGATGATCATCTTCTACGATGCCCTTCCAACTTGAAAATGCGGGCAACGTTTCGTCCAATGACGGCATCCACAGCCGCTTTCTCATCTTTATCAACAAAGAGTTTTTTATGGTTTGAATATTTTCCATCGTACTCGGCCATTGAGATTTAGGAACACATTTCAAAGGCGGGAAAATGGATGGACAATCCCCGTGAGCATTGTTAGCAATAGCCACCATCTCTTCTATAGTCAACTACCAAACAAAATACGGCTACTCCTGCCCCCCTAGCAGCGACTTGTGAGACCTGCTGCTCGCATTTTAAGTCGGAAGAGTATTGAATAAGATGATTAGCCAGTGTTCAAGGGATCGGATTTATTGTGTAAGCGCAGGGGATTAAAGCTCTACACTTTTCAAGAAAATCTTGCGGTCACTAGGGGGCTCGTAGATGTAGGGTACTGTCTTGCGCTGGAGGAGCATCTAGTGGTAGTCGTCAGGGTAGAGGTGGGTATGGACATCAACGATTTAGAGGGCCTTCTATGGTGATCGGTTGTGCAGCAGATGTTTGCCGAAGTGACGTGAGAGTCCTAACACACCCCTAGGCAGGTATCGATAAGAAGGAATCATATACTTTGCTCTTATCTCTCTTTCTTGCCACTTTCTCTCCTCCCACTCCTCACCACTTCCTCCCCCGGTCTCCCACCGACATGGTGCCTCCCTATTCACCCCTCCAGCTGGCCGTAGAGAAGGATGATCTCTGCATTCCGGTGACTGGCAATTCTTGTCTATCGTGCGATCCAAGCTCATCCAGGTCTTTTCTAGCTGATCGACTTCAGTCCGTTCTATTCGGGCACCCCATCCGATAAACATGCCCTAGCCCTATCCATGACCAACGCCCTCAAGGCTTCGGGCTTCCTCTACCTCAAGTCCCATGGCATTCCTCCCAGTGTGGTCTCGCGAGTATTCGCTGCTTCAGCCCACTTCTTCGCCCGACCCCAGATGCAGAAGGATGAGCTGGGCTGGACTACTCCACAGTCGAACCGTGGTTATGTCGCAGTGGGCCGCGAGCGCCTCGCAGGCCAGATGGATCTGAAGGAAACTATGGAGATCGGTCTGGAGGGTGTGGTAGGACATCCCAACCACTGGCCTGACCATTTTGACGACGAAGGGAGAGACTTTAAAGAACTCATGCTCTCTTTCTTCGACATGTGCAAGAACCTACACGTTCAGATCATGAGCGCCATTGCTCTGGGGATGAGGCTGCCCGTGAACTTCTTTGACGCGTTCATTGATCATGGTGACAACAATTTGCGCTTATTACACTACCCGCCTGTTCGCAAGGATCTCTTTCATCAAAATCTAAACCAGGTGCGCGCCGGCGAACATAGCGACTACGGATCGATCACGCTTCTCTTCCAGGATTGCCACGGTGGACTGCAGGTGCGCAGCCCGAAGGGCACATTCGTCGATGTGATCCCGATTGCAGACACTATTATTGTGAATGCGGGAGACCTGCTGGCTCGCTGGTCCAATGACACCATCCGCAGCACTCGCCACCGAGTTATTGAGCCCCCTAGGCCTGTGGTGGAAGAACCCTCCACTCCTACTTCCGAATCATATCCCTCGAGATACAGCATTGCCTATTTTTGCAACCCCAACCGAAATGCACAGATTGAAGCCCTGCCGGGCACTTTTGGTGAGTATGTCCAGAGGGACAAGAAGTACGAGGCGATCACGGCAGGAGAGTATTTGCTTCAGAGATTGACTGCGACCATCTAACTCGCTATTGGCACGGCGTTCTTCAGTCCTGTTCTTCCGCTTGATACCCTCTTCATCTATTTCTGGAGTCTATTTTTGGTTTTGAATGCATCTATCTTTGAAATTCTAATAGACCGACGGCACAACTCCCAACCTGCCCCCATCCGTAACCATAATACTCCCATTCAGATATCCCCCCGACGCACTCGCCATCCAAACAATCAATCCCGCAATATCCTGCTCGCCACCGCCCCTCGTCGCAGGAATAAACTCCTTTGCAAACGACCCCTCCGAAATACCCAGTCCTTGAACCCCCCCGATCGCATACAGCGGATCCGCCATCTCGGAGTGATACAAACCCGGTGTGATCCCATTCACCCGAATCAGATACGGCCCGAGTGTCGTCGATAGCATCTTGACGAGATGCGTCGTCGCCGCCTTGGACAAATTATACGCATAGCTAAATGGCACTAGACGAATGAACCCCGCGATCGAGCTGGTGATGACCACCTGCGCACTTGGGGGTGTCAGAACGCCCGTCTCGGGCGCCGGGCGGCGCTTGTTGGCTGCTTCTAGCAACGGCAGGAAAGCGAGGACAGTGTAGTAGGCGCCCACGACGTTGACGTTCAGCACGGAGGAGAAGTCCTCCATGGGGATAGAGAACAGTGTCTCGCGCACTTCAGAGAGTGTGGGGTTCGACCCGTCTGCCTTAGGACCGGGGGGACGCATCTGCGCGCCCATTGTCCCGCTATTCGCGACGAGGAGGTCGACATGGCTCGTTTGCGCGGCGATGGTCTGATATGCTGCCTCCAGTGACTCCTTGGAGGTGACATCGCAGGGCACGGGGACGACGACGCCGCTACTCTCGGACTGGGAGACTGTTTCGTGGAGGGCGTCTTCTCGTCGACCCAGCACGAAGACCTTGGATGCGCCGTTGGTTGTGAGGGCGCGGGCCATTGTACGGCCCAGTCCTGGGTTGGAGTCAATTCTATCCAAGGTTCGAGATGACAGCACGTCACGTACCACTGCCACCGCCGGTGATGACCACCACGCGGTCCTGGACGGAGAAGAGATGCGAAGCTTGAAGGTGAGCCATGGCTTGGTAGAGGGGTTGAGAGAGATACAGTGAAGAGACCAGCTTCTTCCCCGCCCACCTCGTCATTCGTGTTGATCCTTTCCCCACATCCGGCAAAAATAAGCATTGCGCCTGTCAAGACCCTAGTCAAACAATATGCACGACATGGCCTGTGTAACTTCTTCACGGCCATGAAAATAAACATTCCGGAACCTCCGGATGGCTTGAAGCGCGGATTTGATGTCCAACGGCATTAGGCTTTCTGGAGTACCGTGGTAGGGTGCCTCTCATCATCGACCATATTGTGCAGCATTGGCAATATTTACTTGGTATATCGAGGTATTTGCAAGAGAATCAACGCTATATTACTTCGGGGTCCTTATTACAGAGAGGTTCCAGTATAATCGAACACCTACTCATGATTGGGTGGTTCATTTGAACCGTGCCCTAATCCATCATGCAAGATGGGATTTCGGGAGATTCGCGGTGGCACCATCCGGGATCCAAGCGGCATTCTTCTCCATCTCGGGTGCTTCAAACTGGAGAGATGTATGACAGCAGAGGATCTGTCGGCCAATAGCCGATGATCTCAGAGCTACTGTCCGCAACGATCAACATACAGGCCCTAACGGGCAGCGGACGCAACCGTTGGCCGGCCCGGAATACATCCCGTTGCGTCTCTCTTCTCTCGATTCATGACCGGATACTGACCTCAAGGATCATCAATCTCCGGTTTCTCCTTTCGGCCGCGTACGATGAATCCACTTTGGACCACGGTGTTCCGTCAATTGCGCTCTGTATTCATCTTGGCCACGTTTGCATTGATGACATTGGCGCGTCATGCCCTGCGGTCTGCCACTCCTACTCAGTGTTGCTCCAGTAGATGTGATCAGGCCAGCTTGATCAAAGAGGGCTTACGTCAGTATGGCTCTGTGTGAGTAGTATATGTACGTACCACCACGGCGATTCAGATTTCCTTCTTGCAAACCTCTCGTGCTATAATTCCATCACCACCGTGCACGAAAGAGGAAAGAATTGAACATTATCTGTCTGTGGATATGATCTGGAATTGTCTCCTTGTACTGAGTGTGTTGGGCTCGCTGCCTTTCAGCTCCGCGGTCCCCGCCGACCTCGTTCCTCGTCAAACGACTGGCACTACGGTCGAGCCGACTCGAAGCCATCCGACTTCTCAGGCCCACACGCCGTTCACTGGGACCCCGACGACCACCGGTGTGCTGACTGCGTCTTCCGTTGGCACGGGGATTTCTGGTGGGGGACCGGCTCCAGGAGCCACCAATTACCCCAGTGATGGCAAGCTTCATAGTGTCCAGCCTGCTGGATATGTCCCCGCGGGAGGAGTGGGCACGAATGGGTCTGAGCCGGTGTACAATGCGAAGAGTGACTTTGACTATCAATCCCTAGTATGCAACGAAAAGGACAGAAATAAGGATCAGAAACTAAACAATCCTCCAGGCCCTCGGACTTTATCAGGAGTGGATCGAGCTCGATCTGTTCCAAGACGGGCTCAACCGTTTCTCCGATTCGGACTTTTCCGCTGCAGGCCTCACCTCTGACGACCGGGACCTGATTGCATTCATGGCCCAGCAGGAAGCCGGACATGCAACGATGCTCAGCAACATCTTGGGCGCCGAAGCACCGCAGCAGTGCTCGTACGTATACCCGTACACCAACGTACTGGAGTTTGTCGATTTCTGTCAAAAACTCACTCGGTTCGGCGAGTCTGGAGTGTATGGCTTTATAGCGCACCTGGACTCGCGCGAAGCCGCTACGCTGCTGACGCAGTCCATCACCACCGAGGCGCGCCAGCAGATGATCTTCCGCCAATTCGAGGGTCTCTTCCCCATGCCGGTGTGGTTCGAGGTCGGCGTGCCCCAGTCCTGGGCGTGGACGTTGCTCGCCCCCTTCATCAGTTCGTGTCCCGCGAACCAGACGCGGCTGGTGTGGCAGAACTTCCCAGCGCTGTCGATCCTCAACCAGCCGAACCCATTCACTGGCAGTGCCGGGACCAGCAGCAACGTTAGTACCAATGGCACGTCTGGACGTAATCAGACCACCGGACCGGGTGTCAACTCCCTGCAGATCCCCATAAGCGCACAGGGGATGTCCAACTCCAGCTGCGGTGCTCTCGCTAGTAGCAGCCAATTTTCGTCTCTGTCGTTCCCAGGCCGCCAGGTGGGCCTGAAATGGGACGCTCCCGGCAAGCCGGTCGGTCCGAACAACAGCTATGTCACTTCGACTCAGGCCGGCAGCCCCAAGTACGTTGTATGGGTGTCGCAGCTCAACGTCACCTACACGCCGCTGCGGGTCGTAGGCAATGGCACACTCGGATACACATCACAACCAGACCTTCAAACGTACCAGGGCGATCCGGCCATCAACGGGACCATGTTCATCGCCATCACAGACGACGACCCGTTCCTGACGCCGTTTAATCTCAGTCTGATCAATCCGCACGTCGTTGCAGGGCCGGCGCTGTACCAAGCTGGTTAAGTCGGTTCGTAAAGTGGAAGACGAGAAAAATCGAGGTTGCGTACTTTAGTTAGTGAGAGGGTGTGGCAGGGAGGAGGAGGATGGTGGATGGATAGTTCACTAGCTAAATTGACGATGATCTGCCTTAGCGCCAGATCCACTTCACCTTTTGACACCTTTTCCCCTTCTTCCCTTCTTCACACGCCCTCTCTTCCCCATGGCACCCCAGAACCGCAAGCAGCGCCGTGCTGCTGCTGCTGCATCTGTCTCCGCCGACAGCGAGCCTTCAATCCCTCTTGCCCATCCTCCACGCGGCACTCCATCGCAGAACACGCGCACCAAAACACTCTACGATATCATCGCGGAGCGCCAGAACCAGCTCCTCGACCAGGATGGCCAGAAGCAAAACCCCTCTCCAGGGATGAATATACCGCAGGGAATGCGAGTAGTGACCACCAATGCAGCAGGGGAGGTTGTCGACACAGACGCAGACAGCTTGTCCTCGGACGACGATGACGAGTCCGAACCCGAAATCAACAATAGCAACAACAAACCACTCCCACCTCTCCTTGACACCGTCCTCCTCACTCTCCCCTTGACAACCCTCCACTTCACACTCGCCTTCCTAGCAGCACACCAATATGCCGAAAAAACCGACTTCCGCGCCCTCTTGCAAGAATCGCTCATCGTCACCTTCCCACTCCTCACCTTCTTGATTCATCTCGTCCACGGGCACATTTTTACCATCCCGATCCCACTATCGCTCCGGCGCCGGGATACAACATCCAATGACTCTGTCGGGCTAGTACGACGACTTATTTTCCCGCCCTCACTACGCACAGTTGTCTTCCTACCCGTCGCGACGGTGCTAGGCGCACACCTTATTGCTATCACGAACGGGGATCCGTACTACGCTGTCATGAAGAAGGCGCCTGCGGTTGGAACTTTGTGGATCTGGTGTATTCTCGAAATGTCCGTGGGTGCGGCGATGTTGGGTGCATTGGGACCGTTGGTTTGGGGGGTTTGGTGGATGGGGTATGGGATTTTGTGATCAAACTTGAATAGAATTCAGCGAGATGTGAGCTGGCAAGAGAATTTAGCTCTTGGTGCAGCTCAATGGCCGAATACTCTCGACCATCGCAACAGCCTCGAAGCAAAATCAACGGACGACCTGGCTGTGCTCCGGCTGAGGGTGATAGTCGATGGTGCCAATAATGACAGGAAATTTGCAGAGATACAACCCGTGCCTGTGTCAACAATATTGATACAGACAGACGACTCATACCGCGACGACTGCGGAAGCTGCTCTTCACTGACGGAGTCCGCATCCTAGTCGAGCTGGAACCATGACTGCATAGGTTACCTTCGGTCGCCAGCATCCGTTCCTGTTTACTTGAAACCCCTTCCTCTTTCCCGCGGCTTAAGGATATATGGAAAGTCCTGTCTTTTAAGACACTTGGGATGCAACCTGCCCCTTACCATGGGCCATTGTCTGAATAACATGCTGCACATGTGTGATTGACCGACAAAATGGCCTTATTTGACTACGCCAATCCGGTCCGGTCTACTTGAAAGACATCGATTGTCAACTAGGATGGCGTGATTATCTGTCAAGTTGGATTCCACCCTCACTCTTCTGTTTGTAATCCTACCGGTGGCGCCACTGCAGAAACCGAAGAGCTAGCTACAATGAATAATGACGGGAACCTTGACTTGGGCCTGGTGCCAAGTTCCAAACATCAGTTCAGCTGACTGGGAAGTGGCTCCGGTCATTCTTGATGTTCTCGGAAAGACTCGTCGCCGGCCGGCCAAGGATCTCCTTGACGGAATCCGTATACCTGTCATACCGTCCCTCAGCATGTAACTTGGCCATGGTCATGATATGATGATCCGTGTGGTCCGAGCCGGTGCTCTTCTGGGCCATCTCTTTCCACTCGTCTAACGACACTGGCACGTAGGAGATGTCCCGGCCGAGTGCGGTAGAATACTCCTTGACATGGTCGTACATATCGACCGATTTCGGGCCCGTCAGCTCCAGAATCTGGCCCGCATATTTCGAGGGGTTCATCAAGACCGTCACAGCGACTTCACTCACGTCCTTCGCAGCAATGGGATTCACTCGGCTCTTCCCAAACGGCATGCTCACCGTCCCCGTGGCCTCAATGCTCTTGGCCGCATACCCCCAAAACAGTGGATTCTCCTGAAACGATGTCGCCCGTAAATGCGTCACCGGCACACCGGACCAGTTCAGCGCCTGCTCACTCAGGAATTGCAGTCTATGCTGCGGCGACTCAGTGACATGCGTCAGATCCATCTCGGAAACTGTCATCTGGGACATGTTGACAATCAGCTCGATATCGCCCTGAGCCCGTGCCGACGCCGCCATGACCATCGTCGACTCTAGATACTGTGACGAGACGCTTGTGCTGAAGAAAATGCGCTTGCATCCCGCCAGGAGAGGGAAGACTTGTTCGGATTTGGCGAGGTCCGCGACCACGACCTCTGCGCCTAGGTCGCGGAGCTGGGCGGCGCGGTCGTCGTTTCGGCGCACCACTGCACGGACGGGGACATTGGAAGCTCGGAGGAGGGTGACGACGTGTCGGCCTACTCCCCCGACTGCGCCGGCGGCGCCGGTGACGAGCACGGGTGCTGTTTCTGGCATGGTGGTGGCGGAGTTGGTCAATTAAGTGTGTCTGTGGAAGATGGCAGGATATGCGATAATATTAATCTCTGGTCAGACTCCTGTCGCTCTTTCGTCATGTCGTCATATAGCTCAACCGCGGTTGGCAGCTTGTGCCGTTCTTGGTCGGGGATAATATAGATGAGATTAGTCAACCGTCCCGGAGGGCATTTTTGCTTGAACTCCAAGATAGAAACAGGCCTAGGAAAAAGACCAGTATTCTTTTCAAGTCTAACCCAATGTCTAGCAATGCCATCTTCCATTTCGGTGGACATTAATCACAAGGTTTTTATAGCAGGGAACAATTACAACAGCGGGAAATCTCTAGGGTGTGGCTCTCAATGTGCTGGAACTTTGACAGTCCTAACATCGATCAGCAGGAGCATAGTGCGCTAGTCTAGCAATATAAAGCCGGAACGGCAAGGGTTGACCAACACCTTGGATTCATTCTCTTTCCACTCTACTTGCATACCGATCTAATCTGCACATAAGCTTAAGCCACTCAGTCTGATCCATTCTCGTATTGGTCGGATCTAATACGCTCACCGCTATAAGTATTATACCTCGCATCTTTCAAGCTTTGCCCAGAAACCTCCTTGCTTTGAGAAACTCATAATCTGGCATTGACTTCCAAACCCATTTCTGAATCCACTCCGCTCCGTGGTCTCCGAATTCATCCCTCCACTTGTGCGCTTCTTCCCTAATACAGCGGTTGCCGTTCCAAGCCTTCTCCTTCATAACGCCCGAAGAGGTGAAGAGCGTCCCTCGCATTCTCCTCATCGTCGTATCTGGAAGCTGATCAAGTTCCGCCTCGGTCGCCGGCGCCCACTCAAACTGCAGCTTCGAGCTATCCATTCCCGTGAATTCACACACCTCCGTCAACAACTGCGGGTTTGTGATGAAATCATCCCCGTCTAGTATCATGGGCTGGACCATATCAGAGCTGGCCTGTATGGACTGTAGCCAGTCATAGACACAGCGTGTCCAATATAGAGTGACGTGGGCCATCAACCTAGCTTCCTCTTTTATCACAGCTTCCGGGCCGTGTAGATCCACAAAGGCCCGGTAATACGACGGAACCGTGAGGGCTGGATGTCGAATGAGAAAGATGTGACGCGCTTCTGCCAAGACTCGATCGGGAAGTATTGTTATATTCCTGGGGGAGTGAGTCTCTTTGGACCCGTCTCGGGGACTTCGCACCGTCCACGGTGCCTCAAACACCGTACCGTCTCCGTGCATGAATGCACTCAGAGCTGTCGGGTCCACCATGAACCGGATATGCTCCTTGAGGAAGAGAGTTTTGTTCTCGGCTCGTGCCTTGTCGATCCACAGGCACAGGTCATCGTAACAGGACTGGTAGACGTGGGCGGCGTGGGCCCGCTGCGCCTTTGTCCAGGTTTGAACATGTTTGCCCGGGTAGGGGAGCGTGTTATTGACGACCACGGGCCGGAAGAAGTAACCTCCACTCCAGGGCGAAATGGTATTAGGTTGCCGATCGAGTGACAGAGTGTGGGTGAGCAGGTTCGATGCCGTACGCGGGTACGTGAGGAGAAGGATGACTCGGGGTTTAGGGTCCTTCATAACGGTGTTTTGGAGAGACTCGTCTCTTAGACTCCGCAGCTGGTGATTTAATTTAGAAGCACTCCTATACATATACATATTTCTCAGATCAGATTTGGGTCTCCCTCACCGCCATTACTCTCCATCACGGGTCGATGGATGCAAGACTGCAAGGGACTCTGATGAACATATCTTTCAAAACAAGTAATTTTAGCAGTGCATTCTCAAGAGACGCGTACTTCTCGATGCTACCAAGTAAGGTTAAGCCTCCTGCACGCAGACTCTTGCCTCCTCCACTCGTGGCTCTTCAAGTACACCACCCACAGCGAGGGTGAGGCAAGAACCAGGAGTAGGGCAATCATAGTGGCCACCCAGCTGATCCCAATCGCCTCAACCAAGGGCATGGCACCGGAGCGTATACTAGAACATCTATTAATTACCACTGTTAAGCCCTTGCGTGAACTACGAAAGAGTAAACCAGAGTATCATCGTTATTTAGGAGAGAAGACATAAAATCATAACCATGACCATAACCATAAAGACGGAAAACCTCCGAGCAGCAATGCAGGAGCAGTCATAAAAGCATAAAACGCAATAAAAATAAAACAAAGTCCGTCCCACCCGAAACCATATATAGAAACCCAGGGGAAAAAAGACAAAACGCCATTATCAATCCGCCCACCCCATAGTCCCGGTTAACGCCATTTCCATATTCCGTTCCCGCAATCAATCAATCCTTTCCGAAATAACGAGTGCTCCAGACCCGATGACCGTCGTTTTAAATACTGATGCAGTCGTCATCAGACTGCGACGCGGCCTTCTTGCGCGTGCACGCCCACACTGGACAGATCCGGGCTGCCGGACGGGCGCGAGGAGCCGTGGCCGTCGAAACGGGAGAGCATGGAGGCCATCATCTCCCGGTAGGAATTCATCTGCGACAGCTTGAAGCGCTGGATCTTGCCGCTGGCCGTACGCGGGATTTCCTCCACGAAAAGCACCCCGCCGTCCAGGGCCTTGTAGCTGGCCAGTCGCTTGCGCGCGAACGTGTACACTTCATCGGCTGTCAGGCGCTCTACCTTGGGATCGCGCGAGCGCACAACAAACGCGCGCGGCACTTCGCCGCTGCCGTCTTTGAGGTTGACACCTGTCACGGCGGCGTCGCCGATCCCCGGGTGTTGCAGTAGCACGGCTTCCACTTCGGCGGGGGCAACTTGCCACCTGGGTGGCATGGTCAGTCATGAAGGTATAGGATTGGGGAGGGAGATTGTTGACTTACCCTCGCACTTTGATGAGCTCCTTGGTCCGTCCCACAATGAAATACTGGCCGTTCTTGACGTACGCCACGTCGCCCGTGCGGAACCATCCCTTCTGGTCCTTTGCGTCTCGACGGCCCTTGTAGCCCATGAGCAGGCCTGCACCACGGACCCACAGCTCGCCGGCGCGGTCGTCCTCGTGCAAGATATTACCTTCGTGATCGACCAGACGGACCTGGTATCCAGACAGCCGAGTGCCAATGCTGCCTGCATTGCCGCGCTGACCATAGCGCTGCTGGAAGGTGACGCCCACCTCTGTCATGCCCCAGAGCTGACAGGCCGATGCGTGGGCATGCAGGTGGCTGCGGAAGTGCTCGACGGACTGGGCGTCGATGGGGGCGCCCGCGATGCCCACATAGCGCAGCGAGCCGAGGTAGTCGGCCACGGGCATGGAGGACTGGTTGACGGCGTGGATGATGGCGGGCACCAGGTAAGTCTCTGAGATGCGGTACTGGTGCACAGTGGCGAGGAACTGGTTCATTTCGAAACGCTGCAGGACGAAGAGCGGGTGGCCGTATCGCACGGGGAACAGGTGAGTCCACAGGGCGCCGAAGAGATGGAACATGGGCAGGGACATGAGGCGACTGACGGGGTAGGGCACGTCGTACTGGATAGAGCGGTGGTGGGACACGATCGCATGGTGCGAGAGGATGGCGGCCTTGGGGAGACCGCCCGTGCCGCTGGTCGAGAACATGGCTGCGGGCGTGGACTGGGCCCTGCCGGGATCATTGAAGACGAGCCAGTCGGTCTCACCGTAGCAGATCAGGTGGGCGAAATTGAAGTGGCGTGAGTCCCCGCCGGTCATGGCGAAGTGGTTGCCGGCTGGGTATCCCAGCTCGTACGACAGGAAGAGCTGGGCACAATAGTCGACCGCGCGTTCGTCCACCAGGCACACCTGGCTGGGATGGATGCCGCGAGCGGTAGCCACCTCGTTCACCATGGGCAGCGCATCGCGCGTGGTGAGGATCAGCTTGGGGTCAGCGAGGCCGACGATGTGGTCCAGTTCCTGGGGCTGGCTACGCGGGTTGGAGCCCATGTAGACACCGCCAGCGCCGATAATGCCGAAGAACAGCGCGGGGTACAAGATCTATAGATCTGGGTTAATCTTCCGAGCGGGTCATGATTGGTCTGCAATACTGACGCTGTTCCCCAGATGCAGCAGCACACAATCCCCGGGCTGCACATTGTGGGCCTTGAAGCCCGCAATCAGCGTCCGGACCAGCTGGCGGAACTGGAGGGCTGTAAAAGACCGGGAGGGATCCTCGGCATCAATGAACAAGGGCTGGCTCGGGTTGTAGGGCTTGTGGCCCGAGAAGGCAAAGGTTAAGAGATCCGTGTAGACATCGGGCCGGAGCAGGGGGTCCGAAGTGCCACCCATTGAGTCCCAGTGGACCATGATGAAAGAGGTGGGAGGGAGTGAGTGAGAAGGATGGAGTTAAGAGTATGGTAGGTTGGGAGAGTAGTAGAGTAGAGTAGAGTGTATCACGGCAGGGATCGGACGGATGGACTCGACCCCTGCCGGGATACTTATATATGTGGAGGGAGCAAATGATTTGAGATAAACTATAACGAGGTTTCAGCCATCCTTCTGCTGTTGATGTGATTTGGAATCGACCAGGGCTTAGGTAAGTGAGTGGTCCCGACAGGCTGGACGCAGACCCACTTGCGATGACAATTAACAGATCGACGTGCAGTAGTGAACGCAGGGATTAGACTACACAGGCCGAGGACTATAGAGTAGAGGTCGGGAATAGAGGATTGGTGATATCACATCGAACCACTGTCCTTCCGGCTAAGGTACATGCAACCTGGCTCCAACACACAATCCCTTGGTCCGTGGGCACTCGGCGGCCTCCACTGGCCCCGGCAGGCGGGCCAGACTCAATAGTGCGTAGCCCATCACGGTGATAATGATCATGGTCCAGGTGATAATGTCCAAGACGGTGATCGGGGATCGCCCAGGTCGTGTGTCTCGCGAACATGTTCGTCGATCGGGGATCTGCAGGCGAATAATCCGCCAGACTTGGCCCTAGCGCCTGGCTCGAGCGCCTATCGTACCCGCTCCTCAGATCCGACCGAAATACAACCAGACGGGCCAACCGTCCCAGCATCCATGGTCCGGCTGGTGCTTAACAAGATCCGACCGAGCCTGACAAGTGGGGAGTGGGCCCGCGTTCCTCCCGATCCCTCCTTTTGTGCGCTGGAACCAGGTTTCGGGGAGCCCGGATTAGCATGCCAGAATTCTAGATCACAAGAATGTTCATCGGTGAATGTGAGCTCCTGTCTCGGGATCCACGGTGATGGAACTGCGAATCACTCGAGTCAATAAATCAGGGTTTATTGCTGAGATCTCGTGGCGTCGTCAAGCCACATCTTGCTGCCGATTGGGTGCGGCGGTGGAAAAACGTTGGGATCGCCGCATTATTGGAGGCTCAGTCGTTCTTCATCGATCGCGCTATCGATCCCCCGCTCCCGGTTTCTTCACACGCCGATGTGATGAGATCCATCGTCATTCCCCAGTAGAAATTGATGCTCGTGCTCGTCACCCGGTGACGGCCCAAGACACTGCGCCACTGGTGGATCGCGCTCAGGTCAGGGTTGTGAAGGTTGATTTTGTTGATCGCGAGGTTACATGCCAGCCCGTCTCTATACCCACGAACCACTCCACAGCTCCTTTCCGGCCGATCCCGTTGCGGTTGACGGTGTCCGCTGTGATCTGACTTCGTAGCTAGCTCCATCGGCTGTTGATCCCGCCCGTGAGAGAGTGGGCGCTGGCCCAGTCGTTGGGGCATTATTGGCTTTGTCGTAACCTCAGTCGTTGTCGTCGCGGGCCTGGATCCGGTGTGATGGTGTCATACACCCCATGAACAGGAAAAAAAAAAAAAAAAAAAAAAAAAAGCCAATAGTGTGATCATGGTGATAATGATTTGGAAGATCGGGTTGCGTGGAGAGGTTGCAATATCGGGGAGGAGTGAGTTCGAGTGGCGGGTTCAGATGTGATGCTGATGATGCTGATGCCGAGGTGAGGAAGAGGAAGAGGAAGAAGGATGGGAGAGAAAGTCCCCCCAGACCTGCTTCCTGGTCGAGATATCAACGCCCATCCATCCATCCATGTCCCTCCCTCTCCTCCGACCAGCCCTTCCCTCTCTTTTCCTCGCAGTCGCCTTTTGAATAGTCTGCTTCTTCCCCCATCATGTCGTTCTCGGTCAAGACGATTGACGTCGCCATGCCTCCAGAGGCGAAGCTCAACTCGCCCAGGCCTAGCGAGGTCACACTCACCGAGGGCGGCGAGATCACCAAGCTCGAGAAGTATCGCTCCGAAGAGTTGGGATCGGTTGATCTTGAGTCTCCCTCGGACGAGAAACAACTGGACCTCGAAGCTCAGACCGTCAAACCAAAACGGCTGGCTGCACTCAGGTACACAGCCCTCAACCTCTATCGACGACTCTTCACGCTGGTCGTCCTCGCCAATATGGCCGTCTTCGTGGCCGTCATGACGGCAGACCGCAAGCTGCTGGCCTTGGTCAATGCCACCGCCGGTAACCTGCTCGCCTGCGGACTAGCTCGGCAGCCGCTGGTAGTCAACACCATCTTCTGGGTAGTCTGCTCCATGCCGAGATCATCGCCGCTGTTCCTGCGCCGCATGGCAGCCAAGGTCTACCACTATGGCGGCGTGCACAGCGGCTGCGGCATCGCCGCCCTCATCTGGTACATGGGCTTCATCGGCGTGATGTCGCACGAGTACTGGCAGGCCGAGACGGTCAGCAGTAGCAGCAGCATGTCAGCCGCACCGGTGGTGCTAGCGTACACGATCCTGGCACTGCTGCTGGTGATCATCGTGGTGGCGCATCCCACGTTTCGAATGAAACGGCACGACTATTTCGAACTCACCCACCGTTTCTGCGGGTGGCTTGTGATCGCCATGTTTGTTGCGCTGCTGCTGGTCTTTGCACGCGAGACCAGCCGGGCCCAGGATCAGCCGCTGGGCCGGTTTCTGATCACGCTTCCGGTTTTTTGGTTCCTGGTTATCACCGTGGTCGCCATCATCCATCCGTGGCTGCTGCTCCGCAAGGTCCCCGTTCGCGCCGAGGTTCTCTCCTCGCATGCCGTGCGCTTGCACTTGGACCACACCACCACGTCCTTCGGGAAGGGCATCCAGCTCGCCAAACACCCGCTGCGAGACTGGCACGGGTTCGCGACCTTCCCGGACGCCGACCATGAGCAACCCAGCTTTTCCGCGCTGGTGTCCAAGGCTGGCGACTGGACGCGCGACTGCATCCAGCAGCCGCCGCAGCACCTGTGGAAGCGCGGCGTGCTGATCTACGGTGTTGCATACGCCATGCGCGTCTTCCGGCGCGTCATCGTCGTAACCACAGGGTCCGGCATTGGACCGTGCCTGTCGTTCCTGGGCGACGAGCACCGGCCCGCGCTGCGCGTCGTGTGGCAAACCCGGGCACCGCTCAACACCTATGGCCAGGGGGTGTTGGATCTTGTGCGCCGGATGGATTCGGACCCCATTATCATGGACACCGACAAGAGCGGGCGAGTCGACATGCTCCCCATGGTGCAGCGCCTGGTCCGCGAGTTCGACGCAGAAGCGGTGTGCGTGATCAGTAACCCTGTGCTGACACGCCGGCTTGTCTACGGCCTCGAGGCGAGAGGGACTCCCGCCTTTGGTCCGATATTCGATTCTTGACTTTGTTTGCGCGGCGTTCGGACTATGCCTTGTTTGACAGGTGTGTTTTTTAGGGGGCGAGACGAAGGAATGCCAAAGAAACTCAAATCATTTTTTATAGCAACCATCTGACAAGATGGGTTGAGAGAGAGCAAAGTAGTTTAGTGCGAGGTAGGGGGCGCTGGGGGGGGATGTGGTCCACTACATAAGACTCTGGGTGATTTGGAATCATGTCGGCTTCAGGGGAAATCCATCAGCGAATAATGAGTGAGCCATAGCCTTGTCCGCCTGGTGCATTCCGTGTCATGTCCGTGCAAGCCAACTGTTAGCCACCTGCAAACGAGAAATGGATGATCTATAATTCCAAATTGTGGGGATCCCATCGGCGTGTTAGGGCTTAAAGGACAGGATCCGACCACGGCGCCAGTCCGCTTCTGGGCTAGGGCGTCGGGTTCTCGAACGGGTGGGTCTGACAGTTGGTTGCCTCCTAGGATCCAGGCATTCAGGCAGCAATCCTGTCATCGTCCATCCCGCAGTATTCTCCGTGGAGCCCTAACTCTAATAAGCAACAAAAGCCGCGGAGTCTCTCCGCCAAAATAGTCAATCCTGCCGCACCACCAAGACTATAAGTGCACTAAAGACCCAGACTCCTCGACCTCATCTCCAATTCCAATTCCAATTTCAATTCCACATACCAAAACCAAAAGAATGTCTGAAAAGCGCAAGGCAAGCCCCCTCCACCCATCCAAACAAATCACCGCTAACCCGCCAGTCTCAGGCCATCATAATCGGCGGAGGCCCAGCCGGTCTCGCAATGGCACTACGCTTACAAAAGGCCAACATAAGCAGCGTGATCTACGAGCTGCGCTCAGAACCCACAACCCTCGGCGGCGCAATTGGCATCCAATCCAACGGCCTGCGCCTCCTACACCGGCTCGGCGTGTACGACGACCTCGCTGCGCGCGGGTACGACAATAACGAAGTCATCATCCGCTCCATGCAGGGCTCTATCCTCGGCACGCCCGATCCGGTCGTGTGGGCGCGCAAGCAGACAGGGTTTGGCTTCATGCGGATTAAACGCACCGATCTGGTGGAGGTGCTCCTCGACGCGGTGCGCAAGGCCGGGATTACCATTCACTGGGGGAAGAGCCTAGCCTCGCTCACGGAAAAGGATGAGAGGGTGACGGCGACCTTTGACGACGGGACGATGGATACGGCGGATTTCTTGTTTGGGTGCGATGGCATCCATTCCGCGGTGCGGAGGCTGTACGTCGATCCGAAGCAGGTGCCCGAGTATTCGGGATTTGCGGGACTGTTCTCGGTCGTGCCGAATAAGAGCCATGTCGCCGGGATGAATGCCACGCTCACGCAGGAGGGGATGTTCGCCGCGACGCCGTGCGGACCGGATCTGAACGAGCTGTTCTGGGTGTTTGTCAAGGAGGTCGCGCTGCCGAAGTCCACGGCTGTGGGCGATGAGCGGGATGGGTGGGAAGTGCACGGCAAGACCGAGGTGGAAGGATTCAAGGAGTCGATGCTGCATGTCCTAAAGGACGCGCGGGGGGCCTGGGGCGATATCCTCCGGGAGATAGTGCGCTCGACGTCCGTGGTCAAGTTCCTGCCCATCTACCGGCTTCCGCTGGGCAAGTCGTGGGCCAGGGGACGGGTGCATTTGATTGGCGACTCGGCGCACGCGATGCAGCCGCATGCCGGGCAGGGGATGTCGATGGCGCTGGAGGATGTGTTTCTGTTGGCGCGACTGCTGGAGGATCCGGGGCGACCTGTGGCAGAGGCCTATGCGCGCTTTGAGCAGATTCGGCGCCCGCGCGTGGATAAGATCTATACTTTGGCTGCGCGCAATGCGGAGGCGAGGAAGAAGGCGGGTCCGTGGGGACTGTGGTGTAAGGAGATGGCGCTTTGGATGTTTTTGTTGGTGTCGTGGGCGGTTGGGCTGGATCGGAGGGGGATGGGACAGAAGCATTTGGCTTATGATATTGATGAGGAGGTGCTGTGATGGATAGGGTTTGGTTTTATGACGTTGTCTTCTCCTCTCAAGCGTGTACAATATATAGATCTCGTCTCTTTAATATACTTCACTCTGCATATACGTAACCCCATTGACGCAACCGTTGATAAGCGTTGACAGGCATTGATATACGGTTGCAGAAGTCCTAGTGGGGATGAGTATGATCCTATCTCTACGTATCAGATATAAATTTACGCTAAAGAAACGGTTGGGGGATGATCGATTAATTAAGTATCAATAATATCAAGTAGCAAGAAAGAAACCCCCAGCCCGAAACATAACCATTCCAAACAGAAACAAAATATCCACAGATAAAAAGAAGAAGTGAAAAGGCACGGGTATAATGCGGATATTGTGAGAAAGCGGAGATAGAAGTGATAGCCAAGCCAAGTCATCTGTCAGATGGGATCCGACATTCTTTCTGTCGTAGGTATCATGAGACACAAAAGGGAATAAGAGAAAAATTATCGTAATGTTGAATGAGGAAGGTAGAAGGAGTTTTGAAAAGAGATCATGGAGTCGTAACGTCATGAAAAGAAAAACAAAGTCATGCCGTGCTACCGGCGTCGATGGATGGAGCGCGAGAGGGTACGGCAGATGGGAGAGGAGACGGTTCGGGAGAGTTGCCAGTGATGAAGTCTTCGGCAGTGAAACCGGGGAAACGGCGGACACGGTTGCCGCCGCTACCGGATGAGTTGGAGGAGTGGGTGGAGTCGCTGTCGAGACGCACTGACTCCATACGCTCCAGCTCCACGTAGTCGGGGAGCGGCAGTGGGGAGCCGTTGTAGTCCTCGATCGAGCTGGCGCCGTCGCCGCCAAGCTTGAAGTAGCCCGGCGGGCTGGCGGGAACATCCTCGTAGACCGGGGGCATCTCCTCGTCCCAGCTGATGCCGAGACCGCTGCGCTCGGTGACGTGCAAGTTGAACTGCATGCGCAGCACGCGGGCCGCGCCGGTGGGGGTGATGAGACGGGTGTTGCGGTTCGGGCAGAACTCCTCGGCGACAATGAGCTCGATGACGAGGTTGTGCTTCACCTCCAGCCCGCCGGGGGCATCCATGTCGCACACGGGGTTAGTAGTCGGGTTGATACTGGCGTCGAACTGCATGCCGATCTCACCGCCGGCGGTGTCAAAGTCGGTCTTCCACCCGCTCTTCTCTTCGTTGTGGCCGATGATGCGGGTCTCCTGGTGCAACACGCCCTTGCCCTCGCCGCCGATCTTGTGGGCGTGCTTCTGGCAGGCGGTCGACACGATCTTCTGGTGCTCTTCGATGCGCCACATCATCTTGCGCAGGCGCCAGCGGGTTTGGGTTTCCTCGTTCTTGTCCACCACCCCGCTCAGGGTCATCTCGACGGGGAATTTGCCGATGGGGTGGACGACAGAGGGGAGCACAATGCGGCCGGTGAGGTTGGTGGGGGGAAGATGCGGATGGACGACTTGTCGTTGCCGGGGAGGATAGCCCGACGGACGTTCAGTGGGAGTCGGAGCGAGAATTCCTCGCCGGCGTTGCTCTTGGCCGACGCCTCGAGGAAATACTCGATCTGGCCCAGCGATCCATTGCAAGAGGCCGGGAGGTGGCCCGGGAACAGGTAGCTGAAGGGGAAATCATGGGTGCCGGTCTTGAGCGGCAGAGACTCGGTCAGGAAGTTCCAGCGGGTCAGCTCGTCGACGCGCGAGAGGCAGTTGGGGCAGTTGTTGGAGACGGGCTTCTTGGTGCTGGTCTTGGAGACGAGGCGCATATCAAACTGGTCGAGCTTGATCTCCTTGGCCACCTCGGTGACCACCACCCGCAAACGGCCTGAAAACAGAGCGCCGGTGGAATTGGCCGGCGTGCCGTAGCAGGTGAGCGGCGGCGACTCCACGAGAGCCTCGAGCTTGGCCGATGGGACGACCAGGCTTTCCTTGCTGGAACGTTCCTTGGAGCGGGCCGCGCGGCCCAGGCTGCGGCGCTTCTCCTTGTCCTTGCTGAGGTTGCGGTGCGGGTGGATCAGCGAGTCCATGTTGAAGGACAGGCGACGCTCCGGGGACCTGGCGCGGTCGACGGACTTTTTGGGCGGGGCATGGTGGCCGGGGATCTCGTTGACCGAGGCCGTCGACGAGGAATTGGAGTGGATGGGGGTCGAGGCCACCGAGGAGTGGAGGGAGGCCGAGCCCCGAACGAAGTTGGGGATGAGACGGCCGGGCATATCAAGGATCGGAAGTTACGAAGCCGTTCGGTGGTGGCAGAGGTGGGATAGATGGGTGCAAGTAAAGGAACCAAACATATTTAGTCGGCCCAGAAGCGGGCCAGCGCACTGCTTTTAATGGAGGGGTGGGAGTCATGTGCTCTGAGCCTTAAATGGCCGAATCCGTGGAAATGGCGAAAAATTCTTAGCATCGAAAGAAGTTTCCAGGAACCGCCACAAGGTCTGGCCCGGGAAAAAAAATAGAACGGTCGCATTCTGGTGGGGCTGGCGTCATGGGTGGAGCAGGCGGTACGGTGACCATACCTGACACAGGGATTACGGCCGGCTACATCATCGTCTGGTGGTCTGCTGTGGACGCCTCGTCGGTGGACATTTGACCTACAGGGAATGAATGCGTGATAGCACCATCTGGAAACCATTCGGGTAACTCCCTAGCTCCTAACTACTAACGCACTACTCTATGGGTGCATTATTAATCACTCCTCCTAACGACTAGATCATCGCCTGACCTGGCCTCCCCCACATCCACCACATCTGCTGACCGTGCGCCGTGACTCACTAGGGTCTCCGGTCGGCAATCGTAAACTCGGCGCCCGAACAAGATCCCGGGGAGAGTCCGTGAGGGCGGTGATCCGGCCGATAGCGGAGACCGCCGGTAGGGAGGACCTCCTAATGGTTCCTCCGGGGACGAGAGCAATGATCTCGAACTATATACGGGAATTTACTGATTCGAGGGACCGTTTGAGCCATCTTCGTCATGCTGCCATCATCCAGGGCCTGTACCGATCGTGACCATACCGCATACACGACCAAACAGGCGCTAAAGGAAGATCCCGCTCTCGCCGCTTTTCCGCTTCGGGTCAACCAAACGCGAAACCCCCGATCCACATGATCCAGCAGAATTTTCTGCCGCTTGCCAGAAGGGTAGCCCAGTGCATACGGCATCTGGTGCCGATAGGAAGGAACAATACCCCGCAAAGAACAACTCACGACGTGTGTTTGCGGGGCTGGACATGAACACCCCTTTCTTGTTCCGAGATGTCCTTCCAGATTGTAGTTGACGATGGACTGTAGCTGTCAACCGTGATCGGTGCCCTACCCGGGACAAGGTCTGCATCGGGCGAATCACCAGTTTTGTTCCTCTCCACCTATTACCTAACACTTTCGTCGTCCACCATTGACACGCCCACATGTCCTGCAGCATCATTCAGGAACGGAGCTGAAGCTCCGGAAGACACGTCTGACATGTGCTCTCCAACTCCCATCTCTCGGCCGTGTTACCCGATCACGCCATGCATTGCGACTGGGGACTGGGCCGTCAGCAAGTCATGGCGAGCACACTGCACACCGTCTGTGGATCGGGAATTCGAGCCAATTGCGGTCGGGGGGGACCCGGGGCGCGGCGATCGTGCGCGAGGGGTCCTCGGGAAATTTTCTGTCGTGTTCAGCCCACTCCGTCGATGCATCGTAGTACTCGGTCCGGGTCGACGGTTCTTTCCCGCGCGCGGTCCTTTCCCGTCGGCGGGGCCAGGCCAAGACTGCTGTCCCTGGTTCGTTGCAAGGCGAGTGTGTGTGGATGGAGTCGGCCCGATGATTGGCTTTGCCGGTATCAATTGTTGATAGTTGTGAGGGATCTCTACACTTGGTGATGGTCTCTAGCCATAGGCATTCATCTCGGCCAGCTAGATGATAATACCATGACCATCAGTGCGGCCACTTGAACTACCTAGTATATGTGGACGCCCGAGGATGCATCTCTCGATCGTGGGATCCTGGTCAATTCAACCAGGCCAATGAGATGGGCGATCGCAGGGATAAGCTCAGCGTTAGTGTGGCCTGCATGCACCACGCGCCAATCTGGCCAGATCCGGGGATCACGTTTATATGATCCGACAGGATATGGATTCTACCAGTGATAATTTCGTCAAGACAGCTCCTTAATACAAGAAGACCAGACCATGAATCCATTAACTCTGCGAGGTCATGTCAATCCATCCGACGAGCCAGCACGTGACGCACTCCGGGGGATCGCCAGCACCGGAAGAGGAAAAGAATCAGTTGTCCCCCTTTTTCTTGGGCTTCCTGCCACCGTGTTCTTTTCCCCCCAATTCGTGGAGATCAATCACCCTGGATTTGGTTCACGGATTCCGGTGACCAACCCACCAATTAACCACCGCCACCACCACCCTTTGGCCTCCCCCGTCCACCACGTCGCCGGGAGGGATGTCCGATGCGCATTCCCCACCGCGCCAGGTCTTGAGCTGGAGCTTGCCCTGATTGATCCACCCGATATTTCGTTTCCACATTGACGACGAGCTTTGCTGTCTTTCTATTCCCTCGTTCCTCGCGATAGTGTCGCTTGTCGGAGGAAGAAAAAAAAAGGCAGAGGGAGACCACCCGGCCACCACCAACCCATCTCACATCTCCGCGACGCCGTACAGACCATGTGGGCGGCAACCTCAGGCAATTGGACCGCCCTCGGGGTGGCAATGCTCGCCGTCCTCCTCTTCTGGACCATATCCGCAACCACCTCCTTCTCCCCCTTCACCCGCGCCCTGCCTCGCCTGCACAACAAGCGCATCTGCCTCCTGATCGCGCACCCCGACGACGAGGCCATGTTCTTCGCGCCCACAGTGCTAGCCCTCACCAGGCCGGAGCTGGGCAATCACCTCAAGATCCTGTGCTTCAGCACCGGCAACGCCGCCGGCCTCGGCGAGACGCGCAAAAAGGAGCTCCAGAAGAGCGCGATGCAGCTGGGTCTGCGCGAGGAGTCGGATGTTTTCATTGTGGATGACCCCGAACGCTTTCCGGATAGCATGCAGGCGCAATGGTCGGAGACGGAGATTGCCTCGTTGTTGGCGTCGGCGTTCGCGCCGGATTTGAAGTCGAATGGCTCGTCTGCTACTGCTACCACTACCGCCATCACCACATCCTCTTCCTCCAAACAGAGGAAGCACAAATCACAGCAGGCTGCGCAACAACCGAAGCAACCGCAGCACTCCCAACTCCACGACGGTCCCGCAGCAGCGACCATCGACGTACTCCTCACCTTCGACCAACACGGCGTGAGCAACCACCCCAACCACCGATCCCTCTACCACGGCGCAGTCCGCTTCCTGCGCGAGCTCATGAAAGACAAAGCCGGCTACAGCTGTCCTGTGACGCTATACACGCTCACCTCGACGTCAATCCTCCGCAAGTATGCCGGCGTGCTCGACGCCCCGGTCACCATGGCCCTGGGCGCGTGGAGCAATGTCGCTTCGTGGTTTTCATCCGCCAAGTCCAAGTCCAAGTCCGCCTCGGATGCGGGGCCCGTCCGGCTGCTGTTCGTCAGCTCGATCGGCGAGTGGATGACCGCCCAGTCGGCGATGGTCAAGGGCCATGCGAGCCAGATGGTCTGGTTCCGATGGGGGTGGATCACTATCGGGCGATATATGACTGTCAATGACTTGAAGCGCGAGAAAGTCTAGGTTCTTACTTTCCTGGGGAGGGTGGTTCGGAAATAATGGACATATATAATTGGAACCCAACCCATTCCCTGGTGGATGGATATATGTATTGATAGGACGCATATTCACACAATCTAGCTCTAACTAGTGTTACATATATTTCGTCCATGAAACCGCTCTCTAGCCTTCGCCAGGGGTCACTGGGACCCGATCCCAGGTTGCAATCTTGTCGGTGGGCATGGGGATACGTCCCATGCCAACGAGTCGACCAAACGACCCCCGTTTCCAGGGAGTTCTCTTATGCAGAGGATGACCTCTCGGATAGTAGACCCCTGGATTCTGCTCCGCCACCTTCTGTTTTGCCCGGCGGTCCTCGCGTTGCGCATTTGATTCATGGATCCGCTCGAATGAGAGGATGCGCTGAAAAAGTGGAATCGAGGTATCAAGGTGCTGGTGTTTGTTGAAGAACCGTCTCCAGATGTACCGGTCATCCAACTTCGGTGGTGTCTCGCGCGCAAAGATCCTGTTCCGGTCGGTGTGCCGTCGTTGCGGGACGAAGTGATGCGCCGTCTTGAAGGCGGACTGGTTGGTGCTGTTGCCGCAGAAGTCGATCCGCCAGTCTTCTCCGGTAATATAAAACCGCGATGGCAGAAAATCCCGCCATTCTTCTATCAATTTCGGCACCTTTTGTCGGATCCAGACATCCATGGGGATATCCATCTCTGGTGCGCCACAGCCCATCACCTTGAAAGCACAGCGCTGCAGGAGACCTTCATCTGCCCACTCTTCCAGTCGTGCGATATCGTACATGTGTAAGGCCTCGGAGAGTTGAGGAGACTCCAAGGGTGACGGACCAGGCTGACCGGCGGCCATGAGGTCCAGGGCCTGATTCAGATGACGCAGCAGAGTATCCAACGCCTGCTCACGCTTCTGCACGCTGTCCTTGTATTTGCCATACGCTCCCTGGAGCAAGGGAAAGCACGGTTCGACCTTGCCCTCTCTTATGTTGAGATTGACCATGCACCGGTACATAGAGAGAGTCGGCTGGACATTATAAGGGTCCGAGGTCATGGTCTGGAACGCACTTCGCATCGAGTCTTTCTCGATCCGCCCCCATTTCGCGGCATCGCTGGCCATGACATATGCCCGCTCGAACACCTCACGCCAGACTCGCTCGGAAATCGCAATATTGTAGGAAGAAGATATGAACTCGATCACCATCATCATCAAGTCAACCCTGCGCAGCGTGCCCAGGGCATGAGCAACGGCAAACAAAAGGTTCTCCGTGGGATGTAGAGCGGATGTTGAGCTGTAGTTTAGGACCGGAGGAACGGGAGGATTGTCCTCGGCATTTTCGTTGACAAGCGGGGCGTTCAACGCGTTCAGGTCGATGTTCCAGAAAGTATTCAGGACGTTCCTCACAGTGTCCAAGCGACCGACCCGTGCTGAGGCAATGAGGAGATTGATCGCCGTGCGTTCATCGACTGGGTGTCCCCCATTTTTCATCTCCTCGAAGACATGCAGCATATGTCTTTGAATGGAGTACCCTGCGGTTCGGTAGCCTTGGTAGCCCCGCGCCGGTGGTTTCGTATACTGTCGCATCCGGAAGGTCCTTTCAGTTGGATGCAGACGGACCCGTTCTGCACCTGTGTAGCAATGATCCCAAACGTTTGCCTCCATGTAGTAACTGTAGGCCACGCCATCCGGGATGATTCCCTGCGCTTTCACCGCCGCCCACAACCTTTGAGCAAAGTCCCCGTCGCCCGTCGCCCTTGCACAGTCCAGCAGGTGCGTGTATTCGGCCAGATCTTTCCTACCCCCTGCTAAGGCTCTGTACTGCATGATCGTGGTTATCTTCTTAATGAAGCCGTCGCAGATGCTTTGCATTTGTGGGACTGATTTGAGCTCGGCCGCCCACTCATGCGTTCCATGATGCAGGGTTCGGAATGGCAGGATAAAGTAGGAGGGCGATAAGAGGTGGAGGACCTCGATATAGACAGGCTGGGGCAGCGCCGCGACCAGGCGTGCCGACCGCTGGGCCGTCATGGCCTGCATGACTTGATCCGGTTGGCCAATTGTGAGGATGCGATGGAAGTTTGCGGCGTATTCGGCCTCCGAGGCCGCCCATTTTGACTCGGGTGGGCTCATGGATTGCACGGCGACGTCGTCATTGAGGTCCTGGCTTGTATGCAGCGCCTGCCTTGGTACCTGCCCAGACAGCGCCCGGCGCTGGGTTGTGGGATGGGAGCCATTGCTGATTGGGGATGTGGAAAAGGAGATGTGTCTTGTGCGCCCGCTGGGATGATGGGCGACCCGGTGTTTGCAGCGGAGATCTCTGGCTGAAACCCGCGATGGGGGACATCGCCAGGGAGAGGCGAGACCCTCTGCGATGGGAATCCTTCGCATGAGAGGAAAGGGAAAGGGGGAGGAAGATAAGAAGAGGGAGAATAATGTGGCCGGGAGGGGGGAGAGAGAAGGAGAAGAATGAACAGGATGAGGGGAGGATTATTGCGACAGACCACGCTCACTCCCAAGGACATACGTTACTAACTGCATTGATATTAGTCTCCTACAAATCACAGACCCCTCACTTCTAGTTCCTGTTATCCACTCGCTCCGAGGAGTGAGTGGATCAACCCCAGTCCATCCAGTCAATAAACCAAAAAAACCCGGGGAACAACTTGCTGACTCAGCCTGGGTCACGCCGCACCACGCTAATCCCAAACGGGCCACCACGCAAGCTCCCACCGAATCTTCATTTGACCCGAATTGTTCAATTATCCTACACTCTCACCATGGCCGACACAGAGGACACCGGTACCTCATCTGTCTCGGAGCCTCTGGACCTCGTGCGCCTGTCCCTTGATGAGACCGTTTTTGTGAAGCTGCGCGGGGACCGCGAGCTCAAGGGTCGTCTTCATGTGAGTTCGGTCGGACGTGCCCTGGCTAGCTAGACAGACTGCTGACAGTGATGGATACGGCCAGGCATACGATTCCCACTGCAATCTAGTCCTAGGCGACGTCGAGGAGACCATCTACGTGGTGGAGGAGGACGAGAACGAGGAAGAGATCACCCGGGTAGGTCACCCTGTGCCGACACTGTCTCTAATCTCGGGCTAAGTGTGGATATTGTGGATGCAGACGATCAAGAAGCAGGAGGAGATGCTCTTTGTGCGAGGTGAGTCTGCCATGATTGCCGATGGTGGCATCGGGACCTACCTAGTCTCCCTCCACTAACCCGCTCTAGGGGACTCGGTTGTTTTAATCTCCCCCCAGGCATGACGAGGCGGATGGACATAGAGGGAATGGCGTTTGTTCGGCGACTGCGCATCACTGCGGCTAGGAGGACATGGGGAATTCATGGATCGATCACTAGTCCATCACTAGGCCACCACTAGACGGTCACCATCCAGTCCACCATCACGGAGACCAATCCACATGACTCACTCTAACCATGAGGCTGTGTTTCTGTATTCCGATTCCCGTAGATCGAGCTGAGTCTTTGTTCGTGGTCGAATGATGTGGCGGATGACTCAATACACTTATCGATAAAGCTGCCCTCCCTCCCCTCCTTCTCCATCTCTCTTTCTCTATTCACCTTCTCTCACCTATTCCCCTTCCCCAACCAAAGTTATGATCCCTCGAATATCGGACTGAATGCGCCCAAGAGCAAGACGCAGCACCACGACCTGACCGTATCCCACGACCATTCAACACCTTGCATCCGACCGACACCGACACCTGAGAGTATGCCCACGGCAGGTTTCAAGCAAACCCCGGAAGAGCGACGGAAGGGAGAACTAGTATGCGATTCCCTGAACATGCCCCGGTGGACTGCTCCAGCTCACCCCAGTGCAGGCTCTCAGCGAGTTCGCCGAGTACGCCGAGAAGCAGCAGGCCCAGCGCGTGGGGCAGGTACCCCGCGACAGTGGTTACTCGACTGCCACGACGGAGGACCATGCCGAGCTGGATATCCTGGACCAGCTTGAACTGTCAGACACGCCTCGAACCGTCAAGCTAAAGGAACACTTGCTGGGTACAGGCGAGAATGCGGAAGAAAGCCTGCAGGTCTTAGCGGACATCATACACAATCGCATCGACGAGGGACACGGAGAGACCCTCTTCGATCTCGGACTGGAGGATGGAGGGGACTCGATGAGCTTGGACCTGGCTCAATGGGAGACTGCGCTGCGTCGTCTGCGCGAGGCCGCCGAGACCATCCCCGCCTACTGCCGGATCCTTCTTACCTACAATGTGGGCGGCCCGGAGGAGTCGCGGGTGCCCCACGAGCGCATCAAGGGCGCCTGGGGCAAGGTGCTGATCCGGCAGCATGCGGAAAATGTCGAGGAGATGGGCGAGATCCGGATCGCGGTGGTGGGCAACGTGGATGCCGGCAAGAGTACCATGCTCGGGGTTCTGGTGAAAGGAAGCCTCGACGATGGCCGTGGCAAGGCGCGCGTCAATCTCTTTCGCCACAAACATGAGATTGAAAGCGGGCGGACCAGCTCCGTCGGCCTGGAGATCATGGGATTCGACAGCCGCGGCGAGATCGTGAGCAGCGCCCAGGGCCGCAAGCTGTCCTGGGAAGATATTGGGAAGCGGTCCGCCAAGGTCATCTCCTTCTCTGATCTGGCGGGCCATGAGCGCTACCTTCGCACCACGGTCTTCGGCATGCTGAGCAGCAGCCCGAACTACTGCCTGCTGATGGTGGCCGCCAACAATGGTTTGATCGGAATGAGTCGAGAACACTTGGGCATTGCCTTGGCTTTGAACGTGCCCGTCATGGTCATTGTTACCAAGATTGACATCTGTCCGCCCCAGATTCTGCAGGAGACCTTGACCCAATTAGCGAAGATCCTCAAGTCCCCCGGTGCGCGCAAGATCCCCATCTTCGTCAAGGATATGGAGGAGACCATCAACACCGCCACACAGTTTGTGAGCCAGCGGATATGCCCCATTTTCCAAGTATCCAACGTCACCGGTGAGAACTTGGACCTGGTGCGAACATTCCTGAACATCCTCCCTCACCGCGGGCACTACGACACGGAGGGCCCGTTCGAGTTCATAATCAACGACACGTTCTCCGTCCCGCACGTCGGCACGGTGGTCTCGGGCGTGGCCAAGTCCGGGGTGATTCACGCCGGCGACACGGTTCAGGTCGGACCCGACTCTCTAGGCCAGTTCACAACCACTACGATCAAGTCGATTGAGCGCAAGCGGATAGCAGTCAGCGCATGCTTTGCGGGCCAGTCCTGCTCGTTTGCCTTGAAGCGTGTCCGTCGCAAGGAAGTGCGCAAGGGCATGGTGGTGTTGAAGAAGATGGACCAGCCCCCGAAGGTGCACCGCGAATTTGTTGCGGAAGGTATGCCTTGCGTCTACCGCAGGTTTAGACCCGTACTAACCATCGCCCCAGTCTTGATTCTCTCTCACGCCACCACCATCAAACCCAAGTACCAGGCCATGCTGCACGTCGGCGCTGTCAGTCAGACCTGCTCGGTCATTGACATTGACCGCCCATTCATCCGCACCGGTGACCGCGCCACCGTCGCATTCCGGTTCATCCAGCGCCCGGAGTTCCTGGCTCCGGGTGACCGAGTGCTGTTCCGGGAAGGCAAGACCAAAGGCCTTGGCATTGTCAAGAGCATTGGCTATGACCCTAAACACCCGCTGAACCCCACGAAGTCTACGAAGAATGGGGAGACCGAGGAGGCTGTAGTGGCCTAATTTGATGGAGAGTTTTGTTTATCACCAAGGGCAGGCGTTTGATATCTTTTCGGACTTGAATTATATGCATGCCTAGAAGAGTGGCCCGGCTGGTTATGTTGTTACATATGTTATGTCTCCGAATGTTGTTCTTCATAGACGCTGCTAATAGTAACGTCTTTGCTTGGTGTTTCTCGTCAACATTGTTAACGAAGTGAGTAAGACGTCGGCCAGTCTGGGACGATGGGGTGTCCTTACCCGTAGAATCACTTGGTACATAGAACTGCCGTCGACTTGACGACCATGATGATATACAGTATTATAGTCCGATGAAACTGGCCTATTGTTGCGGCGCTATGTGTACCTAAGATCAGCTAGGTAGAAGGCATTAGTTGTGTCTGTTAGCGGGGCGCCGCTTCCTTCGGCCGGTCTCAGAGACTGCCAGGCTCTCCAAACGTGGGAATCATTAAGGAGCTGTCTACTTCGCCAATTGGAAATGTCGTCGTCGCACTTTGCACGGATTTCAAAGTATACGGCTAGAGGAACCTTGTGTGGAAAGAGATTGCAGGCTCCATCTCCTACGACTTCCGATCCTTCATTTGAGATGCGTCAATGGAAATGTACGGAGTAATTTAAGCAATTTAAGATAGATCGGCTCGGATGAACGAGTCTCCCGGTTCCTCAACTTTCCCTAAGAGGTAATAACAACATCTAGCCTAATGGGGTAGAATCTTGGCGCAGTAACCTTAGAACCCGTCGGATCTTAGTGGACCCTCCATATTCCGCACCGATGAGACCACTGAGCTCTCTCAACACTCTCCTCGACTGCGAGGACCTCTAATCACTGTCAGACTTCTGGTCGAAATCGTCACCATTTAACTAACTCCTTCGCTATGGCTTCCCATACTGGCAGATCCGGAACTGAGCTGTACCTGCCAGTATCTATGCTGGTCGAGTTTGACAGAGACAGTTCCGGGTAAACATCCGGGTGGCAAAGCTGATGATTCCGCCATTACCAACTTCGCCATGTTCCCACGCTTGTGGTTCGCGAGTTCCTATCCAGTGGATTCCCTAGTACTCTTGGTCTCGCCGCTGAGTGCGGTGACATGTTGGATATGATGCTAGCAGCTCACGGTCTCCTTCGCTCATCATGCTGATGTCACGTTGGCATTCGCCATGTATATATTCGAAGAGCATGGCAATTCTATCCGTGCTTGAAGGACCTTGAGGGAATCACGTCTGACGTCTGTTAACATTACATTAACCCGTTTACCATCACAACCACCCAAAATGGCGACCGCAATGCCCAGGTTGGTTCCCCAACTCTATATCGATCAGACAAAACACTAACAACACAGCCCCATCACCAACACGGCCTACAAGCCTCACCCCACCGAAAAGATGAAGGCGGCGCAATGGATGGGCACGCGCACCATCCAAGTCGGCACGGTGCCGAAACCCTCCATCACCGACCCCAGCGACGCCATCGTGCACGTCACGCACACGACCATCTGCGGGTCGGACCTGCACATGTACGAGGGCGAGCTGAACGACGCCATGCAAAAGGGCGACATCATGGGCCACGAGGCGATCGGGTTCGTCGAGGAGGTCGGCTCCAACGTCAAGAGGCTGCAAAAGGGCGACCGCGTCATCATCCTGCCCATCATCGCCTGCGGCGAGTGCCAGTACTGCAAGCGTCAGGAGTACTCGCTCTGCGACACGACCGACCCGTCTAAGGAGATGGAAAAAATGTACGGCCATCGCCTATCGGGCATCTTAGGGTACACGCATCTTAGGGTACACGCATCTCTGCGGCGGGTACCCCGGCGACCAGGCCGAGTACGCCCGCGTGCCCATTGCGGATCTCACCTGCGTCAAGGCGCCTAAGGACGTCGATGCCAAGAAGCTACTAGGTCTCGCCGACGTTACTACCACCGCCTGGCATGGCAACGAGCTAGCGGAAGTCGGCAAGGGCGACATCGTGGGCGTATGGGGCTGCGGCCCCGTCGGCCTGTCCATCCAGAGGCTAGCGCTACTGCGCGGTGCTAAGAAGGTATATGCGGTAGATAAAGATCCGGTGCGACTGAAGCTCGCCGAGGACTTTGGCATGACGCCAGTCGACGTGTCGGCGCATCCGGAGGTGGCGGATTATATCCTATCGCTGCAGCCGCACGGGCTGGATCGCTCCATCGAGGCCAGTGGTTTCCGAAGCACGCAGAAACCACAGCATGCGGCGATGCGTGCCATCGGTCTAGAGAGGGATAGTAGCGATACGGGTCTCGGCCACCATCAAGGCGACGCGAAAGGGAGGCAACGTTGCGTTGATTGGAGACTTCTTCTTCAACACGAATGACTTTCCAATTGGACCGATGATGGAGAAAGGGTTGACGGTGCGTGGAGGACAGCTGTCGGCACAGAAGGTATCCCCTGATTAGACAGATCTTCCACAGATCGACAGTAGATATACTAATTGACTACAGTACCACCCATTCCTCCTGGACCTAGTGGTACAGGGCAAGTACGATCCATCCTGGATGTTCACCTACGAAGGTATGTCTATTCCATTGATCCTACTGGCCGGATCACAACTAATTGCGCAGACGATTTCGAAAACATCGCAGATGATTACCGGAAGTTTTCGCGCCATGAGATTCCGGGGGGACTCAAGGTGTGCTTGGTGACAGCGTATGGAAGAAGCTTGTATAAGTAGGCCCTATGTGTATAGATGGAGCAGAAATGACAAAATAAAACGGCCCCAGAAGTAGCCTGTTTCGGCCGTCTGCTAACCGTCACATCAATAAATATAGGATTTGATATGCGCAATTCTAGTTCCTCTGCATGCTCATTGGTGGATCTACTAAGTGGGGTACTCTGAAAGGCAATCGGCTCAACAAAGAATACAAAGAATAAGGGGGAGGCTGAGAAGGCCGTAATAGCCTAAATCTAATTAATAGAGAGCTACCACTGTGCGTTTATCTAGTAAGGCGGGGGTCTGACATTCTTGCAGACTTGACCCATATATACATGTCTGGAAGAGCGGACCACCGATTTAGACTATGAGTTGTTACCATATCCTATGTTCTGTTCGAGCTCAATCCAGGGCGAACTGTTTGTCTCAGATTAATAACTCCTGATATCAAACGCCACGGTCCCAACAGGACACACTCCCCTATTGAGTAATCTACCATGTGATGACGTCACCGCGGCAAGAAGCTCTGGGCTTCATACTCCACTGACGTAGGTTTGTCTGGAACTGCTATTCTGGGGGCTGAGCTGGCATTAAGAGGCGCGGTTGCCCCCCAAGTACCTGGACTGACGTATTGACTCAAATCCACCCACGGAATACTGGGCATCCACCCTCAACTTCACCTCTTCAAGAGCCGACATCCTATTACAACCCTGATTCGATACCCGCGAGCCAACCCAGCAGAAGGAACCAAAAAAAAGCAAATAATGGAGACCATCAGCAACGTGGTCCACAAGGCCTCGACCGCCATCTGGGGCGAGGATAACTCCTCTCACCAGGAACAGTCCGTGGAGCCACATGGGGACGAACCCATGTCTGGCGTTCAGGGCAAAGGCGCTGTCAACGATCCGTTCGACGCCGGGAACCGCGAGGGTAAGTTGAGTGACTGTTTATCGCCAAGTTAGCGCCATCTTGACATCAAGTCCCGGATTTCTGCCCGTTATGACGGAACATTTGCGTTGCAGCTCGAGCCACATGGTGTTCTCTCTCTTCCGTGGCTGGAGGGAGAGACCGAGTGTATAACGGGCTGATTTGATTCCCGAAATTTCCCCCCTGCCTTTCCATCTATACCACTTACGACCTAACCTGACCTGGTTTGATCTGATCAACTGACTCGTCTATCACCTCCCCCGCAGATCAATCCGACAACGCGGATTCAATCGACGAACCCACCCCGACGGAAGACAGCCCAGCCGCCCAGAAGACCACCACCGAGCCCAGCTCAAAGAACAATACCGACCCCATCACGACCGGACAACCCATGTCCAGCTCAACAGAAGCAGGCGGCGGCGGCGGAAGCAGCAGCACCAACGAGAAACAACCCACCGATGGCGGCGAGCAACGCAGCACCGAGAAATCCGGTGCCGAGAGCAGTCACCCGCTATCGGCAATGGATGATCCCAATCTAAAGGTTAGCGAGGAGGCCTTGAAAGGCCCGCAGGGGCCGGCGCCGCATTCGGCGTCTGAGTTTGAGAAGGAGATGGATGGGAAGGCTCCTTCTGATACGGGGATTGCGTCGAGTGGGTATTCACGTCTACTATAAATGTGTAGACAATGCTGATTGATGATACCTGACAGAAACGAGCGGCACTTCTGAAGGCAAGGAGAATGGCCAGAAGCACGGAACCATGTCCCGGATGAAGGAGCGTCTGAACAAGGTCACCCATCTGCATCACTCGAGCAAGTGAATAAATAATCACTGAGGACTGATGATAACGGTGACGTTCGGGCTTCTTTTTGTCTTACCTCGTCGGGTGTACTTGGAGATTTCTGGTTGACTTGAATATGTTGATTGATTCCTTGGTTGATGTTCATTCCGCTTCTTGTGATGCTGCTTTTCCGGTGTATTAGTATCCAATTCACGCCGTGTTTCATGATCATGGTGTACTAGACTCTACCTCTTATGCAGGTGAAGACATCTACAATAATAAGCTATACACGATAGACAGATCCATCGAATTGAAGAGAATCTAGTAAATAAATCTCCCCCGAAAGGAAGCCATGCTATAACAAACCCTAAAAGATCAATGCAAAGAGTCCCCACCGGGTATCATAGGACTATTTTTGACAGGGGAAAAACAAAAACAGATAGCAAGAACCTTGCCTCTATTCAAATAGCAATTTCAACTCAGCAATCCGTTCCTTCCGCTTATCCTCCTCAGGCTCATCGCCACCAACCCTCAAGCCAAGCGACCCGGCGATGTTCATCTTACGCTCTTGCACGCGTAGCATGCGGCCCTCAATCGAGTCCTTGACCACAAACCGTGTAACAGAAACATCGCGGGTCTGGCCCATGCGGTGCACTCGGTCGATCGCTTGTGCTTCAACGGCGAAGCTCCACCACGGATCCATCATGAAAACATTGCTGGCCGTTGTGAGGTTGAGACCGACGCCGCCGGCGCGCAGGGAGATGAGGAGGACCGTGGGCGGGGAGGATGAGGTGGAAGACGAGGAGGCTGTTGTAGTTGCGCCAGGGAATGCGCGTGAGATGGAGGGAGGTTCGTCCTCGGCGTCGATGATTTCGTCGTCGTACGTCTCGGCTTTGCTGAATTGGGCAAGGACGGCGGCGCGCGCTTTATGTGGCATGCTGCCATCGAGACGGACGTGAGAGATTCCCATGCGTGTCAGCTGCGGGCCGATCAGATCCAAGAACGAGGTGAACTGTGAAAAGACCACCGATTTGGTGTTGGGTGCCACGCGCGACAGGTGGGTTAGGAGGGCATGGATCTTGGCAGACGTATGAGCGGACGGCGACAGAGGATATATGCGTCGGAGAGAAATTCGTGGAGCTGGCTGAGAGCCTGCTGGTGGCGTGCTAGGGAGGCCGTCATCGAGAGGTGTGGTGGAGTGTGATGAAGGGTGCCGCACGACCTCAAAGATGTCCTTTGCGTTGACAGGTGCCCGGCAATTGAAGCACCGTGCCTGTTCGCCCTTGTTCCTTTGGTGGCGCAGGAAATCTTCTAGACACTTCTTGCAGGCACTATGCCAACATGCTGTGACAGCGGGCTCGATCATGGGCTCCTCGCAGCAGATAGGGCATTCCCCACTCGACTCGGTCTGGATCTGGCGAAGAGCATGCGTCGTGAACGTTGCCATGGTGCCCGGACGATCCTCGTTGCTAGCACTCTCGGTGCTGGAGGTGAACTGATTGATCAGTTCCTGAAGATCCATGTCATCTTTCAGACCATTGAGCTCATCGGCCGCTGCCGCTGCAATCTCTTCATCTGCCACGATTTCTTTTTTGCGGGTGAGAATGGGATGACAGCAGGTCTGCCGAAGACGCAGAATTTGAGCAAAAATCGTTGAATAAGACTGCAATAGAGTGCCGGCCTCGACACCTTCGTTGAAGGTCCGTTTGGCTCGCATGTAGATACAGTCGTAGATTTCTCGCTCTTGTTGCGACAACTCCACTTCCTCGATCGTGATCGTTCGTTTTGGCAAAGGGACCAATGGCTCGCCTTCGGGAGTTTTCATCGTCTTGGTTCGTCGAAGTACGAGGGGCTCCAGCACGCTCTGCACGACATTGAGGGCGCGTACATACTCCTTGGACTCGAATGGCACAGTGATGAAAGTTTTCCAGAAAGAGAAATTGCTCCATGGTTCCACCTTCAGGAAACGCACCAGACTAAAGAGGTCTTCTAGTCGATTGACGATAGGCGTGCCTGTAAGCGCCCATCGATGAACAGCCTTGAGTTCATAACAGGCCCTGGCAGACTTCGAGCGCCGGTTCTTGATTGAGTGGGCCTCGTCAAGGATGACGCGGAAAAACTCAACCGAGAACAATCCCCCAGGCGCACCGGGCATGTGCTGCTGTGGAAGATCGCGCAGTTGGGACAACACGATGCCATAGCTGGTGATAATCAAGTGAGGTGCAGTGTTGGGCTTGGATTCGGAACAGATATCTCTGATGGACATGCCTCTGTCGGGCCCATGGTATACCATGACTCGCATCGAGCCCGCTTCTGATGCTTTCAGCGCCTCGCTTTCCCACTGCGAGAGAAGTGAGGTGGGAGCAACAACCAGGGTCGTGTAGGGAGCAGGGACTATCTCCGAATAAGCGTTGTTGAAGTTGGGGTTGAGGCTGGTGATAGGCTTTGCGTCGTCCAATTCCCGTGGTTTCGGCTCGGCTTTGTGGGAGTGAATGAGGCTCAGCATCTCGATGGTTTTGCCCAGTCCCATCTCATCTGCCAGAACTCCACCTCGGCAGTGTTGCTCCTGAGCTGGGAAATCGACGCTGAGGTCTCCCGAGTAAGGGTTGACATAGAACTTGTCGATACCCTCAACGGTTGGGAGGTCTTTTTCATCAACATCTTTAGTTGGCCAGGTATATTCTTCCCACAGAGGATGCAAAGATCTTTCTCGAACTTGCTGCGTGTCTTTTTCTTTGGCCAACATCCAATGGAGAGCTTGTTTCTGATACTTTCGAAGATTCATAGTGAAGGTCGATGCAGGTTCCGCTTCGGGCATGTTGAAGTCAAAAGATTGTGCCTTCTTGTATAAAGTGTCGAGCTGATCCTCTTCGAGCTCCTGTGTTTCGTCCTCCCCGGAGGAGTCATCGGCATCTTTGGCGCCCTTCGACTTGTCCTTCTTGTCGTATTGCTCAGCCATCTCAGCCGCCCGAAGCAACCCTTCTCTCTTGTGCTTCTCTGTAGTCGGGTTGATTGACGTGGGCTGGAGACCGATTTCATGGAAGAGCCTTACTAAAGCCACTTGTCGGATCCGCAGTTTCTTCTCCTCTGTACTCTCTTTCTCTTCGAACAGGGCCGTCGATCTGTTATCATCTTCGGGCATTCCCGTGAACACTCCGTGCTGAAACACTTCTTTGCGTAAGAAGCACCGTAGTTGCAAGTATATCGTATCGTTGATCCGGACCCAGTCAGGCACATACACACACACAGCCTCAAAGCGACAAATCTTCTGATCAATCAGGGTGGAAACCCACTCGGCTGTTTCGTGGGGCAACCGTCCCAGTTCCTGACCGGATGTGTTTGTAAATCGCGTCAAGACGTCGGGCTTGTGGTTGGTGAGGAGCTTGCCGCCGCGTCCCCGTTTGGTTAATGGTTGCGACCTGGCTCGCTCAATGTTGACTATGTCTCCGTGCTTTATGAGAGCCTTCCCACTTCGAGTCGCCCAGCCGCCGACGCCAAACGCTCCGATATATCTTGACGCCGGTTGTTTTCGCCAAACAGAAGGGCCTTCAACTGGAGTGCTGTCGTTGATTTTTTTTTCAGAAGACGTCGAGATTCCTTTATTCGGATCGGACCGCTTCGGCAGAGTGGATTGCCGGGCAGAGTTGTTGCCATTTGGTGCCTTTGCCGTCACCCATGTCCCATCGAAGTACATGTTGACTGCTCGCTCCATGTTGTTGGATGCGACGGACTGAATCTTCTTAACCGCAGGGGGAGGCAGTTCTTGTCCAATGATACTGGTGAAGAGCTGGACGTCAAATCCATCTGCACCTTGTGTGGCACACTCGGCTTCGGCGGGCGTGTCGCTCCCGGGCTCAGGCTGGATTGGTTCATGCTGAAGGGAAGAGGATTCTGCCGCAAGGATATCGGTAGTGTTGGCTTTTGGGGTCGTTGACTCTGCTGTTTGACTGGAGGCAGCAGCGGGCTGCGGTGGTTCCGGGAGTTGCCCATCTTCGCCAGCCTGGGCAGTTTCCGGATCGCCTGTCTCCAGGCCGGGACAACGACGAGGAAGGGACGCGTTTAGGCTGGCGGGAATCGAGTCTCGCGTGCCAGGATCATCAAAATAGCGCGGGCGTTTTGCTGGGCGCAGATCCAGATCCCCATTCATGGTCCCGGGCCGTCGTGGTTGAAAGGAAGAAGAGGGAAAAGAGAAAGAGAGAGAGAAGAGAAATGGAAGACGCGCCGACGCGAGACCGGGCCGACGTCACTGGCTCGCGAAAAAGAAAAAGTTCCACTTGACTTGACCACTTTCTCATCTGCCATCAGATTCTTGTACAGGTATGAAGACTGTGTGATTATTTCTCTTTCGCAGACATCCCTCACATTGTCTTTATAATTATATTCAGCTGACAAACTGACCAAGACATTCCGTTTGGTTACATGAGCAGGGGAAACCCATATCTTGCAATCAAAGACCCTAACCACCGTCCACCTGAGAAACAACCATTAAGGACCGCAATTGCCGCTGTCGATGTCGTTCTTCCGAGACCCTGCTCGTTCCTGTCGAGCAGGAAGCCGGACATGCCAGTTCTCTCGTGCTGGCGGTCTTCGCCAATCACAGACCAGGCATTTCAGTCGCACTTGCGTCGCCGCATCGCAGACCAGCGCCGAGGAGGAAGTCCACGGCGCACACCGATACTGCGTGTCCCTGCTCTCGTACGAACCCTCCAGATCAGACTACCCAGCACTCAACTAACAACACATCCATCAACCAGAAAATATGACCGACCCTCCTACACTCTGAGCACTTTCATTCCCCGACATGCGCAACCCTTCTACGTCGCCCTGAGCGCGCTCAACGTCTCCCTCTCACTGATCCCGGACTCTACTTCCTCCTACACAATCGGCTTGATGCGTCTCCAGTTCTGGCGCGACGCAGTCTCCAAGGTCCTCGCGGACCAGCCGCCCAAAGAACCCGTCGCCATTCTGCTCGCGTCTGCCATCTCAGACCTCCACGAGCGTACTCAGGGTCGCGCGCGGATTAGCAAGGGCTGGTTGACCCGCATGATCAGTGCGCGCGAACAGACCCTCACCAACGATCCATACCGCGATGTCGCGGCCCTGGAGTCCTACGCCGAGAATACCTATTCGACACTGATGTATCTGACGCTCTCCGCACTGCCGATGGCATCTGTGACGGCGGATCATGTCGCGTCTCATATTGGGAAGGCGGCTGGCATCGCGGCCGTGTTGCGCGGGTTGCCACTCGTTGCATTTCCGCCGCCGGCTGCAACGTCTCCGAGCGGGAATGCGGCCAATATTGCCGGGGGAGGGGGTGGGTCGAAGCAGGGCGCTGTCATGTTGCCACTAGATGTGATGGCGCAGGCGGGAGTGAAGGAGGAGGATGTATTGCGGCGGGGAGCGGATGCCGAGGGACTCCGTGATGCGGTCTTTACGGTTGCGACGCGTGCGAGTGACCATCTGATCACGGTGCAGCAGATGCTGAGCAATCTGCGCGCGGGCGAGGATGTCGGTCATGACTTTGAGCATGAGGGCGAGGAGGGTCATGAATATGATGCGCCTTCAGCCACTCGCGGCGAGTCGCCTCTCGATGAGGTCAATCGCGCGTTTGGTGTCTTTATGCCTGCGGTCAGCACGCGGCTGTGGCTGGATCGCCTGCAGCAGCATGACTTTGATGTGTTTAAACCGGAGTTGCTTCGGTCAGATTGGAGACTTCCGTGGAAGGCGTATATGGCATTCCAGCGGAAGAGTATTTGATCATAAGCAATGCTGTATAGAACATGTACAATATAGGATAGATAAGAATACAAGACCTCAAGGACTGAGGAAAGCAAGATCTGGACATGACCAATTCCACCTACCTTCCCATCTATCTTTCTTTCTGCTCTCTTCGCTGCTTTCTGGAACTGACGATCAAGCGTCTCTGCGCGAGCATCACGGCGTATCGTTGGATTTTGTCGCGCCTAAGGGAATGTCAGCATTCAAGTACCTGGGGAAAGGATGAAAGCACCTACATCAGCAACAGAGTCGTGACAACCACAAACGGCACCGCAATCTTCCAGAAGTACCTGCGCCAGTTAGAGTCTCATCGTACCGAAACCACCCTCTCAAAACTCACGAGTCGCTGTTGTGGATTCCAGCAAAATCTTTGAAGTTCATCCCAAAGTAACCCTAACACCAGATGCCAAGTGTCAGCCTCTGAAAGACTATTGAAACGAAGAAAAACTCACAGTCAAGAAAGTCAGCGGAAGATAAAGGCAAGTGACGATTGTCAGCTGCTTCATGCTCTCGTTTTGGTAGGCGCCAATGGTGTTGAAAATAAGATCGATCATGTTGTCGGCAGCACGCCGCATCTGATCATATCCTTCCACAATAGTAATACAATGATCCAAAGCATCGCCGAGGTAGGTATGACACATGGAGCTAATGCTGACGCTTGTGCCGCCCATACTCTTCAGGTTCGGTGTCATGACGCCGATGTGTGAACGATGCTCGGATATGTCACCTGGGGTACCGGACGGGCTGAAGGGACTGTTCCCTCGCAGGATGCCGAAGCCCGGGGTGCTGATAGGCTCAGACCGGTGGTCACGAAGAGCGTTGATGACAGCCACGATGGGCTGCATGACATTGCGCAGAATGGCAATCTCAGAAGTCAAGATGTACAGAAACTTGGACTGGTCGATATCCGGATCGGTCAGGACCTCCAGTTCCAGGTCGCCGATTGCGTCTTGGTAGGCCATTGTGACGGGGATGGCAAGATCGATAATTGCATCGAGGATGGCCTGCATAAGCATACTGGCATCGCACGACTGTCGGAGGATTGTTTCTGGGGAACTTAGACGCTTGACGATAGGAGCCTCGATGTCGTCGGCACTTTGTTCGAAAAAGGATGTAACGGTATTATCTGCATGAAGAAAGATGGAGACCTGCTCCAGTGTGACACATAATCCCTTCGCTGCTAGCACGGCATGGCGCTCCATGAACCCAATCCGGTCCTCGTTAGGGCCGCCACGATAGCGCTGTAGACTTCGCCCGGTGGTGCCCGTCGACGCAGCCACGTTTCCGAACTGAGAGGCTTGTCGCGAGGATGGCCGTCCTATTCCAGGACGAACACTGGATCCGACCGTCGCTTTCTGGTTGTTGTGCCGCTTTCTCGGTTGGTTGGGCTGAAAGAGATCCTTCAGCGCTGCGAGAACAATATTTTTTTTACCATGCCGCTTCATAGAGATCGAGGATTTGTCACTCGAAACCGAACTCTGCCGTTCCTTGAACTTGCCGCCCCCATTCGGCTTGTCGTCTTCATCATCATCATCGGAGTCACTGAGCTCCTGCTGGAGCTTCACCAGTTTCTGCAGCGTCAGTACAACGTACGCATGATCCGAATACCAGTCGGCCTTGGTGCGGTTGGTAGTGTGAACCAGATCCTCAATCGCCAGCCGATGGATTCTTTTGTGATTTCCCAGAGCCTTGATCACGTCCCAGCTTAAGCCATTGACATTGATCCAGCGGCATTGGACCCATGGTTCGCGTTCGCGCTCTAAAAACTGTTCAAGTGTACTATTATCCAACTCGTATTGTCGCATCTCATGTTGTGAAAAGTCCACCACTGTTATTTCGCAGTGCCGGTGTAGGTCTGTTGGCACGTTTGCAGCCCAGTCTGAACCGTGGGGAGGAAATGGCTGGGTCGGGTCAATACCGGGCTCTGTGCCGGGTTGCCAATTGGGGTCGTTAAGTATGCTTTCTGGACGATAGGAGCGCGCGGTGTTGGAGCGGCGTACTCGGCGTTGTTTGGTGGTGTCGGTGGAATTGACTCGTGCGGCAGCGGTGGTGAACGTCTCAACCTCGTCCTTCCTCGTTGGCGATCTCTGCGAGTGAGACGACCGGCGTCCCAGCTCGATGTCGATGGCGTGTATGTCGCCCGAACGCATCGCGCCATTGTGCGCATAATCAACTGCGTGGACGCTCATCGTGACCCCTAATCGAAAGAGAGTCGCGAATGCAGTCGCATCGGCGTGACGAATTCATAAACTCCGAGTATTCGGATTTTTCCAAGGGGATGAAAAACAAGCAACCAGTATAGTAACGAATGTAGACCCCCAAAGGCTAAAAGGCGAAGACACGGGCGATAATGTCAGGCAGGTAGACCAAAGCACTTCTCACGGAGAAACCGGGCGTGGTTGTCGCAGCATGGCGGGGAAATGACGTTGACTAGGAGCGGAAGATCTGCCAAGGAGGCTTGCTCCATTCAAAACACGCGTTCAAAACAGGGATCAAAACAGGGCCATCGCACTCGCGATTAAGGAGTGAAGGATGCTCGCTGATGGGGATAAAAAGAGGGAGGTGATGGTCGGCGGGAAAACATGCCAGCGCACGGCCTTTACGTCTTGCGGTTAACCACTTACTTCACTATTGGGTTTCTTGACACTAACAAGAAAAGCGGTTGTGCCAATAAAAGTCATTATTATTGATGATCATATTATACACACATGGGATATAAACACTCCTGGCCTCTCATAGTCCTCCTTTCACAACGCCGTCCCAATGCTGGTCTCCCAAACACTCCAAAGAACAACATCCAGCCAGGGCCACTAGATCCGATAGAGCAAAAAATGGTACAATGAAGAGAAACACATGATGTCAAGGAACAAAGGAAATAAATTGGCAAGGGAGAGTCGGCACCAGCATTCACGCTATGCCCGGGCCGATGGCCACGGCTTCCAAGGAGAAGAACGATGAAGTCCCATTTGACCCTGTTTGCTGCTTGAGGAAGCAGTGTGTCGAGGCACATTATTGCGGAAGTCCGAATACAGACCGGGCTCCATGTCCATGAGCACTGCACGCTGGGGTTGCGCATATGTTCGCGCGGTCGACTTGCCTCGAGTCTTGGTGGTAGTAGAGGAGCGAGTTTTCGAGGTGTTGGAGGTGGCAACCGTGCGAGACTTCTCCTTGATGATCTCACGAAGTTCCTTGTCGTCCTTGGTGATTTGAGCTTTGATGAAAGGGATGTCCTGAGATGCCTGCAGAGCGGACATGACCGACTCTCGCGGTGTGTAGGCGTACTGCTCGGGGCACGGGGGAGATTCGGGCCGGATGGAAGGATCCAAGAAAGCCTCGGCGCCCTTATCCAGAAGCTGGGAAATATCCAAGGTCTCGCCGTGCGGGATCTTCTGGGGATGCGAGGGAGTCACGCAGTCCATGTTGACTTCCTTTCGCAACACATGATCAATATCAACCGCCGAAAAGTAGGCGCACGACTGGGGAAGATCGTCGATGCCCACTTGTTCCGAGAAGATGGCGCGGGTCCAGACATTGGCAATCTGCAGCGCCAAGGCCGTGCGGTATTTGTCCTCGTCCTTGGCAAGATACCGGATCTCATCGTGAACGGTGATGGCGAGGCGGGCTTGGATGTTGAACAGCCGGATGAGATAATCCATTGCAACGATGAGGAGATGGAGATAATCGACGCCCGACGATTGGATGGCCCAGTTGATGCGAGACGTCATGAAACTGCCCTTGTTGATGAAGCGTCGCATGAGTGCTTCGGTGATGCCGGCGCCCAACGCAGGCGTTCTCGGTCGTTCTTGATCCGCAAACTCCTCGAGCTTGTTGAATACAAAGGACTCCGTGCCGCCCCTCCAGAAGGGGCTGTCATTCAATAGGCGACGTGAAGTACGCGTTCCCTTAGTCTCTTTGTAAAGATTCGCCGCAGTTTCTTGCGTCTGCTTCTCTGACAGCGACGGATTGAACTGGCGGAGAAGGGTGGCAGCAAACTTGAGCCCAGCTCCATATATCCGGCCATAGTTGAACACCTTCGCGTCGTTGCGCGAAATCCCCAAAATCTGAGCACTTCGCGAGTGCAGATCCGTGCCTTCCGCCTTGGAGCCTTCCAGAGTCATGAAGCCAATTGCATTGCCTCCGTGGATCTGAAAAGAGGCATCGCCGACCAAACTCGCAATCCACAGCTCCTGGGAGTCAACATCGGCACCGACAAACGCGTAGCCTGGAGGTGCCTTGATCATGGCCTTGAGCTCGGATCCAACCCGGTTTTCCTTCGCATTACTTGCGGTAAGCCAGGTGTTTTCCACAGCCCGTCGTGTGATGGTACCCATAGGGATAACCTGCGGCAAGATGAATCCCAGTCGGTTGTCGCCGGCGCTTTTTTGGAGACCTTTGTTCTGAACCTGGTCCTCATAGACCACCATTTGATTCCTGATCCGGTCTCGTGCACTGATCCAGTAGGAGCAAGAGGCATTCATCTCCAGAGCTTCCTTGGCAAGTTCAAACTCGGATGACAAGGTTCCACGCTCGAAATATTGCATGTAACCTTTCCCCAGGGGATTCGTGCATCGGGCTTGAGGACCATCCTTGTGCGGGATTTTAAAGTAGACGCATTTCCTGTCCTCTCGAAGCTGCTGGTTCTTTTCTTCGGCCATGTCGCATGTGATTATAGGTTGATTTTCGAAAATTTTCGTTTGATCACGGGGAACTCGGAAGGTCCAGCCGTATTTGTCGGACCAGACAAGAGGGAATCCGTCCCACGACAGTTTGAGCAAGATGGGCGCAATGCGAGTTCGTACCGTTAGGTTGATATCTGCGGCGTTTGTCGCGAACAAATCCTTGTACCATTTGGGCATTCCTGGTTTCTTCTGCCGTGCAGCCGGACGAGGTGGATCTCCCTTTTTCTTTCCTTTGGCCATTTTGACCTCCTGACCAGACCAGTCCAGCTGCCGTAGCCAGGGATCATTAGTATAAATATCTGGTTGATCTTTGACCTTCAATGCCTCCTCGCATAGCTCGACTAGTTTCCGTTGAACGACATCGAGTCGCTTATGGTAGGTCTGTTCTGCATTGATCAAGTACTCCTGCCAGGATTGATCGACAGGAAGGATAACTGAAGAGAGGTGTCGTAGAGCGCCGAAGCTGACGGGATGTGGGCAGGTCTCGAGGAAATTTGGAAAGACCTTGCGATATACTCGATGAGTGATGGCAACATCGGCAGCGCAATAGTCGAGAAGTTCTTCCAACCGTTCCAGAATGGCTGGCCTGTCAAGCTCACCAAAGTAGTCTCTTTGAGACTTGTCAATGGTGACATCGCAATGAAACTTGGCGACGTCTCGCAAGGAGTTTACTGAGCTCCGCCCCACCCACAATTCCTCCTCTTCTTCCCTCAACATGTTGTTCTCGAGCAGCGCGGCCAATTCCACTGAGTTGTGCTGGCTTGCAATCTTGTCTCTCAAATCCTTATTCTTTTTATGGCGCATCCATGTCGGTCGTTGCTGTGAACACATGCCATTGACAGCCACATGGAGGGACATTGTATCGAGGAAGAAATTTCGAGCCTGCTGCAGATTGTACTCCTCCAAAACCCGCGCTCTGTCGTATCCAATATTGTGACCAACGACAATCCGAGATTGCGTGGGGTCCCCCAGGGGTATCAGCTGAACTTGCTCCGTCGACTCTCCCAACAGCCAGGGTGAGATCCAGGCATACCACGCAGTTGGACTGACTGCGCAAGCCATTACCGCGTAGGAGTGTTCCTTATACATGACCTCCGTATCGAAAGTGAGCATAGGCTCGTTCGGCGCATCGACAGGCTCGGAAGAGCCATCCGCATTATATTTTGTCCATCCGCTGCGCTTGACCCACTTGCGCGGTTTGTTCGGGCAGTTCACAGTCGCATACGATTTGGCGTAGGTCAGGTAGGGTTCCGATGCATCCATGCCGAGTTTGAAGAAATGTTCGTCCAAACTTTGTCCCTGCAGGGCCGGGAAGTTGAATGCAACGGGCTCCGCGCCGGTCTGAGATTTCCCAAGTAGGTCATGCCTTGCGAGGTGGTCTTTTGACAGAGCCACAAGCTCTGGGTCGGGAGTACGGGCCTTGGTCGGAAAGATTTGAGGGTGGACATGATCACTGAGCTGCTGTACGCCGATATCGTTGAATCGGGGGGATGCGGGAACAGAAAGTGAGTATCGCTGATGTCGAGACCGAGAGGACGGGATATCGTAGCGGAGTAGGGAAGCGCGAGCCGCTGGCAAATGTCTCGGTGGCCGGAGCCGCCATCGCGCCGCGCCCCTGGAGTGAGGAGCGCAGAAAGAGAGCATGATAAGAAGACGCCTTTAGGTCATGGTAAACCGAGGAAAGTGAGTGCAGCCAGACAGGCTGCAAACCGAGTGTAGTAGACCACGACAGGTGGTGGAATTAGGTATGGGCGAAAGCAGTAATTGGGGGTGCAGGTCAGTCAGTTATCATGATGGTTTGGATTGCTATCGCGCGGAACAAGTATTTCGCCGGAAGCCGGGCTTATCGATTATGGCCGCCACACCTCTTTCTTATCCGAGCGTTTGTCTGCTCTCTTTTCTTCCCACCGATAAGGGAAAGCTCAGCCCTCTTCGGCGTCTTCCCTGGACCATGCGAACTGAGGCAGAAATCATCACGTCGCCATGAACAGCCACGCCTCTATCGTCGATCTCACCTCGTCCGCTCCGTCCACTAGACCTCCCCGGCCCTTCCCCGTCCGCCTCTCCTCATCACCGCAACAAGCCACTGGAGACTTTGCCTCCTCTTCTTCCTCTTCCTCTACGCCTCACAGGGGCCGACAAATTCACCGTGGTGTAAAGCGCCGGCGTCTGAGTAGTGACAGTGGCTCCCGGGCATCGGCACCATCGGCGCTGGCTCAGCCGGAAGATGATGAAGACTTCGTGGAAGCAATCGACTTGACAGGTGTGGATGGGTCCGTTTCGCTGGCAAAGGCACTGGCAAAGCAGCGAGAGGATGCAGTCAAAGCTCAACAATCGCTCGAACACGGGAAGGGGCGTTCGGTTCTGGCCTCGTACAACTGCCCCGTGTGCATGGACACACCCGAGGATGCGACAAGCACAGCCTGTGGTAAGTCATCCGGTCCGAAAATTCTTCGGCGCAGGACATGGGCACTGATTCTCAGTCTACAGGTCATCTCTTCTGTCACAAATGTATCATCGACTGTTTGAAAAACAGCGAAGAACAACGCACCGACTCGTCAGGCAAAACACAGCGAGGCACTTGTCCCGTGTGCCGGAAACCTCTCACCAGAAACGAAGCGACTGGACCAAGGAGGAGCCTTATTCCCCTGCAACTCAAGTTGATGACGAAGAAAAGAGGCGCCCCCACTCTTGAAAATGTATAGGGTTGCCATCTTGCATCCGTTCTTTTTGTTTCGCATTGCGGGTTGGAGCATTGTTAGGCCGGCGTTCTTTTTCTGGATTTCGGATGAGGTGGACTCTATCAGCGAGCTATGAGAGACATGATTCGCATGGTACATAGTTTTTAGACATAGCCCACGGAATTGTTAATGACGTTTATGCATTCCTAATCTTCTCATCAGATACTCATACAGCTATTCGATCATCGTCTTTTTTCTCTTGGAGCAGGGTCAAGGGTATTCCGTCTCCCTAGTCCCCAACCCACGCCTCCATGAACCATCGCATCGCCTTTCTTCCCAAGCACAACCTCGAGAGCCTGTATGAGCGCATTCGCGTCGTACTGCATCCCGACCACTGTTTCGGTATCGCCATCCATGCGTGTAACTTTCCGTCCGTACAGACGAAGAGTCTCAATTCCCATTTGCGCGAGTCGCTCCCGGTCCACATGGGGCGTTCCGGGCCCGTCGAGGTGCAAGATATGAGTGACATAGGAATTATAAGGAAGAGAATCAGGGGACTGTGTTCTGGCGACACCCTCTGATGAGCCCCGATGCTTGGGGAATTCATACGGCCCGCGTCCGCGGCTCCCTTCCCCTGCTCGCACGATTGCCTCGACAAAATCCGACGCCGCGAATGGCTCAGGCGAAGGACCGGTCTCGCGGTCCAACGACCCGTTTAAAATCAGGATCTTGTGACGAGCGGGACTGGACACGATGCTTTTTCCCACTCCGCGGAGGATGATCGCGGGTATGATGGATGTGTACAACGATCCAATGCTGTAGATGATAGCCTGCGCATCGTGTAATGCTTCTAGGACTCGCGGGTTGGCGGGCGGGCGTATCTCCTGACCGTAGGGATTGATGTACCAGATCCGAGTGATCCGGCAAGGCAGCTCTTCGTTTGCGGATTTGCTGAATGAGATGTTTTTGTTGCGGAGCGTGGCGAGTGATCCGGGTAGATGGTCGTCCTCGTATGAGATGGACTCCTCTTTGTCTGACCGGTCTGTATCCTCGCAGTCGTCGCCATCCGCAAGAAGAAGACTGGGGCGTCTGGCTCCTGCAGACTTCTGGAGAGCGGATGCTTCACTTGGGTGAGAGATGCTGTTCTGGCCGACGATGACAGTCCCGTTGGCCAGTGATGCCGAGATATGATGAGAGAAATTGGAATTGATTGCGGGGATGACGCGCACGACATCTGACGGCACGCCACAGATGCTTCCTAGGAGATAGATGGCGCTCTCGAAGCTGCCGCTGAAGAGCCGCGCGCCCGTCAGGAAAAGATTCCCCACGCTGGCTGAGCTGAAGTCGAATGTAGAAGACGGCGGCCTTGCTCGCTTCAAGATCTCCAAATTCAACAAGTTGAAAAATGACCGGATCAGCTCTTTCTTTGCCGGTGCAATGGTCTTCCACAGGTCAGATGTGCCGTCGACAATGGTCTGCCATTCAAGCGACGCGGCGGCACCTTCAGCAGGCAGCCGGTGGTTGAACAGCGCCTTGATAGCCAACCTCTCGGGATTAGCCGGTGCATCTGGAATCAAGCGCACCAGTCTACCTGCGGAGAATGTCAGCAAATGTGATCTGGTGGGTGGGACGACGGTGACGCACTTCGAACATCGCCGATTCCAGGGCCGCCAAATATGCGGATCAACTCCGATGACGAGCCGCCATTGTCACTGATGGGGATGATGTAGCTAAGTGGGCAGTGTTTGCTTTCTCGGACGGCGTTGAAGACATCCACCAAATTATTCGCAGCGCTTCCTCCCGAGAAGACAACGATTCCTCTGTTAGACGTGGCCGTCATCGCGGCAGGTTAGAGAAGGTTTGACGCCGCGCAGACCAAATCTAGACTGTTTCTCGGGAAGACCGATTTAACTGATCAATCAAAAGAATCAACTTCCAAAATTGAGATGCCGACTGAGAGAAATCCCAGGGGACAAGTGTTGCTTTGCAGAGTGTTCATATGCTCGGTCCGAGACATGGCGCGCAACAATGACACATTTTCTGGAAACGCCACGAATGCCACAACGGCGGTCAGCCTCAACCACAACGCTGGGTGATGTGAATATGGATAAACAGAAGCTGCTAAAACCATGCAACTGGGGTTTTTTAGACCGTGTTGATTGATTTTACCCAAGTTTTTTTGTTTTTGCTTTTTCAAATGCCGGAGCTACGTACCATAGTGGCCGATATATATCTCTCAGCTTCTACACTGCGATCTTTTCCACTTCAAAACTACTCTACCCTCACTCCTCAAATCACAACTTCTAGTTAAATCGGTGATCCCTAGGCCATGTCCGGTGTGATCACATTGCTTTTGCCTCCATCAATCAAAACGTCCCTCATGGTCTCCATACTCTTGACTCGGATTTCATCGAAGCCTTCGGGGCAGTAAAAGGCAGTATGACAGGTCAACACCAACCGTCCAGTCAACCAATCCTCATTCTTCCGGTAAGCGCGGATAAGCGGGTGTACCCTGTCTTCAGGGATTGGCTCCTCGGGCAAGACATCCAAGCCAGCGCCTGATAGGATCCCCTCCCTCAGGGATCTTTCAACGGCATCAAGCTTCAAAACCTCTCCACGACTTGTGTTCACCAAGATTGAGCCCTTCGGCATCAAACTCAATAGATCCCACCCGATCATATCGCGGGTTTCATGTGTGCAAGAGCAGTGGATGCTCAGGGTGGTGCTGCGGCGAAAGAGCTCTTTGATGTCCTTGACGCGCTCGATATTGTAGGTTTTGTCGAATCCATTTGGGACATAGGGATCGTAGAATATGACTCGCCAACCAAATGCCTTGGCCCGAAGTGCTGCAGCGGTACCTATACGACCCAATCCGAGGACACCAAAAGTGGCACCTTGTAACCGTGCCACGAGGGGGGTTTCGACTACCATCCAGGGCTTGACATGCGGCTCACGCTGCAGGTCATGATGGAGCAAAATACCGCGGCGAAGTGATAGGGCCAAGCCCAGGGCATGATCTGCAATCTCAGAGGTGCCGTAGTCTAGAATTATGTCGGCACGAATTAATATTCAACTCTGCGACAGGGAAAAGGATTATAGGAGGAAGGCGAACCAGGAACGTTGCACACCGTTACTCCTCGCTTGGCCAGAGCAACTCGATCCAAACGATCATAACCAACTCCCATTCTGACAATGCTGCGAGGCAGTTAGTAATTTTCAATGGGACATTTGCCAATGAGAACACCCACACCTTGAGCCGCGGAAATAGAGCAGCGTCTTCCGCTGTGAACCGCATCTTCAGCGTCAGAATCCCATCGACTTTTTGCCTTAGGTCTTCGGGGACTGCGGACCATGGCATAGGTGTAGGAGCGCCTGTGGGAAAAAGGTCCAATTGAAGGTAATTGATCGTGCAAGGCCCCGGAAGATTTGAGCGCAAGATCTCTTGCTCGACAGTATCATCCTAGGAAGATGTCAGTGGCATACAGCGGACTGGTACGAGTGACTTACAGGGTAGAGCCCATCCGCCTGGATGATTGTATACGTCGTTTCGGCCATGTTAATCGTTTGTCCACTCAGAGATATGAAGTGGGTTGTGATCAAGGGTTTAACAGAGGATGGAGCCCTGAAGTCTTCTATCAAGGAACAGGTCTTAACCTCACAACTTGACTGTGGATGATGTCGCACTGCACCTTGTTCCAAAGATCAATCTGGCCAATTTACTGCCACCAAAACTTTACAATGTCCAAATTGTCCTAATATCCCACCTAGTAAGGAGAACCCAACTACCCCGCCCCCAAATGGGGCTCTGGCGTCGGCCAGTCCACCGAGTTCGGGTTTACTCCGAGAACAACGTACTCCGATTCGGCTTGATAACCCCCCAATAGACCACTAGATTGGACGAGATGAGAGAATATCTTTCTTAAAGTATAAGAGGATTGTGTTTTAATTTAATCTGCCTCAATTAATTACTTTTTTTGAGTTGTGAAAGTTTGAGATCAAACTCACATCGCGGCTTCCACCAGAAGCCCGGTCATTGTTCAATTTTCAACAATACGACTTGGCCGGACAACCGATCAACTTCGGCTTTTACCGTAGAAGCAATCTCGGACAAGAATAGAATAAAATAATAATATTGGCGCGTGAAAGATGACCTCAGCGAACCACAGCACGACTTGGCCGGAGAACTGATCAACTTCGGCATTTACCGTAGACGCTTTCCCCGAGATTTATTCGCTCCACATCACCTCCCCCAGGGAATGTCTACACTGTGCTGCGATCGATAATACATAATAGAGCAACTGCCAGCGTATTCTCTGCAACATGGCAGTTGCCAGCCAACCTGGGACCCTCCCCTTATATCCAGGGGAGGTTTTAGACACCATTGCCGGCTTTCCGACGATTTATCATTATCAGCCAGCCGACAACCCGGAGGCGTCGGAAGCATCGAAACCACTTGTCGTCTGCGTTCCAGGAGCATTGCACTCAGCTCGCATTTTCTATGGCGGACATCAGGGACACCGCCCAAATGACTTTCTGGCCTACTGGCTCAGCAAACTCGGGTTTGGGGTACTGTCCCTATCGTACCCCGTAGAGACGAGTCCTCCGACGATGCCGCTGACGGGTGCGACGTTCAGGCTCCAGGATTGGGGCCGACAGGCTGCGGCGACCACCAAAAAAGTCATTGAGCAGAAGTCTCTGACCACTCGATCCGTGATTCTGCTCTCATGGAGTATGGCCGGTAGGATGGTTGTTCCATTCAACATCGCAGCCAAGGAATTAGGCTTGGACGTGAAGCAGATGATCAGCCTTGCGGCTACGCCGGGCATGTCGAGCATTCGACCTGTTTCA